GAATGTTAAAATCAATATACATGACGCAAATATAACTACTAATGTAACTGGATCTTAGACGAGAATAGAAATTTCCAGAAACAGTCCTAAATTTTCAACAATATTGTTAATGACACAAACGTTTTTTATATCATATCATTCATAGAAAAGGTTTCGATGAGATACTATATAAAAATGTCAATGAGCGAAATCAGAATTCATCTAATTTAATAATTACACTTAGCTGTAAAATTTTGGCATCAAATACATGCAAATTACGTTGTAATAAATGAATTTACCTTCTGAATGGCTTTTATGGTATTAATATTGTGAACAATTTCTATAATACAAAGTCTCTGTCGTCAGTTCTTCATCTTGTCATACTCGTAGGCGATTTGAAAAGATTGCATTTGCAACATGAACTATTTCCTTCTTTAATCAAAGCATGGAATTGTTGGCAAATATTTTTTAACTAAACTGAAGATGTAAAAATTGTTTAATGGCGAAAAGTTCCACGATTGCAGATGTAAAAGTTCTTAAAAGGAGATAAATATGTTGAATGGCGAGGAGGTTTGGCATGTAATTTGCATTGAATTGTTGTCTTATGTATTTAAATTACCCCATGCAATATTTCATCCGGCGACTAAACTGCCCCTTCGGTCTCACTTCAGAGCGGGTGAAACATGTGATCAAGATTGTTTGTTGAATGAGCGATATTGCTTGTAAGCGAGCTGAAACTTTATTCTTTCTACTTTCAAAAATAATGCATAAAGGACGACGCAGTAATACCAAATCCGACACAAATCGCGGGTGTTACGTTCCAGTCCTCGATGGGCGAATCCGTGATGGGGGTCTAATGATGATGATCGACCTAAGTGTTTAAGTTTTCTGGTATTTATTCTGTGATTCTTAGGCACTTCTTTCCATGTTTTAACTGTTTATAAAACTTTCTCGAACTCATACTGCCAATCCAGTTCCGTGGGCGTTTAAATGTGCCAATCAATTTTCTCAGAAACACACAAACCAGCGAAGATCCACGAATAATTCTTCTCATTATTATTTCTTGAAAACCTGCGATGAAGAGAAGCCGCGGTAGGTGAAGCGCGTCAGAGAGAGAGAGATTAATGTACTTCTAAGTTTATAATTTTTTACGTAAACAAAATTGAGTAACCATGCGCGCAAGAAACTTAATACGGCGTAAATATTTGAATTCGCTTCCCCGTGCAAATCCCATTAATTATGTACAAGAATTTTACGCTTGCCCCATCCAATCCGCTAAGTCAAGCAAATTAACTTCTTCAATTCCGTCCCGCCCGTTCTGCCAGCACACAAGCTTGGATAAATGGATGATAAAGAAAATAAACCCCAAATTTAGCGTCAATTAGGTTTTATATGAGCAGTTAATTTCGGAATAACAGTTCTCCACTCGAGGCTCAAGCATACGCTGGTAGGCCCTCTCAGTCGCATGCAGGTCGCAAAGGGGAGAAGTGCGGTCGGTCAAAAATAATTTCGAGGATGTCGTTGAGCTGGGACAAAAAAGATTTGTATGAAGAAAGTATTGAGAATTGGATAAGAAGTCTTTTAAATCATGATTGATTTGTTCTAAGTACATAACATAAGATAAGTATGAACTACAGAAAAGTTTGAAAGAAATGAAGGGGAAAAATGTATTAATTCAAATTTTCGGATTACATTCATAACTATGGAGAAAGAGAGTGAATTTGAATCATTAATTTGAATAAATAAAAACTTGCTTATTTAGTCATAACTATTTAGTTTACATTTATAAGCGTCAGTGCGTGATTGGATGAACATAGGAATTCACTTTATTTTCTCTTTCATTCGCTTTTTCAAAAGCAATTAGGGTAACACTATTAAGTTTTGTTCCATCCCATTTTATTTTATATAATTATTTTATATATAATTGGGTCGAAGACATGTGGTAACAAAAGCACCGAACAGCCTGATCTCTGTCAAGGATCGCATTTTATTTATTCATACTAATTTCCATCTATGTTTCGTGAACGTATATATGAGCAATATTCCAGAAATATTTTCTCATTATTTTTTTTGCGAAATTTAGAACCTGAGTGCCTGCGGTGTTCAATTACCTCAGAAAGAACATAAAATTATCATGAGACGGAGTGAGTTGGATATTTTTTCGTAGTGCATTCTATCCCCAAATTATGCTAGTGATTTTCCGCTCAGGAATGCATATATAGTGAAAATCGCGATTTTATGATAAATTCCATATAAATCTTCACAAATTAGAATGCCATGGTGTTTAAACGTGCCTAAATGATTCATTCGTTCTAGAATTGCGTTATATATTAGAACAAGCATGTAATGTAATGCATGCTTGTAGAACAAGCATATAAAATGTAATGCTAATGAATAACAAATGACTTTTCATTCTACCAAAGATCCCCACGGAATTGAAAAATGACTGTCAAATGTCAAATGACGAAATTGAAAATGACTCAACTTGGAAAACTTCCTGCGCGATATATTGACCTTTTAGTGAACTGGAAAATCAGTTGTATATCCTCCTTAACCTTCTACCGCCGCATGCACTCTCCGGGAACATATCTTTCAACTTAAATTATACGTAAACTATTGAGTGTAGCAACATGAGGACGTTTGTACGCAACAGAGAACATTTTAAAGTAACTTTCAACTTAAATTATACGTAAACTATTGAGTGTAGCAACATGAGGACGTTTGTACGCAACAGAGAACATTTTAAAGTTGTCGTACGTGGCGGCAAATTATACGTGAACTATTGAGTGTAGCAACCTGAGGACGTTTGTACGCAACAGAGAACATTTTAAAGTTGTCGTACGTGGCGGCAACCATCAGTGCAAGTCATGGTTGAATTAATACATATTAATTCAATCATGAGTGCAAGTCATTTTGCGCCGCTCACAGAACGTATCCTTTTTAGGAAGTAGGCTTGTGACAATATTGCTCCGGTTACTCATTTCAGGCGGTAGAGGGTTGTTAAGACTGGCTGAACGATTATTTATTTCGACTTTTATTCAGGTCAAAGGTAATACTTTAGATTAAGTGCATCCAAAAAAATGGTGTTTTTTATTTTTAATTATATGTTTTTTGGGGTGTAGATTAAGAATCCGAAATCCGTTTTTGGCGGTCGACATCGGAAATTTTTAATGGAACCTGTTCCTAACTGGACCTAACCAGCAAGGTTTTCGTTGATCGGCTAGGTTTTTTTTTTCTATGTTTGGAGTCCGTCCAGCGGCCGGAAAAACCTAGCCAATAGGTTTTTTCTATGATTGGAGTCCGTCCGCCGGCCGGAAAAACCTAGCCAATCAACGAAAACCTCGCAGGTTAGGTCCAGTTAGGAACAAGTTCCATTAAAAATTTCCGATGCCGACCGCCAAAAACGGATTTCAGATTCTTGATCTACACCCCAAAAAACATATAATTAAAAACAAAAAACACATTTTTTTTGATGCACTTAATCTAAAGTATTACCAGGTCAAATTAAATAGAAGTTGTCAATTTTTTTTACCAATCTGAATTTCAAGAAATAAATATGAAATAATTTTGGGGGGGCTAATAATATTTCAGGGACTGAAGACCCATCAAAATAGGCTTAATGACGCCACTGTTAAGGTTATATAAATAACTGTCAAGTCATCCATCCATCTTCAGGTGGAAACATTCAATAGAAGTCAGATATATCTAAAAGAGAATGAATTTTTTTGCAACCTCCATACCAAACAACTTTAATTTTCCGACTGCAGACATGCTATAGCTAATGGTGAGTGTACCACATGGTATTTCAGTTCGTTTGACGTTGACTGTAAAGCTACCGTAGTCTTTCTTGTGCACGGGGGCGAAGGTCGAGAATTGTGGTTTGCATAGCTCAGAGTCAACCGCATGGAAGAAGAGAATAAAAGGTGCAACGCCTTGCTTTGCAGTCAGTAATGCGGCAGACTTGCATGTGGTGAGGACGTGGTGTTGTTGAGTCCAGGCTCGACCCATGTGACCTTACGTATAGACCTCTGATCTGTGGTAAATTTGCAAAGAATAATCGCAGGGTTAAAAGACATTTGCTTTGCAGCATTCCCTTTCTATCACGAAGGGACTAGTCCAGTTTGGTTGGAAATCGTAGCCTGTTACTGAGATTTAGACAACGAAATCCTGCTGCTTTTAGCCTACCTACTCAGTTACTCCAGTGATTTTTTTTTGCATTTCTTTGTTCCTTCCCTACATTATGAACTAGTAGTGGTTTCTTATATATGTGCCATGGAGACGAAGAGGATGCGTTCATTTGAAGATGTCAATAAATACAAAATATTTTATCGCCATGCTAACAAAATTTCCAATGCATTGGCAATTTGCAAAACCAAAATTTGGGTACGAGGAAAACTAAAATAGAAAGTGTTAATTCCATCCGGTCTGTCTTCGTTCACTTAATTACACATTTAAATAATTGTGTGGTCTTTACATATGCATTCAACTCGGTTTTCATTAGAGCTGTGCATGGGGACTGATAATTCGAATTGATTGTAGCAACTGTTAAATCTTCATGAACTAACTTTAGGAACTCGGTTAGTCGAAGATCAGTTAGGTCACATTATTGTTTAGCGAAACTTAGAAGCAATGTAACAGAGACATATTAGAGTCGTATTAATTAACCTGTACTGCTCCGTCTCTGAGTATTATTGAATAGTCACTTAATTTTTATTTCATAATTTTTGCGTGCCGTATGATAGAAATTAAGGCTTATATCGCCCCAAAAATAGTTATTTTTCAGTTGAAGTATGTTTGACCTGCTGGTGGTTTACGCTAAAACGGCATTGGGATCTACGCCAGTCTAAGCTCCACCTTGACTTGATAGTTAAAAGTATGTATTTCCAGTTCTTTAACATGGGGTATCCTTTGATAATGCTGCCAATTTGATATCTATCCACAAAGGAGCTAAGCTACTGAGAGCGTGAATTTTTAATAGGTGTAGTTTCGATATTCATCGTCTACCATCTTTTTTCAACAGTAGGTAATATTCATGAGATGTGCTAGTTTCAATCAATTTTTTTAGAGTTCCTGAGAATTTTTTATCCTGCACAGATTTAAATTTGGATTAAGAATGGCAGGAGCTCCGGAAGAAGAGGTTCTTGAGGCCGATCCCAGGCTTCCAGAAAAGCCAGGCAAAAAGTTTTTAATGGTGCTGCTGATTTATACGGTGTATCTCGTGCTCGGCGCTTTCACGTTCATGTACCTGGAATTTTCCGTGCAGAAGGAAATTCAAGTCAACGACTTACCTAAGTGGCTGGAAATTAAAAGTAAGATTCGCAAATCGCAATTTTCTAGACCGAGGCTGTGACTGAACGTCTTGCCTGTATGTATGTGAAGTATGATGCGGCAACCCGAAAGGTGTAATAATATTGATTTTCACTCGTTGCTTTTTGTGACTAACCTGTATGAATGTGAAGTGTGATGCGGTAACCCGAAAGGTGTAGTAATATTGATTGTTCATCATTGCTTTTTAATACTGGAGTGCCAATAAGTTTAATATAAATGCGGGGAGATGCGCCGTTAAAACAAAATTATACGAAGTCGTCTTCCTTTCACTAGAATTAAAGGATTTATTTCAAATTCATCCATTAGAAAAATGGTTCTGCACTGGAATTCATGTTTCCATAATATCGACAGGGGAGCATCAACAAGCTAGCAACATCTTCTGCTGCACAAGCCCGTGCATTTGTAGATTCTAGGGTTTCAAAGGCTGAAAAAAACTATGGGAACCGGTTTAAAGATCAACTGTCTGAGTTTTACGAACCTGCAGTCCAAGACGTTCAAGAAATGCTCTGACATAGATTTGCTTCATCAATATGACGTGGATAAACGGCTGACGACCATCGCGTGATTTAAACTATTTCTATCAATCGATAATTATATTTATATCGTGAAACGATGGCTCATAGTCTTTAGTGATTTAAATTTTGATTTTAATCAATAAAGCCTCTTATAACTCTTGTCTTTTTTTCAAGTTTTACTTCATTCTCGTCGGCGGCTGCTCGCATAGGTAGTTGGAGGGAATTTCTTACAGTGCTTCATTTCTGAACATTCATGTATTCTAAAGCTGCTCTTGACCTCTTAGCTATCAAATTATAGATTAACTGTTAATTTTATTGATTATTTAGTTCTTAATACTTTGATTTTTATGAATATCTCAATTTTTTCTCCCATAATGTTTGTCCTTGTGATCATTGAACGGGTAAAATTTAAGTTGAAAAACTGCGGATTAAGTCAACGTATTTGTATTACACTCAATCACCATGATAAAACCTAACGAGCATTTGTCCCAACTAACCCAAAACCTGAATATTACTTGTGGAACGTAATAAAATGCATATTGTGCATATTACTTGTTAGGTGTATTTCCCTATACAGTATTTCCAATGTCTTTAATTCTCGTGCATCAGACTTCACAGATCGCAAAAACTATATCCCGATGCAGCCGCGGAATGATTAATGCGTCAAAAAGCTTCAAGTGATCATAGTAGCAAGACTGAATAATAATGAACAAAATTTTACAGGGCAAGCATTTACATAACAATTACGGTAATGCCGCTTGTTTCCCTTTTTTTCTCTTAATTTTCACTTTCGCCCAAAATAGTCTTCTTTATTGCCTGTAATTCCCGTATCTTTGTGACAAATTTTTAACATGGTTTAAATTAAATGACCCGACGCTGGATCAAACTGATAGCGAGTCTACTATTTTAAAGTGATTGGCTCAATGAACGATTTCGAATGAATACCTTTACGGATTTTCGTCCAATATAGTGAAATTTTCCGTATTTTTCCATATCAGAACCATGAGTGTCTAAAATCGTTCGATTCGATTACTAGTTAAAATTGTTCCTGGCAGGATGCTTTCCTACTATAAATATGCCATTTCCTTTAAACGGTCTAATAAAAATGCGAACAATAATGCTATTCTCTTCAAAATTAATGTAATCATAAACGTTATGGTAGATAATTATGGAAAAAGTCTACCAACGACTGCTATTACGCCGTCGGTAGTCGGTAATATGCGAGTCATTCCTTGCAACTGTCTCGAGCCACATGTTGATGTAACAACGTTACTTCAACTCTTGCGCGGCCTTCAGTGATCACACACATTGAAGTTTTTTTTGTTCATTTCATATCCATGCTGCAAGCAGACAAAGCTCTGTGTCTGCCACTGGCTGGCGCGTGTCATACTGTGGAAACAGAAGTAATGTTGATGTTTGAAATGTTCTTCAAATCGCACTGTGTGTGCGCTCCGTTGTTGTTTTTTTTTATCGAGCTATAAGTGTTGTTCTTTTTCAAAACTCGTCAAAAGCAGTAGTCAATAATTCCTCATTTTCTGTTGATTGTGTGTAAGTCCAGAAATTGGTCATTTTTAAGTGAATGATATAAGTAATTAGGTACCGAATTGATATCGGTGGCACAAGTAGCTTAAGCTTCAATGAAATCAGTGGTGAAAACAAATCAACTTGTAACAGCACAATCGGTAGAAAAGATTAATGTGGGGAGACCAAAATTAATGTTTTCGCTGCGTGAAAGGTTCGATGGCCCAGAGGAACTGAAGTTTAGTATCATTAGGTGGTATTCGGTCGGAAATTTTGTCTTGGGAGAACAATTATTGTAACGAAACTTATAAAGTGTAGTATCATTTGGTAGTATCATTATAAAGTGTAGTATAATTAGGTGGTATTCGGTCGGAAATATTTTCTTGGTATAAAATTATTATGACGAAACTTATACAGTGTAGTTTCATTAGGTGGTATTCAGCCGGAAATATTTTCTTGGGATAAAAATTATTGTGACGAAACTTATAAAGTGTGAGGTATAGGTCTACCTACTCATTAGGTGGTATTCGGTCAGAAATTTTTTCATGGGATAAAAATTATTATAACGAAACTTATAAATTGTAGTATCATTGGGTGGTTTTCGGTCCAAAATTTTTTAGGATAAAAATTATTATGACGAAACTTATAAAGTGTACTATCATTAGGTAGTACGGTATCATTATAAAGTGTAGTATCATTAGGTGGCATTCGGCCAGAAATGTTTTCTTAGGAGAACAATTATTATTAGGAAACTTTTAGCATGTGCTTGTGACGAGCAGGGAGAAAAATTATTATTACGAAACTTGAAGCATGTGCTTGTGTTGAGCAGAATCCCTCTTCCACGAGCACCATCCAGAGGGCTACCCGCACACCCTGACGCCTGAGGCAGCAAATCAGGTGGCGTGGCTGGAGCTGCTCTGCCCTCAGCTCAACAGGTCCATGCTGCTCACGCTCTTCCAGGAAGGTTCATACATTTCTGACTTATATTTAAACATATTAAAGTAAATTTCGAATTAGTCTGTTGTACGTAAATGAACATAGAAGTAACTAATCTTCAAGGAAGGTCTGAATTTCTGACTTGTTTTTAAACTTATATTGAAGTAAATTTCAAACTATTCTGTAGTACGTGAATGAACATGGAAGGAACTAACCTTCCAGGAAGGTTAGTAAATTTCTGAAGGTCTGACCTGTATTTAAACATATATTGAAGTAAATTTTAACTATTCTGTAGTGCGTGAACGAACATATACTAACTGAAATAAGTACAAAGGGCTTAGAAATACTTTTTCCTCACGGTGTCACTTTATTTCACTTTTAACAATTTTAAACATCCTATCACCACCCAATATTATGTATATTTAACATTTGGAATAATTGTATTCAACGATCCTTAACCATAAAAAACTTATGATGCCACTTTGGGTATGTGTATTTAACTCTCTACCGCCTGACATGAGTAACCGGAGCAATATTGTCACGCGCCTACTTCCCAAAAAGGATACGTTCTAGTGAGCGCAAAATGACTTGCACTGATGGTTGCCGCCACGTACAATTTTGAAATGTTCTTTGTTGCGTACAAACGTCCTCAGGTTGCTACACTCAATAGTTTACGAATAATTTAAGTTAAATTTATGTTCCCGGAAAGTGACATACGGCGGTAGAGGGTTTGAAATACTTTTGTCCTATGATCTTTTATCTAAGATTCTTAAATAAGAAAAACTAACGATGACGCCTTGGTTGACGAGCAGCTAAACTTTAAAAAAATTATGATGCCGCTTTAGGTGTGCGTTTTTAATGTTTGGAATACTTTTAACCGACGATCTTTAAATTAAGATTCTTAATTAAGAAAAACTAACGATGGCGCCTTGGTTGACGAGCAGACAATATTTTCGAGAACGCCGCCGAGGTGGAGAAGAAGTGCGACAAGGTCCGCAACGTGACCGTGTCTGAGGAGGTGGTATATTCCTGGAGCTTCATTGACGCGCTCTACTTCAGCATGACCGTCACCACCACCATCGGTGAGTGGTCATCACATCTCTACTCGATGTGTGCGATGATGTATCAGGCACCACCACCATTGGTGACTTATGATGTACCAGTCACCTCTATTGGTGTGTGATGGTCTTCCAAGCACCACGTGACGCCTGAAGAATTTGTTCGATTTATGAGCGAGGTTAGAATGATGATCATCACTGCACTATCACCGCTAGCATTTTCTTCGCCATCAGTGCACAAAGACACTAACTTAATAAACTTCCCATAATGTTTGGTCAACACAAGACATCTGAACAAAATAAGTGTTATTTGATATCCCTGGGGTAGAATATTTATACGTTTAGGTGTCAAATGATCGTGCATGCCTCCGCGACTGTTCCTGTTTAGAAAAGTAGCGCTGCATCTGTTCATAGTCGTGTTTATACGTCGTGAAAATCGACCTTTGAATCCATCATCTGAATGATATCATTCAGTAGGGATCACTCATAAGCCTCCACCGATGTAAGGTTTCTCTGACGACCATGAATCAGCATGAGTTTGGCAGCCCTCATACTAAATCACTCTATTCATTCCTTTATAGACCACCACGAACATTCATTCCTTTATAGATCACGTCGAGCATTCATTCCTTTGGTGAGACCTGACCTCCAGAGCGCGCGTTCTATGTTCGTTATATTGTCTGTTAAAACACTCGACTGCAATGCAAGTCCATCTTGAATGCGCCGTTCACCGCCATGAATTGATGCGATGCACTTAATATATAATATGTTGAGAATCTGACACGGACTGTAGTCAGTGAGCATTGGCCGTGGGACCAGATTATTATTCCGCGTCGACATTTGAAAGAAGTGACAACGCAAATGACGTAAATCCTACTCATGGGATTGGAACCTCTAATGCAAATGTCGTAAATCCTACTCCATGGGATTGGAATCTCTAATGCAAATGTCGTAAATCCTACGCATGGGATTGGAACCTATAATGCAAATGTTGCAAATCCTATTTCATGGGATTGGAACTTCTAATGTAAATGTCGTAAATCCTACTCCATGGGATTGGAACCTCTAATGCAAATGTCGTAAATCCTATTACATGGGATTGGAACCTATAATGCAAATGTCGTGAATCCTATTACACGAGATTGGAACTTCCAATGCAAATGTCGTAAATCCTACTCATGGGATTGGAATCTCTAATGCAAATGTCGTAAATCCTACTCATGGGATTGGAATCTCTAATGCAAATGTCATAAATCCTACTCCATGGGATTGTAACCTCTAATGCAAATGTCGTACATCCTACTTATAGGATTGGAACTTCTAGTGACAATGTCTTAAATCCTACTCATGGGATTGGAACCTCTAGTGCAAATATCGTAAATCCTTCTCATGGGATGGGAATCTCTATTACAAATGTCGTAAATCCTACTCATAGGATTTGAACCTCTTATGCAAATGTCGTAAATCCTACTCATAGGATTTGAACCTCTTATGCAAATGTCGTACATCCTACTCCATGGGATTGGAACTTATAATGCAAATGTCGTAAATCCTATTACACGGGATTGGAACTTATAATGCAAATGTCGTAAATCCTATTACACGGGATTTGAACCTCTAATGCAAATGACGTAAATCCTTCTCCATGTGATTGGAACCACTAATGCAAATGTCGTAAATCCTACTCCTTTGGCTTGGAACTTCTATCCTTGTTTGTATTGGGTTTCATCAACAGCCTAGAAGAGCAATACCGGATGCATGCTGGTTGTGGGTTTAGTAAAGTAATTATTCATGTAGATGACGCGAAATTTTGCATAGCAAGGAATGTATAATTTATTTGCTGATTCTTTAGTATTAGGTAATTTGGGAATTTACTAAGATTTCGTATACGATGAAGCGCATGACAGTGCTGCAGCTATAGTAGTCGGCAGACGATGTCACTAATTCGGTCGACAAAGGAATTTAAATAAAGCAATTTGTACCGAGCTCTTCTCACAACATAATTTATGCTAAACACTGCGCACTGTGATGCTTCGTCTCACTTCATCACCCGCAATATGATGCTTCGTCTCACTTCATCACTCGCACTGTGATGCTTCGTCTCACTTCATCACCTGCACTGTGATGCTTCGTCTCACTTCATCACTCGCAATGTGATGCTTCGTCTCACTTCATCACCCGCACTGTGATGCTTCGTCTCACTTCATCACTCGCAATGTGATGCTTCGTCTCGCTTCATCACCCGCATGCATGGGACAGCGAGCCAGCCTTGAGGATGCTATAAGAACATTTTGTGTCTTTTGACTGTCACTGCAGGCGTATCAAGTGTCATTGCTTTGTGTGTTCATTGCTTTGTGTGTTCATTGCTTGGTGTGTTCATTGCTTGGCGAGTATCTTGTTGAAATATTGTTCTTCACTGCACATTCCATCAGCGTTTGTAAGTTAACCGTTTTCCATAGCTGTTTTGATCAATTGAAATCAATATTTCAGAAGCTATAAAGATGGGAAAAATTGCTTCGCTTCAATAGATTTCTCTAATAAATACGTGCCTATGAAAATCACACACTTTCAGACGTGGATTATAACGAAAAAGTTTAATTTCAGAACAATTTTGTTGAATTAGCATTCCTAACATTGTACGGCTTGCAAAGCACAGAATGAAGCCACACGATTAGACGGTTATTATTTTTTCTATCTGTTGGCCTCGAGTAGAGATCGCGCTAGCTAAGTAATTCCAGTTTTGTAAGCTGGCAAAAAAAAGCAACTGAAGCGGCATGCTGCTAATAGACACACGGCAGCGACAGACACACGCAGCGACAGGAAGGCACCCTTCAGGTTCTGTTAAGAGCTATTGAACGTCGAGCACGTGTCCATGCAAGAATTGTTTTTTTCTTCTCGGAGCAAGCAATGTTTGGTGTATTGCTGCGTCAATAACTTTACTTCGGTGTAAAACTCGTCAGTTTTTTTCGTAGGTTGTTGTTTCTTAAAATACATGTCCAGGTCTCTAGAAGTTGCTCGTCATCTATGTCCCACTAACATGTCATATATGTCCCACTAACATGTCATCTATGTCCCACTAACATGATACCTATGTCCCACTTAAATGTCATCTATGTCCTACTAACATGTCATCTGTCCCACTTAAATGTCATCTATGTCCCACTAACATGTCATCTATGTCCCACTAACATGTCATCTATGTCCCACTAACATGCCATCTATGTCCCACTAACATGTCATCTATGTCCCACCAGCATGTCATCCATGTCTCACTAACATGTCATCTATATCCCATTAACATGTCATCTAGGTATGTACCACTAACATGTCATCTATGTCCCAATGTTATGTCCAGGTAACCTGTCAAGTTGTTCACTTACATAATCTCGTCTCATGATCGTAAATTAATAAAGAAGTTGAGGATAACTCAATCAAATGAAAGAAGCAGGCCCAACGCATGCCAGGTCTTCACACTGCATTGCTCTCTCCTCTCGGTCAATAAAGCAAGTCGCTCTGAAGTAAAGGATGGCTCGTCAGTCAATGGACACCTGGCGGTCGTTGTCGACTTGAAGTGGTTGGAGACTGTAAAATTACGTCTGTTAGACACGCGGCTGCTCTTTTGGCTACGTAAAGAATGTGTTCAGGGTACAGAACTCCGGTATTTTTGTACATGTTTTACCAGAGTGACAATGGGTTAAACGACTGGGCGGAGGCCCAGTCATTAAACCCAATTATGACCAAATAATATGTCGACCCAATTATGACTAAACCCAATGACTAAACCCAATTATGACTAAATAATAATATCGAATAATTTCGATATTATTCAGTGTTTTTCCTCCAGTCTTTTAAGATCCTCAGCTGGAGACCACTTTTCGGTAAGACGGCTGCTGGACCACGTTTATATGATTTTTATTTGTTTATAGTAAAATGTATCTGCAACGTGCGTACTGTTTGTCCAGCTTTTATTGGTTCACATTACTTGGCCTGGTAAGCTACAAAAAGTGCATAATCTCTTATAAATCTTGAATTTTAAAATTAATGATTCACCCTGGTTTCGTGAACTATGTTAGATTTTGCCTTCGTGGATATGATATTGAATAATTTTTAATTTTAGCCTAATATTATTTTTCAAAACATCACCAATACTTGAACCGTTATCGTTTTTCATAAATTTATTGCTAACAACTCATCCCTCTTTCCAGAACAAGTAGCTGAGATTGTGCCTGCTATGTGCACTCATTTTTTTAATGCAGGTTTCATAAAAGATCAGAGAGTATTTCTTACTGACAATTTTCTGACTGTTTTTCTCTATTCTGCGAATAAGGCTATTGATAGGAAGTGAAAACTCAAATATCAGGTTTCCGAAGGACATTTTATTTTAATTTTTTTGTACAGGTTACGGTCACATCTGTTTTTCTCTATTCAGCGGATTAGGCTTTTGATAGGAATTCAAAACTCAAATATCAGTTTTCCGAAGGACATTTTATTATAATTTTTTTGTACATGTTACGGTCACATCTGTTTTTCTCTATTCAGCGGATTAGGCTTTTGATAGGAATTGAAAACTCAAATATCAGGTTTCCATAGGACATTTTATTATAATTTTTTTCACAGTTAGGGTCACATCTGTTTTTCTCTATTCTACGAATTAGGCTTTCGTTAGGAATTGAAAACTCAAATATCAGGTTTCCGAAGGACATTTTATGATAATTTTTTTGTACATGTTACGGTCACATCTGTTTTTCTCTATTCTACGAATTAGGCTTTCGTTAGGAATTGAAAACTCAAATATCAGGGCCTATACTTTCAAACAAAGTAAAGAGATCGTATGTTCATGAACCAATCATTGACGGCCTTTTAAGCAAAATCTACCAATCATGGACGTGAAAATTGAGCGTAAGTACTTACGTTCACTTAGCGATTTTTGAAAGTATGGCCCCAGGTTTCCAACGGACATTTTATTATATAATTTTTTTTGTACAGGTTACGGACACATCGCGCCCACACGGGCGGCCGGCAAGTTGATGTGCATGATGTACGCTGTGGTGGGGATCCCGCTAACTGGCATACTTCTCGCCTACACATCCGATGTCTTCGGAGAGAAAATATTCGCTATCTACAGGTCAAAAGTGCGTGGAGTTTCTTATCATAAAGAATCTTATCTCTCACTAATATATCTTTATGCTACTTTGAGAAAATATTCGCTATCTACAGGTCAAAAGTGCGTGGAATTTCTTATCATGAAGAATATGCTCTGTCGACTAATATTTTGTCATGCTACTTGTTTTACTTAATTATTTGATGTTTGAATGGGGTTGATATGCGGATCACTTTCCTGCAATAATTTAGTGACCGATACTATTTCCAACTAAAATATTTACCTTCAACAAGTCACAGCAACAGTGGGAAGAAATGTTACCCTATTAATTCCTGAGTTGAATATAAAATTTCATCCGATTAGGCAACAAAATCAACAAAATACTTATGTTTTTGCAAGTGTTTGCAATTTTTATACTTCTTTCTTTTTGTGCAATATGGAACAACGTTTTATGTGGTGATTATCCATCCTCATTAACAAGATGTCTTTCACATGCAATACCAAGGCTGGGAAGTTGCGGTAAGTACCTGGAATTGTTTAACCAATTAATCGAGAGTAAAAAATTAATACAATATTTTTAAATAATTGAAACTACTTATTTGATTGTGTAAAAAGATTCATATGAAATCTTTGCTGGAAAAGACAAGGGGTGGGCACGACTAAGTATATGAAGAGTGCACCTCAGCTTCTTGAAATCGTCCGAATTGCGATGGTTTCCTTGATCGTGAATATATGCCCAATGACTCAGCAACATTAGTACATGCCAGGCCATTTGTGCCGACTACAATCCGAATGTAATGAATCAAGAATTGGTATCTGCATATGCGCATAACTTAATTAATAAATCTTCAAATGCACATGCATTTACATATGATGATCATTTCAACACCAGCTTTTCGTAAATATCTTCCACGTTTTTCACCTGACTACTCTGAACTTCTCAGCTAACATGAACTATAACCCTGAAGCGGTCAACCGTGGCAATGACAAGTTGTGATGAAATTTTAATTCGTAATGATTGTTGTTTTCATCTATCTGCTATGGACCAACATAATGTGAACTATCGCTTCAGTTGAGCGGGCAGATGATAACATAAACGTTATTTTCATCTATTTGCAATGAACCAACGAAATGTGAACTATCGCTTCAGTTGAGCGGGCAGAAACAGAGGTCCCGATTCTTCATCGTGGCAGCGACTGTTCTGTACTTGCTGCTCGGCTTCGTAGTGTTCCTGTTTCTACCAGCCATTGTGTTCGTCTACGTCGAGGGATGGAACTACCTTGACAGCGTCTACTATGCCTTCATCACGCTTACCACCATCGGCTTCGGCGATATCGTATCCGGTGCGTATAAATAAACTTAGGCAATCAAAATGTTTATAAGGAGCGGATAGATAACTTAAGCATTGAACAGGAAAGAAAAAAAAGATCCGAGTATAATAGTTGCCCTACTTTTGTTTGGCAGAATAATGTTCATCCATTGAAGTTAAAACAAATGCATACGTTTAAGTTCGGACAAATGTAACGTGTGCAAATTTTCCTATAAAGTTCGACCTCATCGTTCGAGAACCTACGGGTGGTTTTACCCACTTTGTGCGTTTTACAATATTTCAATACAATATTATTGCAATATTCACAATATTATCGTGGGATCACAATAGTGATTTGATCTCGAAAATAATCCCAAACACAATAGTGATTAACACATGCGAACTTGCACCGGAGAGTGGGCGAAAGCCGGATTGTACGGATTGAGTAATTGAACTTGGTGCTAGAGTGAGTTAATTCGTTGTCTACTGAAGGTAACACAAGTTATCAGGCCTTTCTATACAAATATTGATGATGGTTCCATACGTACTTTGCGAGAATTGAGTAAAATTTTTTCTAGATAGCGATGACCTTTTTTGTTAGATATAAGTTTTTTTTCCACTTTTTAGCGCATTTCTCATTTATGGAAAAAATGCCCTATTGTGCTCGCCATGTCCGTCCGTCCGTCTGTCCGTCCGTGACTTCACGTTTTCGTCGACGAGAAAATGCGCTCTTTGTTACTCACTGCAGTGAGTACTGAGATATATTTTTTTCTAGATAGCGATGCACGCCACTGCGCGCTAATACGCATTTTTTTTACCTGCCCCCCTTATTCCAGGGTGACCCACACTTCGAAAAAATGTGCATTGCAATTTGGACAAATAAGTACGCTAGCATGAATTCTATTATTATTAGTCGTATTATTAATATTAAAAAGTCGGTATTAATAATATTAAAAATAATAGTCGATATTAATAATATTAATATAAATTAATAGTCGGTATTAATAATATTAAAACATTGTAGGTCGTGGGATGGAGCCTGGCTGGGGGCACGCTTGCTACCAGCTATTCGTGATCGTGTGGATCATCACCAGCCTGGGCTACTGGGTCATGGTAGCCAACTTCATCACCCGCGCCCTCAGGTGCTGCAAACTTTCATTTATTTATTTATTATTATCATATCTTCTACTTTCATGTCCACAGCTATTGTTTATATTAATATTTCGCTAGGGAGAATTCTGTAAGGTATTATAATTCAAGTATGTGGTGAAGTTTTATATAAATGTTATATTTTACTTGTCAGTTTGTATTATGTGTGCTGCAAGCTAACTTACTTTCATGTCCTCAGCAATTGTTTCTATGAATATTTCACTATTAAAAATTCTGTAAGGTATAATAATTTAAGTGTGCGGTAGAGTTTTTTATATATGTTGTATTTTACTTAGTTTGTATTATCTCTGATTCGGTCAATTATGAAACAATATTCAGTCAGCATTAATATATCAAAGGCGTCGAATCGTGTGCTTTATAATGAATATCAATGATGAAATGCTGATTACTGTTGTATTCAAAATACCGTATCATGTTGCTGTGGTATTTTGAGAAGCATTATGATTCAAGTTCACACGGTTAAAAATTCCATTTTGTATTTCACAAGTCCGATCGGTTGGCTTACATCAGTATCAATTAAAATTAAATGTCTCACGTCTGGATGTTTCGCAGGTCGAAAAAGCTCCACATGTCTCTCATTCATCGCGCCAAACTCCTAAAAGATATCATGGAGAAACAGAACGACCCCGTCTTCTTGCCGCAGAAATCCAAACAAGCTTTTAATTTCATTATGCAGGTGAGGCAACGAAAAGTACTCGATTAGCTTCATGATGCAGGCGAGGCAACGAAAAGTACGCGATGAACTTCATGATGCAGGTGAGGCAACGAAAAGTACGCAATGAACTTCATGATATATGCGAGTCAACGAAAAGTACACGCTTGAACTTCATGATGTCGGTGAGTCAACGAAAAATACGCTATGAACTTCATGATATATGCGAGTCAACGAAAAGTACACGCTTGAACTTCATGATGTCGGTGAGTCAACGAAAAATACGCTATGAACTTCATGATATATGCGAGTCAACGAAAAGTACACGCTTGAACTTCATGATGTCGGTGAGTCAACGAAAAATACGCAATGAACTTCATGATATATGCGAGTCAACGAAAAGTACACGCTTGAACTTCATGATGTCGGTGAGCCAACGAAAAGTACGCAATGAACTTCACGATACAAGTATTTTTCACCATATTCGATTAAGCAGACTATTATTTACTCGTATTTAATTTAAGACTCGTCAGGAAAAATACTACAACTCTTGTCCTGCTACTACTTCCCTGGGGCCATACTTTAAAATTTGCTAAGTGAACGTAAGTACTCACGCTCTATTTTCTTGTCTATGATTGATGGATTTGGCTTGAAAGGCCGTCAATGATTGGCGGATGAACTTACGATCTCTGAACTTTTTTTGAAAGTATAGGCCCAGGTCGTCAGGAATGTTTCAAAGACTATATTTCTTTCACTTTTAAGTGAAAGAAATAAGTTTACAAAGACGATATTTCTTTCACTTTTTCTCCCATATTTTAGGCAGGGCTCAAAAATCTCATTTCTGTGGTCAGCTGAGTTCGATTCTGGCCGTAGACGCGGAGAACGCGAAGCAGCTGCAGTTGGAGGACCCTGACACCGCACCGGGCCTGAGCGACAAATCACGCAGCTCTTCTATGCCGATGGGCATACCGGGCATCAGCTCTCTCTTCAACATGTCTGCCATCTCCCCGACGTCTATGAATAATCAGCTATGTAGGAGCATGGTGAGCTATTAATTTATTATTTATTTAAATATGTTTAATTTTTTTCCTAATATTGTATACTGGGCTTCTGAAACCAGCACCTCAATATCATTGCACAAATATTGTCTCGAATCAAAATATGAATTTTGCCAAGTGGTCTATGTCTCCACATTTTAATCAATTTTACGTCTTTGTCATTAACGTACCTCTTGTCCCGATACTGTCTTTTTCACTTGTAGCTAATTTTAGTAGTTCATATCTCTGCTCCCGATCGAACTATGTAGCTATATCATTTTACCTAGTCACTTATTTTTACTGTATTTCCTTAACATGCTCCAGCTCGCATAGATATTTTAGTTATAACTTGCACCCGCTCCCGGAAGTCATCAATATAGTATAGTAGGTATAACATAATATAGTTTAGGATAGCATAATATAGTTTAATCAGCCTGGTCAGCGTTCATTAGGCCGTTAGATCTGTCGCCGATTAATATTCATAGCTTGTTGCGGTCTCGAACACTCAACTCACTGCTCAAATTTTGCCGTGCTGAACCGCTCGGCCTCCTCGCCGATTTAATCAGAAATGTAGCATTTAGCTGGGATAGAACCCATAGCTCTCGGCTCCAGTCATGATACTCTCTACTTAAACCACCTGACTACCTTATGCCACAAATATGCAGAAAGTTTCACAAGTTTTCCCTCTTAATTAAACCACCCGGGCCACCTTAATTATGCCGCAAATTATGCAGAATGTTTCACAAGTTTTCCCTCTTACTCGAACCACTAGGCCACCTTATGCCATAAATATGCAGAATGTTTCACAAGTTTCCCCTCTTACTCAAACCACTAGGTCACCTTATGCCGCAAATTACGCAGAATGTTTCATAAGTTTTCCCTCTTACTCAAACCACTAGGCCACCTTATGCCGCAAATATGCAGAATGTTTCACAAGTTTTCCCTCTTACTCAAACCACTAGGTCACCTTATGCCGCAAATTACGCAGAATGTTTCACAACTTTTCCCTCTTACTCAAACCACTAGGCCACCTTATGCCGCAAATTATGCAGAATGTTTCACAAGTTTTCCCTCTTACTTAAACCACTAGGCCACCTTATGCCGCTAATTATGCAGAACGTTTCAAAAGTTTTCCCTCTCTAGGTAAGCACCGTTCCTGGCGGGGGATCGGAGTGTTCCCTCAAAGCCGAGCATCCCGTTAACCCAAGCTACCCTCCCTCTCCTTCGTCCGTCACCAACTCCCTCGACACCACTAACAGCACCATCACAATCGATTGTGATGACTCCACAATCTCCTCCGACCCCGCCATCTAGTCACTTCAGTCATATTATTTAGAAAGGAATAGCACCGTAGCTAAGAACACCTAGTACGCGTTAATGTCTTTAGAGTCCAAAATTTATGCAGAAATATCCTTCGAAGGATGGGATGGATAGCTGCAAATTCATATGAATGTGACATAAACAATATGCGCGAAAGGTATAGTTTGGAGGGTACAAGCGTTCTTACTGCAATTAATGATATGCAATAAAATGCAGGCAATATGTTTTACTGACAAATTACTGGATCCAAAGGAGAATAAAAGAAACAAGTTGTTCGGTTCAGTATTTTGAGTTTGGAAAGTTAAGTTGCGCGAAAGGGAGCGTACCGACGAAAATCGTACTGTATAATTCCATTGATATTGAAATTCATGTCTTGAACTGTTGAGTCGGAGAGTTACGGGAAGTTATGTTGCATAGTGTTATACATGGTGCTCTAGATATTAGATCATTCATTTTTGCATGATCATTTTCCGCTTCGTAATTCCCATGGTATCCGAATTTGTCAGACGCTTTTAGGAGCGACTTCCGCTTTATCCTTTCATAGTTGAAAATTGAATGCTGAATTGAATTATATGAGAGGGTGAATCAAGTCGATTTTAATTATTCGATGGATGCATAGCAGAAATTGAATTATGTGCAAAATTTTACGGGCCCTTGATTCAATTGACTATATATATGTCAGCTCTTTTATTATTACCACGGTAAATCATAGTACAAGAATCACATCGTTCATTCCATGTTGATTGGTAGTGACTGTTGTACAACAATCAAAGAGATTGTTTGGATGTTGATAATACCTTTTTTACTACGAACTGTGCCATTTTACTATTATCGCTTTACTCATGACAGTCGAAGCACTTTTTCGAGGGAAGTGATCGTCAGAACCCATCTCTCCTCCTCTGTCGAACGTCTCAAATTGTCGAACCTTCTAACGCGGATGAATTGGAATCTTTTTTACGCAACTTTTTAATCTTTAACAATTGTTCAATTTGTTCATTTCATTTAATGACTTTATTTTATTACCTCTAACCTCATCTTACCATGACTACTTTATTTGTGCCATCGTATCAATTCAAAGACATCGAGTCGTAATTTTCTAGTGTCTAATCTCAAAAATTCATCGATTACCACGGCTCCTCTCGAACGGTGGGTGGTTCACACAAATTACAGAGGTTTTCTGCGAGTTCCATGCAATCGCTGCTAAGTGCATTATACAGTATGTCATGTAGTTGGCGGCTTTAAATGAGGCTCTTTACATCTTATTATGAGAAGTCCTTCATGAACTATAACCATCTGTCCAAACAATCGTTCACGACTGATGCCCATAAAACAAAATAATATCAATTCGCTGAACCTTTCTTCCGGTGTCAAGGCAAGGACGCTCACTTTGAAGACGATACTTATGTTAATATTTTGTATTCGTGTATTTTAAAAATATAACGTATTCATTATTTTAAACCTTATTTCAAATTTTTTCGTTTAGTTTATTCATGTCAACGTTTAATTTTCTCCAGCCGATAGCGTGATAGCGAAACTGCGTTTTTAAGTTTGAAATTTTGTCGAGGTTTTAAACCGATCTTGTTAATTCTGTTGTTATTCGCAGCTATGACATGCGTATTTCTTGTAACGTCTATGTGATTGATGATTACCCATTAGGATGACCTTGACATCATTTTTCACATAGTCAAGAGATTTTAGCCGACGAGCTCGCTTGGCATATTGATTATTAATTTTAATGTGATATTTTACTGGTCAGCGATAAATTGGAAATAAATTGACCCAAGATTCAGTATCGACGTGATTTTTAATATCCTATGAGCAGTCACTGGAAACGAATTAATTATAGTGTTGCGGCTTTATTCTGACTTTGGAAAAGAGTTGCGTTGTATTTTCATCGAGTACGGTAATTTGATTTAATTTTAGTAGTTGGTATTTATAGTCACTCGCCAAGTAACTTTAGATAGTGAATGATTTTAAGTTTTACATTCTGTGGTCAGAAATAGGACTTGTCTTTGTCCAATGAGCTTTTAATTTTTGTATGTTAGAATTAATTATTCATAAATGTCTGTGTCGTTAATTTAAAACAATTGATTTATACTGAAATAATTCGAGTGGACTGAGTTTATTTAGATCGATAGAGCGTATCACACATTCTTGGAGCTTCGAAGTTTATAGTGCGTAAAAAGCTGAGCCTCACCCGTTAATAAACATTGTTTCCATGTCATAATAATGAAAAACATTTTCTTCAATCCTATGATATCTATTTGTTTTATGCTTCGAGGTTTAATAAAGTATTGGAACGTTTTAAATTGATGCTATTAGTTAGGAACGTCGTCAATATGAAGTCTATCAGCTGCTGCTGATTCGTTTCAATTTACAAAAAGCAAAGCGAGTTAACCCCGAAGCAGAGATGAAAGTTAATCCTGATGAAAATCCTTAGCCTAATAACCCAGAACATTCTTGTAAGCTTGGAAACGTGAGTTGGTCTTTGGCTCTTTGCTCCTGATGTTATCGACGTGGCAGCGGTCAACCTATTTGGGTATTAGTTAATGACCGCACCTTTGTTTACAATTACTGGAAGCCCCGTTGCCATGGCAGCGGCCACACGTCCAAACGTGCGGGCTGCGGCGCTCCTCAGTCCTCAGTAACCTTCTGACTGTCGTGTGAGGATTGTGTGTTAGTTCTTCGATCTGGAATGTTTGGTCATTTTCCTGGAAAAAACTCTTTGCCGTGCCTGCGACAGGCAGAAATGAAGTTAATACATTCTTAAGTAATGATTAAAATGTGCTTGATCGCCTAATGTTAGATGATATTAGATAAAAATATCATCGTGCATGTATAATTTTTACGGTTTTGATGACGTCTTCGACACGAGCATGCCCGGCACACGAGCGCACCTGGACGCAGAAAGGAAGTGGTCGGAAGTTCATACTTCGGATCTACGCCTCACTTCCACATCAACACCTGCGCAAATTGATGACTGTTTACGTTGTAAAGAGTGCTCCGAACTTAATTATAACTTATTAATAGAGCTTCATTTGTGTTTTATTTGAATATTCGATTACTGAAAGACTTCATCATTGATTGTTTGCGGACAAATGATCTTATTAAATGCCAAGAATTGCATTAGCGAATGTATAGAGTATAGACTAATAAATGATTTCATTATAAATGCTGTTTCGTGATTAAATATTGATACTTTGAAATAAATGATTCGAAGGTAGACGAAGGTTTGAGTTTCATATCTGTATTTTTACATTAAAAATTACCGATTTCTAGCGAAGGTAGAAAATTTTTCCAGTCTGTGAGTGTAAGATGACAACAACTTATTACTGACTGATGATTAGTCACTAGTGTAAAATGTCTCATGATCTCCGTGTTTCAACGATAGATTGCGAGCCTTTATTTTAATAATTACAGATGTTTTCAACTTCAGAAAGCACCAAACATAAAAACTTTTGCTAATAGAAGACTAACTTTGAACTTTTGAAGGGTAACGAATTGAAAGTACTAACTGAAGAAGTTATACTAGCACACGGCAGCCATGCGCCTTCGCGTGGGCGTTATATTTCTGGTAAGTAACGTATTTAATAGTAATGTATTTTGTTTTTAGCGCATAATGCCATTTGTTTATACCGCATGTTTATCGATCTTAAAATGACTGAATACTCTAAACTTTTCGTGACTTTTTGCCACATTTTGTGGTACCCACACTAATTTTGTTCCCATTAAGCCTCGAAACCTCCATGTGACAGAGAATGTGCCGACGAGAACCTCGTTATCCACTATATCCAGTCATATTGATACATATTTTGTTCTCTTCGCGGTTTTTCGAGTCGATACGCCATTAAACTGGCGTGAAATCTCTTTACAAATTAGATACAGACAATTTTGGGTAGACATACTATTTAGTTTGGCCTGTGCGGCTTACCACTGCCTCATTGATGATTGAGAGCGTGACTAGGGCTGCCTGGCATTGTGACAGACTAACTAAGATGGCAAACATGATTTGCTGGCTCTTGCTTGTGGCCAAACTCCTGCATTGCTTATAATAATGTGCGAAGACTTTTACAAGTGTTTCGATACCTCGAATTTTTAGAGTAAAGTTTTCTGTCCTATCTTCATACCTATTTAGTTTCCACAGTCTGTTGTATGACAGAACTGCGGGTGGCATGTCGTCAGCGACATGGCGTCTCGGCTAAAGTTGAGCGCGGCTCACAGACTCGCGCTTGTCACGCTCTATAAGTGATGCGTCGAATGAAACTTGCGAGTCTTGCACGCCTCTGAATGAGCTATTGGGCGTATCTCAGACAAAGTACATTGTTTGAAAGCCTCGTGTTCTATGTCCTTACGAATGAGATCTCATGTGTTGAGCCCTACATCACTCCTTCGTAAAAATTTGTATGAGTGGATTGTCAGTGTTGATTGACAATTCAATAGATAATGAATGAAGAGACATTACCCGAGTATTTAATCATAATATCGAGAGTACGAATCGCACCAAATGAATGCTTCTTATGCTGGTTTGCGTTTAGGCTAGCCTCGCTAAATAAACTAGGGCAAAATCGCTGTCTTCATAATATAGATCGAGTGATTGATACCATCGATATCATAATTATACATTCAAACAATTTTATTTGCGAATTTAAACTTAATTTTCAGTAATATTGGTGAAAAATAGTTGGAAAACATAGAGAATTGGTACATAAAACTTATATTTGATATGTTGGTCATAAAAATCACCTATATATAAATCACGAAATTCCTTGCACATTTTTCCACTATATTTACCCCCATTAAATATATATACCTGTATTTAAGGGAGCAAACCTTCGTTTGCTTTCTATTTTATTTTTAGTTAACTCTACCTACCTTTCCAAAAGTATAAATATTCGTTACAAAGTTATGTTACTTTGGAAAAATTAACAGTATACTCAATTTCGAGTTAAATTGTGAAATACTGATCACCCTGTAATTACACATCTATCTTCAACTATTCATCTCGTCGCCCGTGTATCCAGCGTCTCCGAAGAAAGGAGTTCCGGAAAACGTCTGAAACTATAATTGTAGAACTGTTATCATGAGAACAGGCTTGTCAAATGACAGGTTTTAAGTAGCCTCATTAAGCTCTCACTATGAATAATCTGTGTAGTGCCGCAAGCTTGATACTGATAAAGCTCCGGATGTCGTCTGCTGCATTCGGAGCCGTGCAGGCTAACCAGACAAACCTAACCTGTTCCTGCTCTACATTGCACTCCTCTGGTCTCCTCGACTTATTATAGTTCACGATAATACTTGAATAATCTGTGCAATGGCTAACGTATTTATCATTTTAGGTTTACGTCTTTTGTATGTTTATTATTCGTGCTTTGAAATCCACTAATTAGCGCCCGTTGATCGGGATTAAGATTAACCAGAGCTCGATCGAGTGGTACATCATGAACAATTGAATATTCTTGTCTGTTAGATCGCAGTTTGGATGGTTCTCCGTGCATGTTCTTTGTTTTTGCCACTTTGCACGCTTACACTTGTATCTTTGAATTACGTAAGCATTTTTCTGGATTCAAATATCAAACAAATTGATTCCAAATGAAACGAAATATAAAGGAGACCTTCCGATCACATAGAACGGATATCCTTTCACGTGGATGTTATTTCTTCTCTTCCCAATGATAATACGCATAATGGAAGTCAGATGTACCTACTTGTTTTGCATGTACAACTAAGCCGCTTTTATATATTATTTTTTATTTGGCTGTGAAGACAACGTGTTGATTCATCCTCGTTGATACTCCAATCGTTGGCTGTTTCGCAGGAAGCGATCGACTCTCGACTTCGCTTTCTGCTTGATAAATGAAGCGACCGAGGCACGGTAAAACAATCTTCCTTTCTTGTGACTAGTACTTTACTTATTATTGTCCTTCCATTCATCTCGACGAAAAGGTCTTCTTTTCCTTTGCCTGAAAGCGATATTAATTTTTAAACATTTTTCGCGTGTTCTATTTTGCGCGGATTCACTCAGTGCTCGTTTTCCAAACACACGTGAGAATAATTCATCTTGCTACCTGCGTTCCAGTTTTCAAAATAGTTCCGCTATTTGTTGCGAACTATTCTGCATATGTTTTAGGAAAAAGGTTGTAGGAAAAATGTTTTAGGAAAAATGTTCTCATATTTATTGGTCATAGTTTATATGCATGTTTGCAGCCTGGGGTTTTAAATCAAATCTAGCGTGGTATTATGGATACGCTGGTGGAACGTATGCATGATGCTAATCGTGTGTGGGATATTACCTGGACCTGAAAATTTATTCATATTGAGAGAATAGCAAGACATACCAAATTTGGAGGAAAGGATTGGATCAAAAATTAACATTTTATTTTAAAATTAGAAACTGGTGAATTGAATTTGAAAGACGCAAAATATTTTTTTATATTTTGAAATGAGAATCGAAGAGAGTTCTAGAATATAAGTTTAAACGGACATTCCTTTAATTAGCATAAATTAATTTTATTATTATTAACGGGAGTCACGATGATTGGATTCATTCGTTTTGTATTTTCATGAATATGCATGATACAGTAATGGATTCTGCATTAATGAACATATACGCACGAGACAGTAATGAATTCACAGTAATGTATATGCATGTTCTGGGTAGTTTTACTTTCATACGTTTTCCGGTCCGAGGGCAAAAATTCTAGAATGATGAAAAAAAAAATGTTCTCAACAGAGAACATTTTAAAAGTTGTCGCGCGTGGCAGCAACCATCAGTGCAAGTCATGTTGCGCTCACGAGCAACGTATCCTTTTTGGGAAGTAGGCGCGTGACAATATTGCTCCAGTTACTCGTGTCAGGCAGTTGAGGGTTAAATCATCTGCTTTCACTTGGCGCAGCATCTATTACACCCGTTTGATTGACGCGCCACTGCTTGAACCGGGATATTTTTGAAATGTCGCTATTCCTTGGTTGTTTTTTATTTAGAGTAAAATAATGTTGAAACGCTTAGAATAATATGTTTTCAAAAATTTTCCACGTTTCATCCTGCCTGGTGTTCCGTGAACATTTTTATTTTGAATTTCGACCATCATCTACGGATGGTTTTCTCATCATTAGTAGTAGGCTAGGAAGAATACAGATTGAAACTCAACCACCATTGTGAATCTTGTTAGGCCATTTAAATACGCTTGTTTGTCACGTGTTTCCATTCTATTCCTCACAACGCTTGACATGCTCCCCACAGTTGAGCAGGTACTCAGCAAAGAACGTAGATCAGAGTAAAAAATTCTATTTTCGTCCACACCTAATAGGTTCTGCGTTCATTGTTCGTGTCAAGCTCACCGCACTCGCTCCGCTCACTACAGATCTGTGGCTCAGTTCAGCCTCAATTGATGGAAAAAGTTAGGAACTGCGTCAAATGGCACGACAGTCACGACACATCTGCGAAGCAAGTGCCAACATTTTATAAGGCGATGGTGGAAACTCTGACTTCTCATGCAGTCCATTTGGAAGTAACATTTGCGAGTTCTTTTAATTAGTTCTGAACGAATAGGCCGCGAGCAATATTGTGTATTCCAAAGAAATGAAACAGCCATGAGACCTTTTATTTTTCTGGGGGAATAAAACAACCGCGAAACCTGACATTAATTTCAGTGAAATGAACATTGAACAGTCGCGGTTTCGAAAATCGATCGACATTCGCAAACCTCGGAGGTTTGCTAGCATAGTCCATGCACGTTTCACCAAACATATTTCAAGCTTGCTATCTATGTTCATGTTATAGTTGCTTGTTAAATATCAATGAATCGTATTATGCAAAGACTATTCAAGTTTTTTTTAGATACTTTGTGTTGCAGTTTCAGGTTACGATTAACAAAGGTGACATCAGTGGTGTACCCGTCTACCCGAGTTGCATGTATGTCAACGGAATACTCAATATCATGTGTCTACGGAATAATAAATGCGAGATTTGCTGATAGATGCATTGTGTGGCAGTGAATGTTGAGCAACGCTAACATGAGTTTTAGGAAACTTTAAGAATTATAAGGCATTACTGAGAACGAAGCAAGAGACCTACCACGCTAACGCCCACCTCACGCGATGTCGGCTTTCACCAATTGCGGTGGCGGTAAGATCTCTTCTTCAGATATTTTATCTGATATTCAAAAGCTTTCAGTTCAATTAACCCTACTGAGATCTCCTCTTGTTTGATTAGGTGAAAAATGATTCTTATCAAAATATACTGAAATAAATTCAAAACTGGATGTAGATGTGCACATGTAAAACACCCGCATAAGAATCTGCCCTGCAAATTCGAAAGAATTATGACAAAGAGTGTGTTGCTTAAATTACTGTGCTTGACTATATGAGAGGATTAAAACTCAGGTACCGAATGTAAAAAAAGCTCAGTATGGCTTCAATAAGCAGATTGTTTGAAGAATTGTTTGAGATGTATAGACTGCTGGTCCGTCTCGACAATGCGTGATGTCCCCCTGCTTACTGAATTGATACCAAGTTTCATTTTACCCTGTGTGAATTGAGTTTTTAAAAGATGCTTCTCGAGCAAGTAGGGCAAGACTGCACTACTCGCTCTATAATATGCAAAAAATAACTTTTCTTCGAAAGTAATTTAGTTTTACAACATCCCATGCATAAGACACAACTCATTCCGCAGCTGCCAACTCTCATGAGTGAATGACACCCCGCCTAACTTTGCAGGTTCTTGCAGCGGTGACAGCAGCGACTGAGCTGCCTTCTGCCGCCACCTACACGCAGCCTGGCAACGCCTTCATCGGTGAGTGCAAATATCAGATACCACGCATAGAATAGAATAGAAGTGTCGGCGTTGAAAAAATAGGCCCATGGCCTGTTACCGATTCTTGAACTTTTCGTGACTTGATTCACAAGGGATCCGGCCTTTGGAACCCGATCTTTCCATAACTGACGATTGGTTGAGATAGCTGCTGGACTTATTGCCTGGTAATGGAGACCATGGGCGTGAGGATTAGTTACACTGTTAGAAAAATTACCGGTAACGGAATTACCGGCGTTTCAGTGGCCGGTCGGCACGTGAAAAGAAACACCATGTCGCCGTTTTTATTCTAATTTAACACTAGAAATCCGTAAATCATCTGATAAAAACGGCGAAGCAGTTTATTTTCACGAGGCGACCGGCCACTAGAAAGAACGCCAGTAAGACCGTTTTTTCATCATTTTTTCTAACAGTGTATAAGGGGGATTACGAGGAGTGTAGTTTGAGTGGGTGTAATTGCCCATTCTGGTAATGGCAACTAGGTATGGGAAGGGGGTGATAGGTCAGTTTTTCGGTCACTAATGCCACTGGTAGTTTCACGACCATCACTGCCATGGCTCGCTGACCCGCCAGAACCATTTTATTGCACTACACAACACCCTGGACAAGCCAGGTACTCAGTCGGAGGATACGCGGCATGTTGTAGAAGGATACGATGAGCGCTGCCGGGGGATACGTGGAGTGTAGTGGAGGATACGCGGCATGTTGTAGAAGGATACAATGATAGCGGCTGGAGGATACTATAGGAGTGTAGTCGGAGGATAGGGAGAACGTAACAGGAGGATACAAGGATAAATGATAAAAGCTCACTGAAATCGTGAGAAATTCTGATAGACTAAGTGATTTAACGATTTTTACCGATATGTATGCATTACCTCAATGTGCATGTTGAGATTCGAATTCGTAATGTATACATGTTTTTTATTAAATTTTTTAATTTTTTCGAGAGTAGCTGAAGCAAGAAATCATGTAAAATTTCGCATCCACGTAAAAAATGCGTTTTTTTTTTTTGCATTTTGAAATTTTCAATTGTAACTAAAGCAAAAAATCATGTGAAATTTCATATCTACGTAAAAATGAAATTTCTTATAAATTCTGAGCGCTAATGCGTGTATATTTTTTATTGTTTGATGCTAGCCGTGTTCGCGGGTCTCCACAAGCCGGCGGCTCGTGGCGTCGCTGCTGCCGGCAACGCCACAGGGACTGTGGGTGGCGATGAGCCGTGTGGCGATGTGGCGTGGCGTGGAGTGCAGCAAGCCACAGCCGCCGAGTGGGCGCTGCAGGCTGCCAATGCACAAACAAATCCAGACCACTTGATCGGTGAGATGACTTCTGTATTGTTAAGTTATTTGTTATATATTTATATAAGTTATTTTTGTTATTTATAATATATTTGGTATAAGTTATTTATTATATGTAGTTTGATGTAATGACGTTGTATATACGAGCCTTAAATCATGCTTGCAGGATTAATTACGTAGTGGTTCTTGTTTCTTGTTTTCAAAGAGAATTCACGCATTATTTTTATTGGTAAAGGTTCATTTACATCGTCTTCCATGCCATATCACAAAAAGATTTTTGATATTTGTTAACACAGCTATTTGATAGACGTAAGTCCGAGTCCTATTGATTACTTGGAGGTCTAACGCACTTTCATTTGAGAGCCTTTATATGAACAATGATATACCGAAAATACGTTAATTTAACAGCCCAGAGCACAGGTTCAAAATTTGAGCTTTAAAACTTCACACACAAGGAACGTTTTCTGAGAGACTTCTTTGCCGTATTATCCTTTAAATACTTTGAAAATTTACTTTATTTCATTTATTCAAACTGACGATGGAGCTGGACTCCGAAACGTTTTCTATAAAGATAGGTATGAATTTTTGTGGACTATTCTTTGCTTTTACATTTTTAGTTAACTTGCCATTTAAGCAAATAAGTGACATAAATTCTTTACTTTATTTTAGGAGGAAATTTTTCAATGTTGATTTTATAAGGATATTTTTCAATGTTGAATGCAGGATTACGCGTGCTGGACACCTGCGGTGACGCCACCACAGCCCTGCAGCAGCTGCTGCACCTTGTCGCCTCCACTGGAATTCAGGGCTCGCCGTCCCTCATTGGTAAGAAATATTGTATTTTTACATATTAATTAAATATTAAGATTAAAAATTAAATTTGAAATTAAAAATTAGAACTGAAAATTAAAATCAATAAGTAAAACAAAAAGTAATATTAAAATTGAAATTAAAAAAATAATTAAAATTAATAAGTTAAAATTAACAAGTTGAAATAAAATAAGTTACATTTTAAGTAATTACCTTATTTCGTACGCAAAGGTGTGACGTTATCATAAAAATATGTCCTTTCCTGTTAGTTAGGAGTGCCACTTCGGTCATATTATATAACTCAGGACATGGTCGACTTTAGATTAAATATTTGATTGGATTTGAAAATTTTTCTTTTGTGAGATTATGCACGTTAATTCGGTGGTAAGATTATATAGCGACTCTGTTCTGTTTTTCACTCAGCTATGACCACACCTATGTACGAATGCTCTTAGTCATGGATATAAAGTATTCCAGCTCGTTCGATTTCTAATGCTTTGCAGTTTTTTAAAAATTCACGAATTGAATAAAATTAACTGTTACATACCGTGCAACTGCGTTCTTCATAGTCTTCAAGAAGTCATTATGTGATGGCATTAACCACATTGGCAGTGTGGCCCAGTGGTTACAGTTCAGAGTACCAAGATTGGCGCAGAGAGGCGCGGGTTCGATCCCAGCTCTGTGCGCCAGTTTCTGGTCAGAATCGGCAAGGAGGCCGGGCAGTTAAGCAAAGAAAATTTAAGGCAGTGAGTTGAGAGTTCAAGCCCGCAACAAACTGTGAATGTTCTGCAATGTTAAGAATCGACGACAGGCCTACCGCCTAATAAACGCTGAAACCGCTATTATAATATTAGTATATTTGACGTGGCGTTAATGTTACAACGTGGCCGCGATTTATATGGTGGTGATGCTGTACCGTGGCCCTGGTTGTGTGGCGTTGCTGCTGTACCGTGTCCCGATTTGTGTGCGGGTATTATGTACCGTGGTGGTTGACGACATGTTGCACGGCAGGCGTGGTGTCCGTGGAGGACGCGACTGTGACGAGCGCGTTGCTGCCGCTGCTGACCTCGCTGTCAGTGCCGCTCGTGGTGACCTCACTCGAGGCATCGTATGACCTCCCGCCCTCACCAGTCCTCTTCTCGGCCAGCCCGCACCTTGAAACGCTCACCAAGGTGACCAATTAGGTTACTAATTAAGGTTTAACGTCGTGAATCTATATCTATTCATAAAATTAATAGCTACCACAGTGCTTCATTTTCAACATCGATTAAGTTCCCATTTTTAAATGACCTCTTCTCGCTCACGAGCCTTTGCTCCTGCTATTCGCTGGAATGATTCTATGTTCAGTAATTGCTACGAAGAAACTTTGTAATTTATTATATTTTTACAGCTCCGTTTGATTCCCTGTCCTGTTACACCTACAAATAAACTCTTTGTAATTCCTTGTATTTCTACAGCTTTGTTGTAATATAAATTTCCGTGCAGAGCATCGTTGCGGTAGTGGGGCAGATGCTGTCTCGGGACGGTGATCGTGCCGACGGACATGGTGGTGGACCTGCTGGTGGTCGTGACGATGGACGTGACGATGGACATAGTGGTGGACCTGGCGGTGGACATGGCGGTGGACATGCTGGTGGACATGACGACGGACATGACGATGGACGTGTGGGCTATGGCCGCGTGGTCGCGCTGTGGTCATGCGAGCGCGCGGCACGGCAGCTGCGCGCAGAGGTCGGCAGGGCAGGACTCGTCATCAGCGCGGAGATGAAACTCAGCTTCAGCAGTCCTGGGTCTCCCCACCCCGCAACTCTGCGGGACCAAATCTCCAGCTTCGTCGACGACACAAACCTCGTCAGTTTAACCACGACTTGAATAGTTTGTTAAGTTTATTTGTATTATTTATTTTTATAAATATTTCATTTTAATGAGGTAATTTTGTTACTACTATTAGGTAATCACTTTATTTATTTCATATTAATATGGAAGTCCCCTTCGATCTATAAACAGTAAATCCACGTGTGAGTTTTGTAATAGATTACGCACATCAAATTCTCAACGAAATAGTTAATTTAGTTTATTTTTAATGAGTTAATTGTAGTACTTCTATTAGTTAATTACTTAATTATTTCATATTAATATGGAAGTCCCCCTTTGATCTTCTATGAACACTGAATCCTTGGCGGCAACACCGAACGTGTGAGTTTTATAATAAATTACTTACATCAAATTCTTAACGAAATATTTGATTTAGTTTATTTTTAATGAGTTAATTGTGGTACTTCTATTGGTAAAATACTTAATTATTTCATAGTAATATGGTAGTCACCCTTGATCTCCTATGAACACTGAAGCCTCGGCGGCTACACTGAACGTGTGAGCTTTATAATAGATTTGTTTGTTTCTGAAAGTTCCGTGTGTTTGTTATGAGAAGCGTAAGGAATCACCTCGCGCCGATTTTCTGCTGGAAATCACAATAACTACATGCGGTAATAATTATCATAGAAATAAAATTCTACTCAATTTATGATCATACTCAGGCTCTTCATTGATTCGACTTACCTTTTTCATTTTCGTGTCGTCAGATTAGCGCCTATTTCAGGAAAAAGACGTTCATTCTCTCTCTAGTAGTCACATTTTAAACGTTTGGCTACTCTTAACATTTTATTAACTTTAAATTATAATTTTTAGCGCATTTTCTCATTAATGGAAAAAATGCACTATTGTGCTCGCCATGTCCGTCCGTCTGTCTGTCCGTCCGTGACTTCACGTTTTTGTCGACGAGAAAATGCGCTCTCTGTCACTCACTGCAGTGAGTACTGAGTTATATTTTTTAGCGCATTTTCTCATTAATGGAAAAAATGCACTATTGTGCTGGGCATGTCCGTCCGTCTGTCCATCTGTCCGTGACTTCACGTTTTCGTCGACGAGTAAATGCGCTCTTTCTCTGTCACTCACTGCAGTGAGTACTGAGTTATATTTTTTAAATTATTATAGATATTATTTTTGTGTTACAGAGCAGTGACGACGTAGGGATCCTGCTGCTGACGGTGCAGGAGGCGCGGCAGCTCCTGCCTGACGGCGACCGCCCTCAGCGGAGGCTCCCTCAGCTGCGGTGGCTGCTGGCCTCCCTCGAGGACGACCCGCAGGCCGTGCACACTGAAATACTCCAGGTATAAGTCTTACAAAATACGTTAAATTGTTTTAAAATTAGATTAAATAGAGTTCTTATCAAGTTATCCGCAGGCTGTGCAGACTGAAATACTCCAGGTATAAGTCTTCAGAAACACGTTAAATTGTTTTAAAATTAGATTAAATTGAGTGAAGTTATTCGGAATTAAAAATTAAGTGGAATTCAATCTCGTCGCCTACTAAATAATTCAAAATTAGATTAAATTGAGTGAAGTTGTTCGAAATTAAAAATTAAGTGGAATTCTATCTCGTCGCCTAATAAAAAATTCGAAATTGGATTAAATTGAGTGAAGTTGTTCGGAATTAAGAATTAAGTTGAATTATAGCTCGTTGAATTCTCTCAAAATACGTCAAGTTCTTAACGAAGTATCGCGTTTTTGCTAAATAAAAATGGAACTTTTTAATTAATTATATTACTCTTTTCTGAATTATGCACTTAATTATACATATATGTATTATAATTATATGAATTATATAACGATACAGATTACAACTGGCTATGCAACTGGTCAAGTTATCTTATCACTGCGATTCCAGTTGTCGGCGCTTCTATTTGCAGCTTAAGAGGAAACGTAGTTATCTATATTGATTAATTAAACTTTATTAATGATATATTGATTGATATTGATAAAATTTATGTTGCTGCAGTTGCACACTGAGCTGCCTGGCTTGGTGGTGGTTGGTCCCCACAGCCCCAACTTGAGCGCCCTGCAACGCCACCTTGCCGACGAGGTCTGTGACGAAACCAACAACGCCAACCACGAAACCAACAACGCCAACCACGAAACCAACAACGCCTACCACGAAACCAACAACGTCAACCACGAAACCAACAACGCCAACCACGAAACTAACAACGCCAACCACGAAACCAACAACGCCAACCACGAAACTAACAACGGCAACCACGAAACCAACAACGCCAACCACGAAACCAACAACGCAAACCACGAAACCAACCACGTCAACCACGAACACCCCTTGACACCCCCCGAGATAAGCCCCCCGTCCCCAACACCTACCACCGAGGTACAGAAGGGCAGGGAAGCAGTTAAGCTCTCCAGAAGGCGTCGCTCTTATGAAGGGAAACTTCCTGACGGAGATGGAGCCGCGACCGCCTTGTCCAACTCCCCGCTCAACAGCTCGCGGTCGTCTATCTTGTGGCCGGTGCTGCATGAATATTGCAGCGTCATCTCGCAACAGGTGATCACAAATTGTTATTTTATTCCTTTATTCCTTTTATCCTAATTGTAATCTCTGAAGAGTGAATATTGAGGATAATAACGTGGAAAATGCAGAAGTCATTATATTTTTACTTCCTACTTTTTATTAGGTACCGGATTATGTTGTCACTTGCGCATGAAACGGATGGAATCGAGCACTTACCTATATTCACATTCATTCATCAAACATTATATGGGACTTCGTAGTCTACGGTAGTCAAATTAATTATATTATACATGTTATTTCATGTAGTCATAAACATGTCATCTTAAATAAATCCACCGCAAAGTCTTAGCTTTAGAAAATAAAGAATTTTTATGTTTTTTTGCAGATCATCTATTTTAGCTAATTCGTTAAAGTTTGTAGTAAATAAGTTGGACTTATAATTTGTTTTCACTTGTGTGCATCGCATGTGTGTGAGTCATCTGCCACCCGAGAAAAGACGTATCTCAGCTATACGTTCAGAAAGTATATTACCGTCAACAGAAACAAATGGCAGCAAAACAAAATAATAAACGTTGGCCAAAGTGACTGGGGTGACTTTAGCCACCTGCGTGACTTTGGCAGAGTGACTGGTGTGACTTTGGCCAACGTTTATTATTCTGTTTTGCTGCCATTTGGTTCTGTTGTAGGTGTGGCCGAAGTCACCCCCGGTGGTCGAAGTTACCCCAGTTGACAGTACTAATATTTAGACATTAAAACCCATTCATTTTTATGCGGTTGTGCGTTGATATAAATTTCACTTCCGCCACCTCCCGGTGCTCAAGGCCCATATTTCCAAAAAAAAAAAGTTAAGAGATCGTAAGTTCATCAGCCAATCATAACCCCCTTTCAAGCAAAATCCACCAATCATAGACAAAAAAATAGAGCGTAAGTACTCACGTTCACTTAGTGAATTTTGAGAGTATGGCCCCAGGTCGCGGGGTGGGACGAAGGTCCCGGGACGGTAGACGCGTCCCTGTCAGCGTCGGTGCTGCGCGCCGTGTCGTCCCTGACGGCGGCCTACAGGCTCCTGCAGCTCGACTTGTGTCCCGACCGTCCCAGCCAATGTCCCGGCAAGCTCGACGCGTCTCTGCACAAAAGTGAGTCAACTCAATGATTTTTAGTGCATTTTCTCATTTATGGAAGAAAAGCGCTATTGTACTCGTCGTGTCCGTCCGTCTGTCTGTCCGTGATTTCACGTTTTCATCGACGAGAAAATGCGCTCTCTGTCACTCACTGCAGTGAGTACTGAGTTATATTTTTTTTTGTTGAGTATAACCTAATCTAATGTGTGATGCACAATCAATGATTTAACAATTATGTCTAATAAACACACACTCTTGATTTAATACACCCTCGCTCTCCTCAACAACATGCCCCCCACATGTCCCCACAACCCCCTTAACCCCCCTCTGGCCCCCCAGAGCTCGTGGGGAAGCTGGGGTCTCTGTCACACGAGGGGGGCGTGGGGGCAGAGCGCCTGCGCTACACGGCAGACGCGCGCCTGCGCACAGACTACTCCGTGGTGACCGTCGTGTCGGGGCACGCACTGCGGGTACGGAGACTTCTGCCCACATTAATGTTACTGAAAAATATTATTTTATTATTATTATTAATAAAATGATAATTATGACTAATATTGATATTATTATTATATTATTAAAAATATCGTGGTGCCCGTGGTGTCGGGCCACGCACTGCGGGTACGGCGGAGACTTCTGCTGATATTAATGTTGCTGAAAATTCTTATTATTTTATTATTATTATTATTATTAAAAATAATATTAATTAGTAATATTATTATATTATAAAAATATTATTTTTATTATTTTGAAAGAATATCACCTTAATTGTTTGGCTAAACACACACCCATTATGTGTGTCTTAAGTAAGTAACTACATTAATGTTTAACTAAATACTCTAACCCCTCTGTCTTATTCATAACTCTGACTTACTCGTGATTTCATAATGCATATGACTTATTTTGCTCAATATGTACGAATTTGGGGCTGTCGAAGACATACGACGAAATGGTATTGATAAAAGATTGTTCGTAAACAACAAACTTTGTACGACTTGTTTATAGGATAGTCTTCAACGTGGCTAGCAATGCTAAGCTGTAGGTGAATATTTTCCTGATTGCAGGCCCTCATTATAGCTTGAGTATTTAATAAGTCCAGCAGCTATCTCAATCAATCGTCAGTTATAGAAAGTTATTCAGAAAATTTTTATTATTATTGTGCTTAAATTGCAAGTTAGCCTAGAATTAAAAAGTAAAGAAAGCGCAAAGCAGATAGAAGATATAGTGAATTTATTCAGCGTTTTCGTTAAATTTAAAGTAATGTTGGAAAATTAATTATTAGCAATTAATTTTTATTAAACTTGCTTTTATTAAGTATTAATAATTATTCAATGGTGCGGATTAATGTTGGTTAATGAATTATTATCAAATTAGTTTTATTACTTTAGTTTATATTTAGAGTTATTTTTATTATATTATATTATTATTAAATATAGAATTAGTTTATATATAAAGTTAGTTTTATTAAGTATTAATAATTAATAAATGGTATGGATTAATGTTGGCTAATCAATTATTATCAATTTATTGTTATTAAAGTCACTTTTATTAACTATTAATTAATCAATGCTGTGGTCTCAGGTGGGCCAATACTTGGAGGGGACGGGCATGCAGTGGGCGGAGGAGCCGTGGCCCCTCACGTCCCCTCGTGAGGAGACCGTCCCCTCCCCCAGCTACGTCCCTCGGCTGTCTAAACCCCTCGTGTCACGTCATCCTGTGCGCCCCATTGTTCAGCAGGTAATTCAGGCCATTATTAACCTTTAATTCAGGCCATAATTAACCTTTAATTCAGGCCATAATTAACCTTCCTTTGAATATTTACAGTGAATAATTCGGCTGTCATTCTTCCCCTCTCCAGTCCCCTAACGTCACCACTCCACCCCATCAGTCCCCTAACGCCACCAGTCCACCCTATCAGTCCCCTAACGCCCTATCAGTCCCCTAACGTCACCAGTTCACTCTATCAGTCCCCTAACTTCACTAGTCCACACTATCAGTCCCCTAACGTCACCAGTCCACCCTATCTGTCCCCTAACGCCACCAGTCCACCCTATCTGTCCCCTAACGCCACCAGTCCACCCCATCAGTCCCCTAACTTCACCAGTCCAACTATCAGTCCCCTAATGTCACCAGTCCACCCTATCAGTCCCTTAACTTCACCAGTCCACCCCATCAGTCCCCTAACGTCACCAGTCCACCCTACCAGTCCCCTAACGTCACCAGTCCATCCTATTCGTCCCCACCACCAGACCCCTAACCCGTCCCCACCACCAGTCCCCAGAGGTACCCCGTCCATAATGCCACCAGTTTACCCCATCAGTCCTCTAACGTCACCAGTCCCCTCTACCAGACCCCTAACCCGTCCCCACCACCAGACCCCTAACCCGTCCCCACCACCAGTCCCCTGATGTACCCCGTCCATAATGCCACCAGTTTACCCCATCAGTCCCCTAACGACACCAGTCCCCTCCACCAGTCCCCTAACCCGTCCCCACCACCAGACCCCTAATGTACCCCGTCCATAATGCCACCGCCCCTACAGTACGACGAGGGCTGGCGGGGTACGACGTGGTCTGTGCTGTCGTGCGTCGTGGCCGCCGTGGGGCTCGTCTGCTGCTGCTGCTTCCTCGCCTTCATCGTCGCCCGCGCCTGCGACGGCAGCGTCGCCTGTCGTGAGGTGAGACGCACGACGGCAGCGTCGCCTGCGCTGAGGTGAGACGCACGACGGCAGCGTCGCCTGCCGTGTGTTGAGATCATCGAAGTGGACGCCCTAGAGATTTCCCTATTGAAGCATTACTCCAAGAATAAATCCCACTATTATAGATTCAATTATTCGATCATTTTCAAATTTTTATAAATTAATATGAAGTTGCTTATCTGATGATAATAAACAGTCGTTAATTACGTTTTCATCTCATGTCAGATGCACTCATCCATTAAGTCCACCAGACAGATCAATACAACATCGAAAGTCCCCGTAATGATGAGGGCTGATGAAGCAGACGATGTTGTTCAGATGTTTGCTGATGCGGAGTGTACAATATTGACATATTTTTCTAAATAATTTAAATAACACATGCTCCAAGGAATTTAAAAGCAAAGAAAACACCAAGCAAATTCACCATATCGATTTTGAAAACGTTTCGTAGTCCAGCTCCATCATCAGTTCGGAAAACTAAAAATGAATAAAAAAAAAAATTTCAATATCGATATGATGAATTTGCTTGGTGTTTTCCTTGCTTTTAAATTCCTTGTGAACTTGCGATATAAGCAGACTGATAATATAAGTACTTAGTGCTCCAAATTATAGGATTAGATCCTATAATTTGGCACTAATATCCTGATATTAATTGCATTTGCGTGACAGGTGCCCGGTGTGCTGATACTACTAGGGACATGCTGCGTGTTTATCGGTGTCATCGTGCTGATCGTGCCCGTGGCCGTGCACGACTTGGAGCTGCTGTGCTGCCTGCAGCACGTCGTGCCCTACGTGGCCACGGCCTTCACCTACGCGGCCATCCTCACCAAGGCGCTGCACCTGCTCGTCCTCCACGCCCTCACACCTCATACACAGGTTTATAGTGTAATATTATGCTGGTGGCATGTTCCTATAATAAGATAATATAATATCCTGATGTCAGTTTTATAATATAATATGGTAGTGGCAGGCTTATAATATAATAACATGATATATGAGCGGCAGCTTTGATTTGGTCAAAGTGTCCCAGTGTTTACAGCGCGGAGTACCAAGAATTTTTCTGTGAAGTTACATCGTATCATGATTGACTTCTGTATTGATATTATCGGCGATGAAGGCGTTACAATCAGTTGACATAAACTTATCAATACCTCACGTTGTACGTTCTCACTGTCATGCTCACCCGCGCCAGCGTAGACTTTTCCACTAATGTCTACGTAACACAGACAATAAATGTGAAACATTGATCATAATGGTAATGAAGCGGTAGAATGAATTTAAAGGCACATTCATGCATTTAAATCCACGTTTCAGTTTCAGATGCCGTCTGCACTTCTGTATTTGCCGTTGGCAGCACTCGTGGCACTAGCAGCTTTAGTAGCAGCGCTTGGGGACCCAACGACTTTGCACTTCATCCTCCCCAACGAAATAAACCCCCATGCTACATCAGCACCACAGCCTGTGGCACTGGATCATGACCACAGTGTCAGTGACTCTGGCACCGTTCGCCTGGAACTCGATCCTTCACAGGATGGCACTGGCCCGCTGCCTGTCGTCGCAGGACCTGAAGATAATTCGTACATGACAGTGGAGCTGTGCAAGAGGCCTGATCAAGTTCCTCTTATGTTAGGCTATGGGTATCTCATCACTATGCTGGTCATCACCATCGCTATGCTCGTATCCGTTAAGACGCCCAAGAAAGATACCAGGAGCCTCCGCGAGGTGAATTGATACATTTTACCTTTAAAGCTTTTGTTTACATGATAACTTTTATATATTCCTCTCATTTTGAAAATTCCATCCTTTGTAGTTTTTATTTGTACGATAACTATTATGCATTCCTCTCATTTTACAAATCACATAGGATTTTTATTTTTCCGTTTGCTGTGTTGGTTTTAAAAATATTTTGGCTCTGTTGCACTACTTTTTAAGCCTCGAGAGGAGAGCGGCGTTGTGTAAAGTAAGACGCGCCCGACCTGGTCTCGATAACCTGACCGATAGGTTTGTTCAACTATATAAACTGCCCGCTCGACTCATTCATTTGTATAATATATGATTCTCCTCTGGACTCTTAAATTCTTCCAAACAATTATTGTAATTTCTATTCACTGCACTGTTAGAAAAATCACCGTTAAACGATCTCACCGGCGTTCTAGTGGCGGCCGGCACGTGAAAAGAAACACAGTATGGCCGTTTTTATTAAAATAAATTTAACACTAAAAACCCATACAACATCTGAAAAACGGATTAACGGTTTATTTTCACGTAGCGACCGGCCACTAGAACGCCGGTGAGACCGTTTTTTACCGTTTATTTTCGAAGTGTACTTTTATCAGTTCATGAATGTCCAATATTAAACAAAGAGTTCTAAACTGGTATCCTTGCTCCATGGACTACAATGATTATAGTCATTTCTGTTCACCTGTTGATGTGTTCACAATATTGAAACAAAGCGTCCCACATTGTCAGTGTCGGCGCATGATGGCGCTGTGCTGCGTCTCCGTGCCGCTGGTGCTGCTGTGGGGCGCCGTGACACTGTGGGCGCCGCTGCCCCTGCAGCCACAGCTCGAGGCGTTCGCCCTCTTGCTCATCGCCTACGCCGTCCTCGCGCTCGTCATCGTCCCGCAGTTCGCCCACATCTCCTCGCGCACCGTACAACAGTTCAGGTCATAGAATAGAAGTGTCGGCGTCGAAGAAATAGGCCCATGGCCTGTTGCCGATTCTTGAACTTTTCGTGACTTAATTCACCAGGGATCCGGCCTTTGGAACCTGATCTTTCTATAGCTGACGATTGATTGAGATACCTAGCTGCTGGACGCTAATGTCATGAACGCTTATTTTCTTATCTTTGTTTTTATTTAATTTGTTTACTTATATCCTATAAAATCCGATACAGAAATTTGCCGCTGGTATGCATAAAAATATTTGTTTTAACATATCCTAATTCAATTGGTAGCTTCCGTGACTGTGAGATTCTGGAGTGGACTGGATGCTATTGTGTGTTTGCAGATATATAAAAATGTATTAATTTACATTTTAAATGAATTTCACGCCTCTTTGCTCCTAACGAGTTAAATAACTTACTGAGTAGTAAATCTGGAGTGAGAACCTTTCAAGAAAAATGTCGACCTGATGATTATTTAATTCCAGCTCATACAGCCATAATCCAGTATATTTTGTTATTCTTAATAAGTTAGGGAAATGACTGAGATATTAATCTGTAACGATTACTTTCAAAAACAATATCGACCGTGCAATTATTAGATTTGTCCTCCTACAGTCACAAACCTCTGTCCCAAGCTGGAACGATCTCGACGGTGTTCAAGATCCCCCCGAACTCTGGTCAAAAGTTTCCCTCTTCCGTCGTCGCGTACAAGAGCCGCAGCGATGACGCTGGCCGTCGTTTCTCGGACATATACTTCGGCCGAGATTTGTCCAACAAAAATCTCAAATGCGACAACTTGTCCAACTGGACGACATTGCGTGCCCCCGTATCTAAGAAATACGAAGCTAGCTGGAACTCCATGGACGCTTTGCAAACTCCAAGGCATGGAGGCTACCAGAAGAGAATTAGCGGCTTTCCTCAGGAGGGCATACGTGACGGCAAACAAACCATGGAAACGTTCCGCTAGTGGACAATAAATTCTTGGAAGGAGCTTGTGCCTCCGCATTTCCAATATATGGCAACAGGAAAATAATACGATGTATAATCCGGTTAATACATTTTTGTTCATGGTGCACATTATTCACGAAATAATGTTGAATGGAACTTGTGTCCTCGTATCCTCAATATATATCAACAGGAATATAATACGATGAAGAATCCGATTAGCACATTTTTGTTCATATTGCACATTACTCAAGAAATAAGTACGGCAGCACTGAAAGTTCATGTAAGTTAAGTCTTAAAGCTTTCAAGACGCCAATGTTGTGCTTATTTAACTTATTTCTATTACAGTTATTGCACATATTGTACTGGAGACGTTGGAGTTGTCAAGGTTACGCGCGTCCTTTGAACTTGTGCACAAATTCTACTGAGCCGTGATATAATATTACAAAGGATTTATTATAATAAATAAGTTAAACTCGAACTTGTTCACCATTCCAAAGCACTGCGTTGATCTGTTTAGATAGGATTTTTGGTCAAGGAATTATTGCATTGTTATTTTTGTGAACTATTTCAAGGAATTTTAGAGGCTGTAACTTACCGTTTACGAACTAAGCTCAACTTACCCTGTTTTAATGGATTACAGTGAGAGTGTTCAACTACTATGTAATATGCAGGTATTCATGATTTATTTGCCTAATGTTGCGTTCATTTTTGATGTAGGAATTCATTTTAATAAGTTTATGTTTAATCCAGCTGCACTCTTGATAGTCAATTGAATTACCGACTATCGACAGCCGTGAGTTCAGTGAAAAGAACACCATTTACGGACTAATCTGAGCTTAAGTTCCCTGTATTCTAATGGCTACGTAGTGAGAGGCCAAATTTGAGCATATCATCTTATGGGTTGGAGGCTCAAGTGTGTTCTTTATTTATAAAGAAGCAGAAAACCAATAAATAATTGGCTTGAATTTTGCAGTGCTGCTACCACGCCTGGTGGTTCCAAAGCATCATCTCTCAAGTCAGTTTATTAAGATTATATTACAATCTTAAAGTAATTATGAAGTAATTCATATTCATTCTGTGCGAGTATTTTGCCTCTTTTCCTTAGGAAGAAACTATTCCTATATAACTGGGCGTTCCAACCGAAAATCTCACTAAAATATTTAGTAATGAGGTTTTCACAGAACTAGATTGGATTCGTTCGTATTGAGTAAATCACTTGCTTAAATCAATGTAATTCAATGGAGTCAAACGCACGTCTCCTGGAAACTTGAGTATAATATAAATGATAACGTCGACACTGGGCTGATATTGATGATACGTATTAAGCTTTTACGAACGATACAAACGATACTCAACTTGCATCGAAGGTGCTCAGATAAATTAGCTTGTAAATAAATAACCTTCACGCTCTTCGTTTTCATCTCATCCACGTCTCAAAATGTGTTCTGAAAAACATTTAATTTTGGATGTTCAGTAATAAAATTACTAGATTGCTTAAATCGCCAGTTAATCAGGAATTTAAAAGCAAGAAAACAGCCAGAATATTAACCATTTCATAAGAATGAAAACGTTTCGGAGTCCAGCTCCATCGTCAGTTCAAAACCTATAAGAAAAGCAGAATCAATTATAAAACTAAATTCAATTCAAAATTGAACACCTTTGGATGTTCAATTCGGAAAATACTATTTCATTACTGAATGAGAAGTAACGAAAGTTTTTTCTTTCGTTCTGTTACCTTGGAAGCCGTTTAAACAAGCACGTCATTTGGAACTGAATGGAACTCTCCGCATCTCATAAAAGTATCCAAACTCTTCATTTGGAACTCTTATTAGGACGTGATATTTGACTGATCGCGCCGTTAGATCAGTAGGTAAATTTGGATTGAGAATTGTTAATAGACAGTTTAAAAACTATTGATGTCGTTTATAGATGAATTAATTGAATAAAACACGAATTGTTAATGCACGCTACGCGTGCATTAACATTTTTGATACGCCAGCAAAATACTTGGAATCTCGCAACTAAAAGCTACCAGCGCGTTTATGATTTGGACAATTAGTCGATACGTTGCAAATTGGATACACTGTTTATTCACAAATAATAATTATTCATTTTGGCGGGACGAGGAAATCTTTAGATTCCACGATTTTTCGCCATAGATTGCAACCGCAAAATTAAATTGAAAAATTAACTCACAAGGTTGATAAACTATATCGGATTTCATAAATTGACAAATGCCCCTACTATATATGTATTTTTTACATGGGAATATAATAGCAATTAAATATGTATTTGGTAGAATCTAATGACACCAGTTTTTTTATAGACGATTTCGTCCTCTAACTATAGTACCGTCCAATATACTAGACTGTATAACAATTTCCAACATAAATGGGTGACTGCTTCCGTTAATTTATAACGTTACTCATTTACTGTAATAATACAGTCGTGGCAACATAAAAGTATATATAAAAAACTGTTAATATATGACATAAGCATGCGTTTATTTGCTTGGATCAGACGGACAAATTAATATGAGCATGTGATACATGTACAGAAAATCTTTCAGAAATTTGATCAAAAAAATATCAGAATCGATTCAAATATTCAATCAAATTCTGACTTTGAAGACATAATAGTATTCGATGGAGATTAGGCTTAATAAAATATAATAGAATATAGCGTGTCCATGTGGAAGGTGAACAAACAAATAAGGGGTCATTGTTGTTTCCTATTCACATAAAGGTATTTACATAAATATGATCCAATTCAAAATATAAGGTTATGCAAATATAGAATAAAGAATAGTGCATATCCATTGATTTTTGGATGCTATTGTTGTCCGCAACACAAGGTAACTTACCTGCCGTGTGACAATCCGGTTCGAGACCGACTGTCTTCATCAGCTGGTGTTCGCGGAGGAGCGCATATGCCAGAGTAGGTAGGCTGGTGCTGAAGAAATTGGAAAACGAGCTCTTGATCCCGACTATTAAGAACAACGCGTTAGTTGTATGCCATGCGTACCAAAGGCTTTAATCTTCCAACTGAGGAAGAATTAACGGTTGAAGAAATCAACCTCTCTACTCCATCTCTTCGAGCTGGAGCATTTCATTTGGGCAAATACTGTGAAACTCCATCTCAGGTTAGTCTGTACTCATGCAAATATCCCTTGATTCCCTTCAGTCTTTTGTTAATATTTCTGCTGCTAAAATATTGAAGGTACATTATTCCCAATTTCTATCCAAGTTTTTCTGTATTAGAATTAGATCATAAGGACTAGCTAACAATTGGATCATAAGCTGATAACTTGATAAGGACTCACTAACTGACTAACTTAAGTTGCAATGGCCAACTCCAACTGGAGCTTTCCAACTGCAACCATTTTCTTACTTCTAAGTTTTAAGATTGCTGTTAGAAAAAGTAATAATTTTTACTCACAGTTTTCAGAAAACTCTGCCTCCTACTGACCTACTCCAGATTTACATGTAGGTAGTTACCATAGAAAGTTTAACTATGACTATCTATGAAACCTAATTGGAAAGCTGGTATAGAAAATACTTACTCTCTTACCAATTTAAAAAATGAGGCAGAATTTTCTTAAAATCACGGGGTAAAATAATTGTTTCACAAGAATTTTTGAATACTGCAGCTGAAGACAGGCATGAAATTTGCCTGAATGAGCTGAATCAATGGCATTTTTGTTTATTTATAATTCTGCCTAATTTTCCAGTTTGGCCCTCTTAACTATATTGGAATTTTCTACTTATGAATGAAATTTTGCTCCTGCAGAATGACAAATTTGAAATTTGTAATACACTTGGAATCTTACAACCTGATTGTACAGTTTAATTATGAAGAAAAAAATGAACAAGAGACAATTCATCTAGCGGGAGTCTTGCAGCTCCAAAAATGGCAGGAACAGTCTAGTTGCAGCTTGAAAGGTAGATATATTCCACGCTAGCTTTTTGAGCCAGAAATGGATTTCTGAAGTCATTAAACAATTAATTTTTCAGCCATGGGCCGGCCATGGTCAGGAAGATGTGCCAGGTGCGCGGGAATTTATATTGTCATTTTAACGACCTGCGCGGTGCGCCGTACTATGCCGGTAAAAAAAATGCGCCGTGCGCCGACAGCGCCGTACTTTTAGAAAGCTAAAATAGTTTAAATATGGACGCGCGGCAATGCAAATTACGTAATCACACTGACTGTACACACAAACGTGTATCCGCACTGTGTTGTGGTTGGATACGAGTTAACTAGATTGCTACCGCGTCAACTCAGGACTCAGGTTCTAAGAGTCAGCACAGTATGACAGTAATGAATATTCATTTATAGATCACAATTCAATCGGACATGAAAACAGAACTAAAGAAGGCAACATGGCTTTAGATGTGCCATCGGTGCCTTCTAATGAATGACTGGACTGGTTGCAGCAAGTAGGGTATGAACCTGTATGTCAACAGTACGATCCTGCATGCCAATGTTGTGACTACATTTACATTACTATAGAAATATACCATCTGGCAATGCTGGTTCAGCGTTACTTGAAATCATCTACAGACAATGTTGCCATTCCATTCAGATGAAAACTGTGTCTAAATCAGAACTGTGTCGGACGGCTCTGCGGCCCGCGCCGAGTGCTGCACGGCGCGGAATCGATGACCGTGATTTGCACGAACGTCTGCACGAAAAAAATATAATTAGATTGATTTACGCGAGAAATTTCTCCGTTTATATACATCTTCCTGAGTGTGGTGGGCCGGCCCATTTGTTTTGTTGCATTTTTGTAAAATTAGGATTTTTGCTCTTGTTCAGCAAAGCCATTGCTGGCTATTAAGAACATCAGTCAAATTCTGTCTGAAATAGCAGATAAAACGAATTATTTCCTTGGATATTAAAATTTATTGTTTTACTTAATCAGCATAATATTAAGGGGAGCGTCTGGGGTAAATTTTATCTCGGTTATTTACAGACGGATTGATTTGAAATTTGGTACACATGTGTAAACCCTAAAATAATGCAGGTTTTACTCTTGTCAATTTTTTTAAAAAATTGAAAGAAAACGTGAAATTCTTTAAAAACGGCAAAAAAGGGGGTACTTTAGAAAATCTGTCTCCTCCTAGGATTTTCAAGCTACAACATCGAAACACATATCATTTGATGCGTAAAGACCATATCTACAAACTGATGGTGGGGTTTTTTGAATTTCTCATTTTTGTGGGTGTGGGAGCATTTTGTCCGAAATATTTCAAAATTTTTGATTTTACCTCCATTTCCCCCCCTTTTTTTGCAAAATAAAATCCGAACTATAACAAACTTGGGAAAAGCCCACCATCAGTTTGTAGATCTTTTCTTTGCAAATCGAATGGTATATGTCTCATTGATGTAGCTTCAAAACTCTAGGAGAAGATAGGTTTGCAGTGACACTTAATTAACTTTTCAGTAGGGCCCGACAAAGTCGCGTGCACCACAAAAAAGACATTCAAGGGTGCAAGGTTGCAAGACTACACGATATTGGAGCTCAATTTCTGTCAAGGATGGTGCGAACAACGGCATGAGAACCATCCCATATGATTGCAGGCGGATAACTGAAGCACAGCATGTTCAGACTAGCTATTTAAGTGTGCTACCGGTAATTTAGGCCTATATTAAATGTTATGGAACTCCACCACCCCTAATCCTTTCGCGATCTGTCGTGAATGCATAAATCAATGTACAGAGATGGTTTTGGTACCATTAGATGCGTCAGAATGTAAGCTTTAAGATGAGTATAAAAACCGAAAAAGTCAAAATTTTCTATTTTGACCCAGACGCTCCCCTTAAAATGTAAGGGCCATGGGCATAGTGGCAATCTAGAGATTTTTTGTTGACATTCCTGTAAAGGTGTCTGATTCCAATATTTACTCTCATTGGATATTGTCAAGGGATGAAGGTTCAAACTATTATTTAAGGGTAGCATGCAAACATAGTTAAGGGTATAAGTTTTAATTAAACTATTAGAACAATGTTACAAAGCAAACTAATGACAGAGAATCAAGAAAGGAGTATATGAATGAAAAGTCAATAAAATTTCAACTCAGGGGAATGAAGTTCAGTCATTAGAGCTGACCTGCACAAGTTATAACCCTAAATTAAAATTGAGGGGATTTTGTGTCTCTGACCCTATTTCATCTATTGCTAATATCCAGCAGCACAAAAGTACAGTATTCAAAGCTGCTAACCTACTCAGTGTGGGAGAACTGGGTTGATAAGTTTATTTGAAAACCCTGCACTGAGCTAGGCGATAGAGTAAAGGATAAGTCTATTACAGAAATGTTTATGTTTACCTTTGCAGATATTGAATAAAATTTTGAACAAGATCACTGATCTAGTTAAAGCCATTAAACCCCTTTAAGTATTATGTTATATCCATTATCTGGGTTACAAAGTAAAAATTATAATGTCAGAAAGAAGCCATAAGAAATTGGTAAAATTGGTCTGATGAGATAAATGCACCTGATTTGCTTTGTTAATTTTCAAGAAAACTTGTAATTTTTTTAAGTGAGATAAATTTCAAGTATGTCAAACAAAACTGTTATTATATAATTAAACACATATTTATTTATTTATACAGAAAAATATCATACACATGCAACTTTTCTAGTACAATTTACATCTAATCCAACTGTTTTGAGTAGGCATTTAAATGCCACTGAACTGAATTACCCTTTTCAATGTTTCACTATGAGTGAGGCACTTGAGCAAATTTGTAGAAGAATTAACTTATTTGGGACATTAAATGGGTCTCAGTAATTTCTCAGTTAAATTAGCTTCCAAACATGATTAGACCTTGTTATCAATTTGGACCTTCTAGAAGATTTTAGAAGTAATTTGCATAATACAGTAGTTATGCAAAATAACAATGTGTAATTATAATTGTGCAGATTTGTTTTGCTGTTAATCCTGCCTTCTTCAAATTAAGTGTCTTTAAGGGTATAGTATTGCATTGGACTTGTTCTTACAATCTCATAATTCCCAAAAATAATTTTTGCATAAAGTAAAAAAAAATTTTTTGTTAAATGCAAAAACTATCAAGCTGCAAGATCTATGGAACATAAAATTATGTCTTCCTTGCTGGCGTTTTACTGAATTAGTATTGCCATCACTTATTTTAAATTCTTGCCTTAATGTTTGATAAGTAATTTCAAGATATATTTTTTTCTGGTATATATATATATATATATATAAGCTGCTTAAAAACTCATATACTGCATTGGTGTACTAACTTACTTTACGGTTCAGTATATTGCCTTAATTAACTAGTCAAGTAAAAAATTATTTCATTATAATAGCCTTGGTTACCTAGTCAAATGAAAAATTATTTCATTATAATAATATTAACTAATTACTGATTGTTTTTTTTTTCAGGAGTATATGCTCTGCCGACATGAAGAAAAAGACATCAGAAAATGTGTTGACATTGGAAAGGACGTGACGGCCTGTGGTCTTGAATTCTTTAGGAAAGTGAAGAAGGAATGCCTTGATGAGTTCACACAGTTTGCTAACTGCATAGACCAGTCTTCTGTGGACTTCCAGTTCGAAAAGTAAGAGTTTCTTGTTATGTTTCAACCTCTGATGTGTGATTCAGTAATAACTTATCCCATGACAATGCAACCAAAATTTGTAGTTTTGCTTGACTTTCTTATAAAAGGGGTCAAACAATTTTTGCTGAAAATTCTATGATTTATCTCAAACACAATATGATTCATGCCTGATTATTTTGTTTCTGATGTTTTCAGGTGTCGAAACACTCAAGCTGCATTTGACAAGTGCATGCTTGAGAAGCTGGACATGCACAAGCCTCAACATGGGTATTACTGCAGAGCTAAGGTCCTCAAGACTGACCGGTAAGTCATGTTTCTGAGCATGCCAGATGAAATCTTCTGTTTCTCTTATTGGTGATGTTGCTACCAAAATGATTTGAGGAAAAGCTCCACATTACCATCCATTGCATGTAGACATTTTTTTCGCCCTGATTCAAATTTTGCGACCATTAGAATTCAATTAAAACATAGCAATTTCTTTGTTAAAATCGTATAGAAATTTAGAGATTTCTCTTTCATACCTTGCAATCCAGTTTTAATGCTCATTGTAAATTATTTTGTTTTGTTAACAATTTCCTGAAGTTTTCGGCGATTTTCGATTGAATCTCCTATGAAGACTACAATTTAAAATATGATTCAAAATATGTGTACTTTATTTTGTTTATTAATGTAAATTTTTCAATATTACAGCCCCAAGCCGCCAGGTTATATTTCACCGGAGTTCCCGGATGCTCCCAAGCTCATCCCCATCCCACCTGCAGAGGAGCTCCCAGAGGCCAAGCACGGCTCGCGAATCTTTGTCTGGCCTTAGTTCTCTCTTGCGTTTTGTTCATGTTTTGGGTCTCGTACATTGTAGAATAACACTATTCACGGACATGTTGTTTAGTAACATATCTGCCGACCCAAAAGATAGCTAAAAATTGGAAATCATCGGCAGTTGTTGTTTAGTAGATAGATAAAAATTGGAAATCCTAATGGAATTGAACATCAAAAAGAAAAATTGTTGTCGGTGATAGATACATGTTTCTAACTTATATTTTCGAGTATTTCCACAATCGTTCAAATGTTAGCAACTATGTATTTTCTGTATAAACACATGATTATAATACTGCGATTTTTTCATCAATAAAATTGATAGTGTATCTTAAACCAAAAATGTCATCGGCAACTGACAACGTTAGTAGAAACAATCAGCCATGCTAGAATCAACACGCATATATGAAATTAAAATACATACGTTTTAAAACTGTAGTTAATGGCCTAAATTGGGATTTGTAAATACATTTAAGAAATGTTTCTTTAAATTTCCTGCTTTGGAGAGATTAATATTCAGTTTAGAAGTGTGTAGAATAAACTGAAAAAATGGAAGGTAATTTCGAAAATATTTTACCAATCAAGGGAACGTGATGAATGCAAAAATTATACAAATTATTTTAACTCGTTCCAAGACTGTTTAAGGCATGTTTTGGAGAATGTTGTTATAGTACAGTTTGAAAATCTAGTCAAGTGTTAAGAATGGCTGAATACCCGCGTTTTGGCTGCTCATTTACTCCCTTCAAAATGCGGTAATGCTGATGGGCACGATACAATTGTTTTGTAACTATTTTGAAGGGGACTTAAAGGGGGGAAAGATATTCGTTTTTATACAGAAAAGCTTTCAAACGCACAATATTCATGCATAAAATTGGTACCGGTACTTGATCAATAAAATATGTACTAATTGTAAACTATCAAATTTGGAAACGCACGAAATCTTTTTTCAATAGCCAGCGTATAGATTAGGAATTGACACGAGTACTGGCTCTGTGCGATTTGCCTGTTCCCGTGGTAGTTTGACTTTGACTTTGACTTTGACTTTGACAATACGATTTAAGGTCCCTGACGGTCCTGTTCATCGGTCGACAACAATTTTTATCAGCACCGCGCCCATCGCAGTGTCTGTTCCAAGATGATCGAAGCCTCATCACTCGTAGCATGAGGGGCTGTACAGGGCCGGGTTGTCCCTCCAGAAACTGTCAAACCTGCTCTTGAAGCTGTTTACAGATGGTGCTGTTACGACTGACTCTGGCAGACTATTCCATGAGTTAATTACTCGCTGTGAAAAGAAGTTGCTCCTTACGCTGAGTCGGCATCTGCCTTTTGCGAGCTTCAGAGAGTGGCCTCTAGTATCCCTGTTGCTTGATAACTGGAACTTGGGCTTTAACACCCTGTACAGTCCTTGTACGTACTTGTACGTATCGATAAGGTCACCCCGCAGGCGCCTATGCTCAAGACAGGGGAGACGCAACGCTTCCAGCCTGGCGGAGTATGGCAAATCTCTGATCGAAGAGAGGAGCTTGGTGCCCCGTCTCTGAACGTCTTCAATATCAGCACATAGAGTCTTGTGAAACGGCTGCCAGGCAGAGTGTCCATATTCAACTAAGGGCCTCACAAGGCTCTTGTAAAGCTGAACAAACAAGTTTTCGTCGAGGAATGGCGTAGCCGCGTAGCGCACGGTAGCGGCGACCAGCTGCAGCACGCAGCCCGCCCGCAGTTGTGCAGTAGAATTCGTGGGGGAAGGTGTAGTGACCTTGACGCTCCAATTATGACAGAGCGCTCCAATTTCCCAAAAGCTCATGTTCTTTTATTTATACTATGGAATGCCACCATGTCTAAGCCTGATGATCTGATTAGGGATGGGATGGGATTGGGACTCCAGTGGTGACTGGTGAGTGCCGGAGTGGACCAGTCATCACTCATCAACCTTTAAACTAGTCAGTCTAGTGGATTTGTCAGAACCTTGAGACTGTTTTTGGAGTAATTTTTGGTGCTTTACTTTTTGTTAATCTTGAGATTTTTGTGACTAGGCAAAATCTAACAAATTTTTTATTTTTGAGTAGTATCCTAAGGCTATTTACATGATTTTGTAGTCCTACTTATGTTGTTGATGCAAATTTCATAACTCAATGTGTCTTGCAACTTGATAATAAATGATTGATTTATATGAAATGTTGCTATCAAAGTAAAAATGTCCTGCAGAGGCTGCAGTACCCTGATTTTCAATTTACCTCTACACTTAGGCATTGCTTTCATCAGGCTGTTTTTCTGACATACCTAGTTTTAGTGTTATTTCCCTTCAATCCATGCTCAAACATCATCTTCAGCCCATAGTCTTTCACTCTCATTAATTTATACTTTTCCCTTCTTTACATCCCACTCTTTACTGATTTCCCTGCTAGGCTGTTGCACCGCGTACTGTCAGTCTTAAAATGCCTAACAAATTACGGACCAGGCAATAAGTCCAGCAGCTATCTCAATCAATTGTCAGCTATGAAAAGATCGGGTTCCAAAGGCCGGATCCCTTGTGAATCAAGTCATGAAAAGTTCAAGAATCAGCAACAGGCCATGGGCCTATTTCTTCAACGCCGACACTTCTATTCTATTCTAATTGTCCTTTGGCCCAGCGGGCCCTTGACATGCTACATGCAGGCCACACTTGTGCACAAATACACAAAATCTACATGGCCATTTGGTCACCCCCATGTTCCACAGATAGATATTTTGCGCTCATCGTTCATCATCCATTCTTTCAAATTCCAGGCATATATGTACAAGAAGAATGGAAGCAGCATTAAGATATAAAAGTTGTACATCTTAATGCTGCTTCCATTCTTCTCTCACTAAATGTGCCTATCCCATTTCTCCTCTTAAATCCTCCACTGCAGTCCATTTGGGGGCCACAAGTACCAGTTTAGCTATCATATTCTGTACAACCTCCAATTTATCCCATTCACCATTATTCAATGCAATATCATCCATTCCATACATAATCCATATGGCTTTCTATATTATGCACTTTAAGCCCTCCTATCAATTAGTAGGTATTAACCTCTTTTCATTTTTTTTAGATGGCTTTAGTAGCTGGAGAAGAGAAAGGATTTGCCCACATGGCACAAGAAAGCATTGCAACTTGGGGTGAAGCTGCTGGCATTGCTGACTTATCACCTGATATTTGTAGTCTTCTGGCATCTGATGTTACATATAGACTACGCCAGGTGCTTTATAATGCTACACATCACCTTCATGCTTGTAAACGGCAGCGACTCTCCACTGATGATTTCAATAGAGTTTTGCAGATGATGGATGTTCCTCCAGTCTATGGGTGTGTAATTGTGTTGATATTTATTTATATTTAACAGAGGTATTTTGTTGAGTAATTGTTTTTTTGATTGTTCAGTATTCTATCCATCAAAATGTAAGCAATAATTGACTATGGATTGCCAGTAGTGGATTTGAATATATACTGCTATTTTCTATACCATTTTCATTCTAACATTTGAGGATCAGAAGATATACATATATGTGTTATATCATATAGCATAAGATGATCAAATGAGCATATCTTGCAGACATAGCAACAGTGCTGAAGGAGCAGACTGGATTAATCTGCCAGAAGTAGGAGTCCACATTGTGGCAGATCCTCCTCTGAACCTTGCTAGCACTGCTTTACCTGGAGAAATCTATCACCAACCAGGAAACCCTTGTGTTAAAGGTAAGTTTGAGCTATTTTTGATTCCAATTATAACTTCTATCAGAAATCTTCCAGTACCAGATTTTTTCATTCAACACTACCCAAGGTAAGTAATATGTCTTTTTTAAATTGTCATTCATACATGTTTGTAAGGATGGAAAGATATCATGGTTAAATATGTATAAACTGCTACAATATCCTATTGAAAAAATGTGAAAAATGTTTATTTCATTGTATTATCATGAATAATTTTTGTATCAGGTGAATGGGTGTACATCAGTAATCATGTTACCATCAAGGGAGAGGCAGGCAATGAAGGCTCATTGTCTCCACTGCAGTTATCAGCTCAGCTCACCAAATATTACTCTACACTAATATCTGCCATATTTGGTCACAGTGATACAATTTTTCAGGTTAGAAATAGTTTTTTTATAGTAAAGAATAATATTATATTTATGAAATCATTATTGATAACTATTAAATAATAATTTTAATGAATCTACGATGAATAATTTCCCGATATAAATTTGAGATCTGCATAGCATTTTGATGATAAGGGGGTAGCTTCTTTCAAATACAGTAGTGATCCCTCATTTTTTTAAAAGGTAAGCTTGCCAATACTAGTACCTATTTGCCAAAAATAAAAAAAAAAAAACACAAACTAGCTACAATAGTTTTATTTAATTACAATTTATACAGTATAGTGGTTGGAATCCATTTCAAACAACGAGCATTAAGCAGCAAATTGGTAGAAATTTAACCATGAATGAGCCTGAAAATAATTTAGTAAATTTTTCATTATGGAAGGAACTTATCAGAATTTTAATTAGTAGTAGTGCTTGATTTCTCAGTTGTAATTTTTTTCTGTTTTTTTTTACCTACATATATGCAAGTGATTAAAGTTTTTCCAATGTATAGATTTGCACATGTAAAAGCCACTGATTTAAATGGCTAACATTTTCGTCAATAAATGAAGTGACTGACTGAATGAACTAGGATTAAAGAAAGTATGGCTACAGATGCTGCTCCGAGACCTGGAGACCAACAGCCGCATGAGTCCGCTAGTGGGTGCCATAATATCAGGCTGCCTGCGAGGAGCTCAGTTAGCTCGGCAGAACCCTTGCATCCTGCGTCGCGTGCTGCTCGTGGTTAGAGCACTTCTCTCTAATGCTCACCTACACGTTGGACACGCCAAATATGTAAGTTACTTGATCCATGTTAATTTATAGCCTGGTACTGGATTTTACTCCCAAAACTTGATGAGTAAGTGAGTTCTTGAAGGTGTATTTATCATATCTTTGTGAATAAATTTCATATGTCCTCTTAATATTACAGTTCAAGTCCAAAGTGTCTGCATGTTTTTTTTGTTTGATTTCTAATCCCAAAAATATTGTCATTATCCTAATTTATTATGCTAATATTTTGCAGGTGCGAGACATTATCAGCTTGATAGTGTTCTGCGTGGTGACAGAACGCAAGCACAGCTACGACACACACCCCATACGAAGTCTTGCAACAAATACTATGCTCAAAGTGGGTACTGGGTACCGGTGTTATCTGATCAACTTACGACACACACACACATATATATGGTATATATATATATATATATATATGAACAATTTTTCGTCAATTCTTGTAATTTGAATATACTTCCTGTATATCCATGGTGAAATATACTTCATGTGGGCACGTGCTGGAGTGTGCTGATGTAGCATGCTGAGGTGTGTTGTGGTATGCTCTGTGCAGGTGTTGGGGCATGCTGATGTGGTATGCTGACATGAGCAGGTGCCGGGGCATGCTGATGTGGTATGCTGACATGAGCAGGTGCTTGCTGATTTGGTATGCTGACATAAGCAGGTGCTGCTGTGTGCTGATGTGGTATGCTGACATGAGCAGGTGCTGGCACAGTGGAGTGAGGGCTGTGCAGCATGGGACGTGGCTGTTAGCAGCCTGGGTGCTGTCATCGCCAGCACGTCGCGGCCGTGGAGTCAGCACACCGGCGCCCTCAACGCTCTGCTTGCTCTGGGTACGCGCCGGTTCTCTGTGTGCAGATAAATGCTCTGGGCCAATACTTTCAAAAATAGTTAAGAGATCGTAAGTTTATCCGCCAATCATTCACGGCCTTACAAGCCAAATTCACCAATCATGGACAAGAAAATAGAGCATAAATACTTACGTTCACTTAGCGTGTTTTGAAAGTATGGCCCCAGGAGTCCATGTCTGTATTTCGCTTAAGAAATTCATTCTGCAAAGCTGCAATGAACATGTGTTCACAAAACATCTTCACGTCTAGTGTTACAGCCTCAACTGACTCCATGTGTTCACAAAACATCGTCACGTCTAGTGTTACAGCCTCAACTTAAAAGGAAAAGAATCGGCGACAGGCCACATCAGGCCTACACTTCAGCGCCGACATCACTATGTTATGTTACAGTCTCGACTAACTCCATGTGTTCACAAAACATCGTCACGTCTAGTGTTACAGCCTCAACTAATTCCATGTGTTTACAAAACATCGTCACGTCTAGTGTTACAGCCTCAACTAACTCCATGTGTTCATAAAACATCATCACGTCTCGCGGTGTAGTCTCGTTCATTTGTATTTATAAACCACGCCTCTAGCGCCCTTTTCTCCTAAAGGTCTTCCATCTTAGAGATGCCCTCCCGGCTTTGTGAAAATACATATCTTCAGTAGGTTAGAATTATGAAATCCTTATGATACATTAGTAGAGGTCACAATCTTTAGCGGCTTATCCAACATAAAATTGGCACTGTGTAATTTATTATCTCTTTAGCAATGCCCAAAAGTTAATCATCCGTCATTACGCCCCAGGCCCGGCCGCGCAACTGTCTTTGTTGCACTGCTACGCCAGCTACCACAGCAGACTGCGCGCCGCTCTCCCTCTCACCAACGCCACTGGCCCTTCCACTGCCATCGTCTCTAGAGAGTCTATTGATGCTAAGCAGGCTCAAGGGTTGCTCATGGTTAGACCTAAATAGTATACATCATTATAGTTTTCTGATAACATTTATCTTGCTACGAACAACCAATTAACAATTGCCTCTTGCAAGTAATCCATGATCGAATAAATAAGTCTAAGAGGCAAATGAATTATTAACTAGTATCCTCTGAACTTGATATTCCGCCTAGCTTCTTTGGGCAATATTTAATCCCCTGGCATTAATTTTCTTGTTACTCGTTTCTAAACATTTTTTCATCTTTATTCTCTTCAGGCTGTGCTGGTAAAGATCGTAGCATCCTACGTCCGTGAAATGCCTGAGAGACTCGATCTCACCGTGCCTAGGAAATGTAAAAACGCAGACAGCAGTGAAATTTCAGAGTCCTCTGCATCTGAGGGTGCTCCTGATGTTAATAATAGAAGTCAAGGCGATGACAATGGTGGCAGTGAAGGCTCCGATCAGCAAGTTTCATTCTCGAAGCTCCGCCAAGTTTACGCTCTTGGGGAAAGCTGGTTTGGATCAGCGTTTGTTCTGCAGTTGCCTTCTGTTTATTTGTGTGTTCACGAGAGTCAAATGCCGAGCTTCATGGAGTCGCATGTCTACCAAGAACTGCGAACTACAGGGGAGGCACTTCTTAAGGATGCGCTCAGCCGAGAAGAAAATATTAAGAATAAAATTTCTAGACGCAATTTAGGCGGACCTTTCCAGAAAAAGAGGAAAACCAACGATGGAAACTCTGTGGGAACTTCATTTGATTTGCAGTCGGACAGCTTTGCGGGCCTCGATTTTACATCGCTCATGGAAGAAGATGGCTCGTCGCTTGGAGCTAAATTCAGTCCGGACGAAGCATTCGTTTCATACAGACGCATTCAACCTCGCTATGAAGTTTCGGTGCATGTTAATATTCAAGGCTGCCGAGTGTGGGACAAATGCGTATTAAAGAGACCCAAGAAATCGGCTCTGTCTGCTGCTGATCGCCCCCAAAGTACTATGTTCAGGAACTATGCGTTTAAATCCTCGGTACAAAAAATGCCTCACTGCCAGTTCACTCGTCCTTTATTACCAAAGTTGAAACCTGGTTATTCCTTGCACAATTTAATCTTGTAGAAACGTTATTAATGATTAGTATGCGTTACTAAGTATCTTATCGATCGTTTGTAATAAAATGTTAACTTATTCAATCGTTTTGATTCCATATCACGGTACTGAAAATGCAGTTAAAGAAAACATGGGAAATAAGGTTTAATCTATGAAATATTTGCTTTTTACAATAGTTATTAAAAGTCTAGGAAATAAAATAACAGTTATGTCTTTCTAACGACAGAAAGAGTCCACTGAAGGTATGTTCTCATACTGCGTTAAGCTATTTAAATGTTCTACTTGAGACGCCACCTGCTTGTCGATAATTAGCTATTTTAATATTATCTTGACGGCTCTGGCACAAACCACGAGTCTCTGAGATATTTATTGGACGAATTGAGATCCGCCGTCAAGCAACGTCGCATTTTCAACGCAGACTAATTCTGGCCAAAATTCATTTGAACATTATTTTAGGGTAGCACGAAACTAGTCGGTTAGGAATAAAAAGCATAAAGTCGGCTCCTTGACAATACAAAACGATCCCCCACATATTATTTTACCAACTTATAAACAAAAAATATTGACAGTTAATCTATACTTATTAATTAAAAAGTTAATTTTATTAAAATAATATAGTACCTAAGTGACATTTAGAGCAGTCGTAGATTATGATTAAATTTTGTTCAAATGAAGCAATCCCGTATATTCAAACATGTTGCACATTATTAACTATATTGTGGGGTAATCCCTGAAATTGGAGGAAAGAAGAAGTACGTTCACATTTACACAAATTTGGTTGAATTTGCTATGAGAGGTCACCTATATTTGACCTTGACGCAGGCCAACGTTTGTTTCGGCACTGAGCGCCTGCGCACGCATTTGGCAACTGAACTGCTCAGCGGCTCCGGCTTACCATCGAGCACAGGCAGTATTGTGCCATCAACTATCGTCAGGGTGGTGCGTTGAAACACAGCTCCTACTAACTTTCTCACCTTTACACTATTGTAGTACCTATTCATTTTTTAAAACGTGAGTACCTCAGATGATGTTTGTTTTGTGAAACCTATATTTGTCCTAACTTATTTACAAATCGCAGAAATGAGTTGTTGTTGACTTACGTCAAACGACATTTCAAGACTTGAAGAAAATTTTGGTTCATATACCACCAGCACCGGACGGTCGGAAATGATTTTCTTTGCTTTCAAATGGAATTTGGTGAAATTTTATATTGTGCTCCTGTTTCATACGTAACCGTGTGTGTTTTCCTAATAGCTTGAACGAGATATTTTGATGCCATTTTAGTTTTGCGGTGACCTTGAGTGGCCTCTGTGGTTCGATGCACCGGCAAGATTCCCTGTACGTGCTTTAGCCTCAAGTGTTACGTAAGCTTCATTTATTGCTTCAATGTAACTAAATTTACCAAACTATCTCAATAACGTAAAATTTGAATCAGTAAACTTAGATTATTGCGTTTATTTATGTACGAATTTGACATTTTAAACTGCCGGAGAATCTAACCGCGTTTATCTCTTAAGAATTTTTGTTCAAAGAGTGCTCTAAAATTATCCGACTTTGAAATTTTTTAAGTTCTCCAGGTGCCAAATATTTTGGTAGTAAATCGAAACGCGTAATTTTTTATAGACTAAGAGCTATTCCCAAGGTCGTTTGTAATGCTAGAAGCCAGTATGAGGACTATGCTGTCACGTTGCGAGGTTTATTGATTGATAGGCCGCCGTCTAGCGACAAAGTCTAACGTTAGGAAGAGTCTGGACTAGGGTGGTCCTCAAAAAACTTTTTTCTTTGAAAGTGAGTTCCTACCTCAAAAAAGGGTTCGTCTAGATGCCTAAATAATATCCTCAAAATATTTTTCAAATCGGTTAATATTTAGAGGTCGCTCAATGGTGTCAAAGTTTCACCCCTATGGCTCAGGGTCATTGGGTATGTAGAGTGAACAAATAAACGGGTCTGAACATGCTTGAACAGTAATTTTTTGTCCAACCCCACCCTGAATGACTTGATTCCATTTCAGAGTGCGTTGTGCAGTGTGTACCTCTGACAGTCAGTCAGTCGTGTTCATCCACGGATTGTTGAAGGTTGAGATAGGCAATGGCGACTGTCACGTGCGAAGAGGGGATACTCAGCGTCTCCTTCTCCCACGTTGACGGGAGCAAAGCTTCATTTGTGCTAGGAAGTTCTGGCCGTTGTCCACTTCCATCATAGCAATGGCGCTACTTACGATGACGCCTTCAAGGATGTCATATTTGAAGTCCTCCAGTTCTGGGAACATGCAAGGATTCCAACGATTCGTCCCGATAACATTTTAACAAAGCTGGAAAAGATCAAGCAAGAATACCAGCAAGTCAAGAATAAGCATCATAAGGGAATCCAAGGCCCAGACCAAGAGGGAGTCCGTCTTCAAGGAGAAACTGGAGGTCTTTGACATGGCCCACAAGAATGCACCCTCGATCATGAAGATTGAGGAATACATTGCCTTCCTTGTCGTGCAGCGGCAGCCTGGCCGCCCGGGGTACATGGGAGGTATTGATGCCGAACTTGCCCGTAAAGAAGAGCAGAACTGGTGTCAAGGGCATGATGATCGCTGTCATTGGGCACAGCAGCCGTCAACATCGGCTTCTACTGCCATGGACCCAGGCGACTCTTCTTCCGCATCATGCAGCACTAAAGCAGAGGAGAAAGAGGAATTCCATGTGCAACAAGAACAGAGAGTTGTGGGGACAAGCGTTAGTCCACCGATGAGGGCAAAGAACGTGATTACGCCAGGCTTGGCAGCTTCCCTTGACCGAACCTAGGTGAGCGATAGAGGAGATGTGTCCCTTCTTACAAAAGCAGCTCGGGACTTTGGCCACGAGCCAGAAGATGTTAACAATCAACTGCTCCTCAATATCGGCAAAAGCACTGAGCCATGTACGCCTCACAGCTTAAGGCGGACTTGAAGATGAGCGAGACAGTGGTGGTGCATTGGGAAGAAAAGCTAATGCAGTACCTCGCGAACAAGAAGCACGTGGACCGTCTACCTGTCCTTGTCAGCGGGAAAGGAGCCGTACAATTCCTTGGTGTTCCCAAGCTCGCCTACGGTACGGGGAGGGTGCGGAGCAATGCCGTCGTCGCGCTTCTGCGCGAGTTGGAGATTGAGGATCGTGTGCTGGCGGTTTTTCGATAGAACGGCATCAAACACCGGGAACATCCATGAACTTATCGTCGGCGCAACATTCTAGGCGGTCATGGGAGGAATATCGGGCACACTGTTGACGGTTTCAGGCCCAGTGGGAGTTTCTGGAGTTTTGTGGGAGTTTCGAAATTTCTACACGTTAAGAACTCTCCATAAAGAAATCAGAGCGGGATGTAGGAGCATGGGAAAACTATTTTCGAATTTTAGACCCACTGTGAACAACCCCAATGTTTAGGCCCGTTTATTTGTTCACTCTACGGACCCAATGACCCTGAGCCATAAGGGTAAAACTTTGACACCATTGAGCGACCTCTAAATATTAACTGATTTGAAAAATATTTTAGGAATATTATTTAAGCCTCTGAAGGAACCCGTTTTTGAGGTAGGAACTCATTTTCAAGAAAAAAAGTTTTTTAAGGACCACCCTAGTCTGGACCGACTACCGACAACTGCCACTTGCCAGGCTGCCAGAAGTGATGTCTCAATCATAAATTCCTAAATTTCGGAGTTTGCGTATGATTATGCCATGCAAATTTCGATTTTGTAGGTTATAGTTGCTAAGTTTTTGAATTTTTGTATGTGAAACTTCTTCACGACTTTTCTCAGTCTTTTTTAAAGTTAATTGTTAACCCTTACAGTTCCTTTTGTACTGCAGTGAGATAATTATATTGAATCATTAATTTGATTATTGTAGGCTCAAAAGAACGTTATTCATCTGTAATTACATGTAGCATTCACAGTATTGAACATTTCCTGGTTAACTCGACATTTTTATCCCACACTAACTAAGACGACGAAAATGGCTTCGATTTTGACGCGTTATACACCGTAATTTATATCTTAACTAGGCAAAAATTTTACTGATGAATCATTTCTGTGCTAAATAATTTCTATGCTGTGAAATTTCTGTGCTAAATCATTTCTATGTTAAATCACATATTTATTTCTATACTAAATCATTTCATTGCCAAGTCATTCCCTTGCTAAATGATTTCTGCGCTAAACAATATCAGTGCTAGAAAATTTTATTGCCCAACGATTTCTATGTTAAATAATTTTATTGCTTAATCTTGCCATACTTTCAAAAAAGTTAAGAGATCGTAAGTTCATCAGCCAATCATTGACGGCCTTTCAAGCAAAATCCACCAATCATAGACAAGAAAATAGAGCGTAAGTACTTACGTGCACTATACTCTAAAAAAATAAGAAATCGTAAGTTCATCAGCCAATCATTGACGGCCTTTCAAGCAAAATCCACCAAGCATAGACAAGAAAATAGAGCGTAAATACTTACGTTCACTTTGCGAGTTTTGAAAGTATTGCCCCTGGCAGAGATCTAAATCACTTCAGTACCAAGTTATTTCAGTTTCAGAGACCTGCAAACAATGGCCGAGTGCATCGCATCAATGCTTATGGACGAGATCGTCCCTGCCCTGGACAAGACCGGGGGCAAGGTGAGTGTTTTCAGCGCATTTTCTCATTTATGGAAAAAATGCACTATTGTGCTCGTCATGTCCGTCCGACCGTCCATCCGTCTGTCCGTGACTCCATGTTTTCGTCGACGAGAAAATGCGCTCTCTGTCACTCACTGCAGTGAGTACTGAGTTATATTTTTTCTGTTCTTTATGTTCTTAATTTGCTAGAAAATATTTTTGTGTCTCCTGTAATATTGATGAAAATATTTTTTATTACGTAGTTTAACTTGCTGTCGCAACTTCTCCTGAGAATAGCAAACAAGAGATTATATAGAAATCGATTCATTCTAATTTCCTGATCTACTTTAAGATTTCATTCAATATCTTATGTATATATATTAAAATAATAATAGCGGTTTCAGTGTTTATTAGGCCGTATGCCTGCCGCCGATTCTTAACATCGCAGAACATTCACAGCATTTTGCGGTCTCGGAACTCGCAACTAGTTTACTTATACAACTCCTAGGGAATGTTAACAACAAAAATTTGGTTTGCAAAGTTCCTTTCTTCCTCTATGTACGTTTTAACTATGGTATAACAACGAATGACCAGGCTGCGGCACATTAACTAGTTAACTTACACAACTCCAAAGCAATGTCAACAAGAAAGTATTTCGTCTGTGAAGTTGTTTTTTTACTTACATATACGTTTTTACTTACATGTATTGCAACAACTAATAACCAGGTTACGGTACATTAACTAGTTTACTTATACAACTCCAAGGGAATGTCAACAAGAGAGTATTTCGTTTGCAAAGTTCATCCATAACTCTATGTACGTTTTGACCTTTATAACTACGAATAACCAGGTTACGGTACATTAACTGGTTTAAATATTATAAACATATAAACTGGTACATATAAAAAAGTATTTAGTTTGCAAAGTTCCTTTATTCCTCTATGTATGTATGACCTTCTATTTATATGGAACAGGTGACGGTGGTGGGCGTGGGTCAGGTAGGCATGGCGTGCGCCTTCTCCCTCCTGACGCAGGGCATTTGTTCAGAGCTCTCCTTGGTGGACGTGGCCGCTGACAAGCTCAGGGGCGAGATGCTCGACCTCCAGCACGGCCTCACCTTCCTCAGGTCTGTGGTGCTGTCCCCAGGGGCATTTATTTTAAAAAAAGTTAATAGATCGAAAGTTCATCAGCCAGTCATTGACGGACTTTCAAGCAAAATCCACCAATCATAGACAAGAAAATAGAGCGTAAGTACTTACGTTCACTTAGCGAGTTTTGAAAGTGTGGCCCCAGGTGCTTTAGCTGCTCTAATGAGTTCATTAAATAGAATAATAATAAAAAAAGAGTAGTCCTGAGTATTTATTAAACACCAATTAATAATTATCTCAATTCCCAGGGGCTTTAGTTGCTCTAATGGGTTCATTAAATTGAATAATAATAATAAGAATAAGAGTAGTGAAGAGTATTTATTAAACACCAATTAATAATTATCTCAGTCTTCAGGGGCTTTTAGCTGCTCGTATGAGTTCTTTGAATTGAATAATAAATAATAATGAAAATAGGAGTAGTGTCGAGGATAGTATTTAATTAAACACCATTTAATAATAGTGAAGCAGTTATCAGGTCTGTGGCGCAGCCCTTTAGTTGCTCGTATGGGTTCATTAACTAGAATAATAATAAAAATAAGAGTAGTCCAGAGTATTTATTAAACACCACTTAATAATTATCTCAGTCCCCAGGGGCTTTAACTGCTCTAATGTATTCATTAAATTGAATAATAAATAGTGATAAAAATATGATTACTGAATACGTAGAGTATAGTATTTTATTAAGCATCAATTAATAATAGTTAAACATTTGTCAGGTCTGTGGCGCAGTCCCTAATCAGTAATGGCTTTAGGTGCTCGTATGTGTTCATTAAATTGAATAATAAATAACGATAAAAATATGATTACTGTGTACGTAGAGTATAGTATTTTATTAAGCATCAATTAATAATAAACAATTGTCAGGTATGTGACTCAGTCCCTAGGGGTTTTAGCTGCTCGTATAAGTTCATTAAATAGAATAATAAATAACAATAAAAACACGAATAGTGTAGAGGATAGTATGTTATTGAACATCAATTAATGATAGTGAAGTATTTATCAGGTCTGTGGCGCAGTCCCTTAGTGAGATGACTGCTCTACTAAGTTAAGAAAATGAAGTAAGTACTAAAAATGCGAGTTGTGTATAGAGTAGTAGTATTTTAAGTAAACAACAATTAATAATATTAAGGTGTACTTTTAACCCATCTAACGACTTACTATCCTTTTTTCTGTCTTCCTTTTTGCTCACGATGTTAGGGACCGCCTTTAAATATAGTAATTTCATAGATGGTAGGTTACGTGTTTTGTTATTTTGTTTTTGAGTTAACTATTACGTGACCTCTTGTAGAACCGGGCCCATACTTTCAAAAAAAGTTAAGAGATCGTAAGTTCATGAGCCAATCATTGACGGCCTTTCAAGCAAAATCCACCAATCATAGACAAGAAAATAGAGCGTAAGTACTTACGTTTACTTAGCGAGTTTTGAAAGTATGGCCCCCGCCTTGTATCTTGTCATTGCTAAGTGTTCCACCACAGAGGTTAGTGCTTGCATTGTTTATCGTATTAATCTTCAGTGTTGCTGTAGTGGTGGCCTTACTCGTGATATTGTTTATTGTTATTTATGTTGTTTATTATTTATCTGTGCTATATTCATTTGTTAGGTTGCATTAATTAGAGTCCTCAATTTGTATTTATTTGTGTTTTTTCAGCGGGGCTCCGAACCTAGAACATTATTAGGAATTAATAGGCAAGAGCTAGAAAGACGAACGGTTTATAGTTTTGTAATTTGTTTACTTGTGTTTATCGTTCATATATTATTGTTCTTAATTCATCAGTTTTTTTTCATACTTTATTTGCGATCATTGGCCAAGTGTTCGGGGTCAGAAAATGCTTATTTATTTATTGACTAATCCCCAACATAATGGTGCCGTGCCAGTCGGAATCGTAACTGGGTAGAGTAAAAGTAAAGTAACGTAAAAGTAAAGTAACGTAAAAAGTAAAGTAACGAAGTAAAGTAACGTAAAAGTCAAGTAAAGTAACGTACAAGTAAAGTAAAGGAACGTTCATGATACCGTGTGTTTCGGAGCCTTGTCTTCTGTGGTGGATTCCCGTGTACAGCGAGCTGATTTCTGAACTCGACCAATTTGTTTCTATTGTTGCTCGCACGAAGTAAACGCTTCCGAAATGACTAATGTCCGTCATGAGGACTGTGCCTTGTCCAGACACGCCGATGGGTCGGTCTTCTTTCTTCGTGGAAAACTTGGAGTATTTCTCCCGTCTATTTTCAAGACTTCAGATCATGGAGCAGTACTTGTCAAGTGATTTTCAACACGTGCTGGTCGAGTGATTTTCAACACGTGCTGACCCAATTCAAGAGGACATGGGCGCCGTATTTCCAGAGGAACAGCGAATTACCTCGGCAGGAAAATGTGGATTGCGGGCGGTGCAAGATAATCCGTGACACCGCAACTTAGTACGCGCCTTCAAACGTCATTGAGTCCCACAGGTTTCGGCAGCACGATAATTCTCGCCTTCGACCCCATCGTTCGAAAGCCCAAACCAAGTCAGAAGACCGTCTTGGAAGGGAAGAAGGCGAACGTGCAATTCGTGATGGCCAGTACTCCAATTCTGAGAAAGATGTTTGTGAATACTGTCGGCGTGCCGGTCACGCAAGTCGTGAATGCCGTACCCGGTTGAAACAGTGTTTCATTTGTGGCTCAGGTTTGCACTTTCTTCGGAAATGCCCACGTTACAGACGTGCTCGTGTTAGTAAGTTAGCCGATCGAACAGTGTCGCAGCCAGATCGTTCTTATAAGTTTCGCGAGTCTTTAGATCGTCCAACTGTGAACTCGACAGTTTACATGAATCGAGATGATTTGATTACCAAAGGCGTGTCAACTGGTAATGTCGAGGACTTGTTGTCTGTAGCATGTGATAATGGATGTGCTGATGTGGTATATGGTGTGAATGGCTGTAACAGTAAGTAAGCGTCACTTTTGTGGTTCCGAAAGCGTTGAGATAAGCGATGAATATGTTCCCGCGCGCATGAGTGATCGTAGTTTAGTTCAAGAGTTTAACGACTTGAGAGCTAAATATAGTCTTAACTTCACTTTGAAAGACGTCAAAGAAGCTTCACTAGAACAACAGCCACAATCCGCAACTGAAAAAAATTCGTTAGACTGGACTTTCGAGACGGAGATAGAAGAAATATTTTGTGAGAACTGACCCTAAACAGCAGTGCATGAAGTGTCTAACTCAATGGCTGTGGTAGTTGAGACTGAAAGTTTGACTAACAATGTGGATAGTCGCTCAAGAGACAATTTCATGCAATGGTTAGAGCAGGCGATGTCTGTCCAAGAAGACTTGTTGAAGCGAGTAGCGACTATATGACTATATCGAAGGGTTTGGACCGGAACTGGAGAAAAGACTGGGCAGATTTGATCGAAATGAGTGATGACGAGGATGACAGAAGTGATTCGATGTATGAAAGGGGGGAAAAAGAATGCGCTGAAGGTTGTGTCTAATCATTTGAAGTCTGTGCGTGAAAATATTAGAGATTATAAAGAAGGCGTGGCAGAACCCTGGTGCGGAAAGTATAAAGGTAAAATTGTTCAGGAGGCCTAAGGTTTATCAAAGCAGAAATTTCACCTAACGTTAGAAAGTTAGTGCTAAATGAATGATTTTAGAGGTTTCGTTTTGTTCGCGTAATGTCTATATTTTGAATTTTTTACAGATCGCGCCATTTGTGTGTTTATCTTAAGTGCTACCTATTGATCGCGTTATTTCTAAATTGGTCTTGTCCCGTTGTAAATTGAATGTAAATAAGAATCCTGTACAAATTTTTAGAGTTAGCTTGTGTATATATGTGTACTATATGTATATGTGTACTTTTGTATACATATGTACGTGTACGTGTGTATATGTGTACTTTTGAGTTAACTATTACGTATATGTGTATTATATATGTATATGTGTATTATTATATTATATTATATATTATATGTACATGTGTATATTATATATGTATATGTGTATTTTTGAGTTAACTATTTATTAGTTTTGTAATTTGTTTACTTGTGTTTATCGTTCATATATTATAGTTCTAAATTCATCAGTTTTTTTCATCCTTTATTTGCGATCATTGCCCAAGTGTTCGGGGTCAGAGAATGCTTATTTATTTATTGACTAATCCCAAACAACTTCCCTATATTTTCTCATTTCATAAATATGTAACGTGCCCTCGAAGCTTAGTTGTACCGAACACCGCGTAATCTCTCAATAAAATGACAGAATAACTGATTCAAAATGAATAACCAACTTGTTTGTCTTTTTTTATCACGCCTTTTTTTTTTGAAGATATAACATATTCAAGCCTTTTTTTTTTGAAGATATAACATATTCAAGCCTTTTTTTTAAATATGAAACATATAACGTAACGTGAAACTTCCCCACCAGGAACGTCAAGATCGACGCAGGCACGGACTACGCTGTCTCCGCGGGGTCGCGCGTGTGTATCGTGACGGCGGGGGCGCGGCAGAAGGAGGGAGAGTCGCGCCTGTCTCTGGTGCAGCGCAACACTGACATCTTTAAGGGCATCATCCCCAACCTCGTCAAGCACTCCCCCGACACCATCCTCGTCATCGTCTCAAATCCAGGTACTGACCTCTGCTCGGTGACTCAAGGCTTCAGGCTCTTCTAAGGTACCACAGTAGTGATGAAGCACCGCACTCTTCAGCTACCTGGCGCCTCCCACACACGATCACGTGATATGAATTGACCTTGGAAATACTTTGAGTGTGCGTGGTTCAGTTAGCTAGCGCCTCCCACACACGATCACGTGATATGAATTGAACTAGGAAATACTTTTTGAGTGTGCGTGGTTCAGTTAGCTAGCGCCTACACACGATCACGTGATATGAATTGAACTAGGAAATACTTTTTGAGTGTGCGTGGTTCAGTTAGCTAGCGCCCACACACGATCGCGTGTTATGAATTGACCTTGAAAATACTTTTTGAGTGTGTGTGGTTCAGTTAGCTAGCGCTGCCCACGCACGATCGCGTGTTATGAATTGGCCTTACCAAGGCGTGAGCTTATCACTAACTCCTCCCATGTAGGTGCTGCTACAGTGGTTCTATTTCGATCTAAATCCTAGGAATGACTCCTACATGTGACTCCTTGCATCTGAATCCCGATACTGTCTCTTCATTTGGTAATTCCTCTTGTTTAAATCCTACCATTCAATAAGTCTGTCTTCTTCATTATTTACGATCCCGGTACTTTCCAATACAGATAGCTAACTCATCACATCCAGAACATCATTGACGTAGGCTTCTATCAGTCTCAAATATCCTTTTAAGGCTTACAATACCAAAGTCACCTGGTAATTTGGCTATCAATAACTTAGTTTTGTTTGTATATAATATAGCTTCATTCATGATTACCTATGTAAAATTCAGTTAATAAAAAGTTTCCTTCAATTATCAAAGATTAGAGGAAAGAAGCGGGAGTAATAATGCATGAGAAGCTTCTATCATGTTCAAATTTTTGAAACTTTAAACTGCAACTGCCAAAAGTTTAAATTATTGAACTTTTTGCAGTTGACATCCTGACGTACGTGGCCCAGAGGCTCTCAGGGCTGCCCAACAACCGCGTGATCGGCTCAGGCTGCAACCTCGACTCTGCCAGGTTCCGCTTCCACCTCTCGCAGAAACTCAACGTCGCTCCCAACTCTGCTCACGGCTGGATCATCGGCGAGCACGGCGACTCTTCGGGTGAGTGAGCCTGGCGACTCTTTGGGTGAGTGTAGAGGTGACTCTTCGGGTGAGTGTGTGGTGACTTCGGGTGAGTGTGTGACCTTATGATGAGTTTGGGACCTCATAGTCCCCGGTCACGCTGATGCGCCGCCTTCGTCGTCCTCCGTCTCCGAGTCGTCGCTAATGGTGATTCTTCGGGTGAGTGAGCCTAGCGACTCTTTGGGTGAGTGAGCCTGGCGACTCTTTGGGTGAGTGTGCCTGGTGACTCTTCGGGTGAGTGTGCGGTGACTCTTCGGGTGAGTGTGCCTGGTGACTCTTCGGGTAGTGTGTGGCGACTCTTCGGGTGAGTGTGTGGCGACTCTTCGGGTGAGTGTGTGTGGCGACTCTTCGGGTGAGTGTGTACTCTTTGGGTGAGTGTGCCTGGTGACTCTTCGGGTGAGTGTGCGGTGACTCTTCGGGTGAGTGTGCCTGGTGACTCTTCGGGTAGTGTGTGGCGTTCGGGTGAGTGTGTGTGTGGCGACTCTTCGGGTGAGTGTGTGTGTGGCGACTCTTCGGGTGAGTGTGTGTGGCGACTCTTCGGGTGAGTGTGTGTGGTGACTCTTTGGGTGAGTGCGTGACGACTCTTCGGGTGAGTGTGTGTGGTGACTCTTCGGGTGAGTGTGTGTGGTGACTCTTCGGGTGAGTGTGCGTGGTGACTCATCGGGTGAGTGCGTGACGACTCTTCGAGTGAGTGTGCGTGACGACTCTTCGGGTGAGTGTGCGTGGTGACCCTTCGGGTGAGTGTGCCTGGTGACTCTTCGGGTGAGTGTGCGTGGTGACTCATCGGGTGAGTGCGTGACGACTCTTCGGGTGAGTGTGGGTGGCGACTCTTCGGGTGAGTGCGTGGCGACTCTTCGGGTGAGTGTGGGTGGCGACTCTTCGGGTGAGTGTGCGTGGCGACTCTTCGGGTGAGTGTGCGTGGTGACTCTTCGGGTGAGTGCGTGAAAGTGGCGACTCTGCACCACATGAAGAGTCCGTGAAGAGTTGCGGAGTTTATTGGCACCTGCCGACCGCTGACCATTTCTTTCACTCGCTTTTCGTTTAGCTTCCTCCGACCACAAAAATATCTTGACACAGGATTCATTTGGCCTACCGATGGCTCACATGTACCCATGCCTCACACGCCTCACATACCTCACACGCCTCACATGTACCCATGCCTCACACGCCTCACATGCCATGCCCATACCTCATACGCCTCATGCCATACCCATGCCTCACACGCCTCTGATGCCCGCAGTGCCCGTGTGGTCGGGCGTGAACGTGGCAGGCGTTCGACTGCGCGACCTCAACCCCGACATCGGCTCTGAGGAAGATCCTGACAAATTCAACGAACTCCACAGCGAGGTCGTCAACAGGTGCGCTCCATTCGTCTCTTATACCAACACATTATGGATACCAGGAAATTTTATTTATAAATTTATTTTACCTATGTTATTTGATATTTGAAAAATCTTTAGTCTAAGTATTCGATCTTACTGTGTGCTCGTATAATAACTCATAATATTCCAGTATGATTAAATGATTTATTTATTTTCACCATATACATTCTAGATATCGTATTTGGCATATCTCTACTGGCTATATTTTGTTATTAGCTACAGTTTCGGAAAATGTTTGTATGCATTTAATCTAGATTATATGCTTGAAATGAAATTGTCATTAAAAGAAGTATTCTAAATCAATCAATTTTCAGAGAAGATACGTAAATTTGTTTGTATTGCGGCAGTGCGTACGAGATCATCAAGCTGAAGGGCTACACCTCGTGGGCCATCGGCCTCTCTGTCGCCTCCCTCGTCAGCTCCATCATGAAGAACCAGAGACGCTGCTACGCCATCTCTGTTAACGTTAAGGTCAGTTAGTAGTAATAACATAACATAGAGCATAACATAACATCGGCCTCTCTGTCGCCTCCCTCGTCAGCTCCCTCATGAAGAACCAGAGACGCTGCTACGCCATCTCTGTTAACGTTAAGGTCAGTTAGTAGTAATAACATAACATAACATCGGCTTCTCTGTCGTCTCCCTCGTCAGCTCCATCATGAAGAACCAGAGACGCTGCTACGCCATCTCTGTTAACGTCAAGGTCAGTTATTAGTAATAATAGAACATAGAGCATAACATAACATCGGCCTCTCTGTCGCCTCCCTCGTCAGCTCCATCATGAAGAACCAGAGGCGCTGCTACGCCATCTCTGTTAACGTCAAGGTCGGTTAGTAGTAATATGCTTCAAAGTAATTGAAGTGTGGTCTTCAATTACTTGATTATCTAGAAACGATTCTAAACCTACCGTCCGTTGAAAAGATTTAATCAAAAGGCCAGTCATTTAGATCTGTGAACTAGTCAAGAAAAGTACAAGAATCGGCGACAGGCCTATCCAGGCCTATTCTTCAACACCGAAGATACTATACTTTACTACTATACTATTATTTCACGTTGTTGGTGGTGAGATGAAATCGTCAACATGCCTGTATCCTTAGACGGGCTCCCAAGCAGTGTAGATACTGTGTCCGCATTGTACCAAAAATTGTTCTATTTGTTATATATTAATCATATTTTATAACTTGAAATGAAGTCGATCAATTTCTCGAACATTTTTCAACGTATTTATTTGGAACGAGATGAAAGCATCGAAATTCATGTATTTGTAGACGGTCTTTGCATCACTGTTGATACTGTGTTTCTGCATTATAACGACGATTGTTATAGTTGTGATTATATTCAGGTTTGTTAACTATCAATGAAGTCGTTTTAAAGTGACGAGGAAATAGTTTGTGACGAGGTAAAACCATCAAAATCCGTTGATTCTTTGATGTGCTCTCCAACATTCTTGATAATGTGTTTATATTATTATGACAATTATCCAAGTGGTATTATATATCAAGCTTATCCAACTATCAATGAAGTAATTTTAAAGCTAAGTTAAGCTTGAGTGCGTATTACCATGAAAGTGTTAGATGGACTGCAGGGTCACCATGGCATTAACGACGACGTGTGTTGTATATTAATTATATTTATTGTTTATAGTTACGGTACCGTATCAATAAGATTTTAAAGTTATGTATAATGTTAATGCGTATTATCATGAAAGTGTTAAATTTATTGCAGGGGCACCACGGCACCGAGGACGACGTGTGTTGTATATTAATTATATTTATTCTTAATAACTACGATATCAATGAGATCGTTTAAATTTATGTTAAGTGTGAATGCGTATTATTAAATGGATTGCAGGGGCACCACGACATCGAGGATGACGTGTTTTGTATATTAATTATATTGTTTATTTAAGATAGTTTAAAGTGATGTTAAGTGTAAGTGCGTATTATAATGCAAGTGTTAGATATACTGCAGGGGCACCATGGTATCGAGGACGACGTGTGTTGTATATTAATTGTATTTATTGTTTATTAATATAAAAAAGATCGTCAATGCGTATTATGATTCAAGTGTTGAATATACTGCAGGGTCACCACGGCATCGAGAATGACGTATTTTGTATATTAATTATATTCTTAATAACTACGGTATCAATAAGATTTTAAAGTTATGTTAATTGTGATTGCGTATTATGATGCATGTGTTAAATGGACTGCAGGGTCACCACGGCATCGAGGACGACGTGTTCCTGTCGCTGCCGAGCGTGCTGGGGGAGAACGGCGTCACTCACGTCATCAAGCAGACACTCACCGCCGAGGAGGTCGCCCAGCTACAGAAGTCTGCCAAGACCCTCGCTGAAGTCCAAGCTGGGCTCAAGTTTTAGGCGCAGAAGTCTGCCAAGACCCTCGCTGAAGTCCAAGCTGGGCTCAAGTTTTAGGCGCATCAAAACAATCCACAATCATTTTTATCTTCTTGAATGTTCTAAAAATGTAAATTCAAGCCTTCGGAACTGCTGACTATTCTGGAAATCTCCGCAGAGTTGTGTAAAGATCGTGTGGCACGAATTACAAAAGCTTCGGCAAGATCTCATGCATATACCCAAGTTCAAATTGCCTTCTGGGTCCAAATCTTGAGCGTTTAAATGGATTTGATGAATGAGTATAGAACATGTGTGAAAGTAATCTTGAAATGTCCTTATGAAATCTGCTTGTCTTGGGCGTGAGGCAATTTCAATTTCTGTGAACAGAGTGTTAAAATTTCAAGACTGGATGCTCTAAAATCTGTCACAAGGTAATATATACCTACAGCATTACAAATATTCTTTAGGCGACGAGAGGTTTTTACTTCTCTTCTTGGTGTACTGCGTATGCAGTTTTTTCCAAGATAGTAAAGTAGGATGATAATTTCCTTCATCACCAATGATTTTGTCTCAAAAAACTTTTGGCAAGCCCTACTAAATCGTTCGCCTATAGTTTTACTTTCGGTGGCAATGATCAGAATCTGGAGTGTTCGTTGGAAAGCTTCTCTCTCACAGTGTGATGCGGATAGATGTTTAAACTTCAGGGTAATTTATTTAACGATGTGTTTGCAGTGTTATGTAGATTAGATGATTCCTTTGAGTTTAGATACGTTTGCTGTTGTGTTGTAGTTTTCATTCCGTAGTGAAACTCGCATTTGTTTTGTAGTTATCATTCCGTAGTGAAACTCGCATTTTGTTGTAGTTATCATTCCGTAATGCTCTCTTACTCTCCTTTCTAATTACTGAACTCAACCCACCGCTATTTCGGTTCCTGGCAATTTTTCAGTGCCGAAATTTGCCATTAGCGTTTCCTTGTCAGTACTCTAGTCAGGTCCTATATGACTGTCGGCTGACTACGACTCAGTTTTACTTAGTTTTATCATCGGAAAATTACTGTACATTTTGCGATAATGTTACCAGCTTATCTCGTCGCCCCGCCCAGCTGATATGAACGTGGCGAGGAAGCACGAGATGTTCTTGTGCTTGTAACTCAAGTGCCATCTTGATTATTATCTTTGTGAAGACACAGACGAGTCGCGCTCCTTGATCTCATACCAGGAAAGCTCGGAAAATAATTGCCTTTGCTGTTTCATTCATCGCTTAATTTTTTTCAAATGATTAAGTCACGTCTTCATCATATTTGGGTTTACTTTTGTTCCAGCTTACGAACGGTTGTGTTACTTTAGGACCTAAAGCCATGACGAGTCACCTTACTCAACTACAGGATATCGTCTCTAGTCGCCATAGTGGAAGCATAGAGTTTTTTAGACTTCAAGTTCAATTTTAAGTCCTATAAGTAGACCGGAAAAGTATCATGGATACCAGCATCATCATACATAGGATGATAGGATATTGGCATAAATCTTGAGTAAATGAGAAAATTAAAAATGAACTGATTTTAAATTATTACTAGTTTGCCACTATGCTAGTCGCCTAGTACCGTGTTCAGAATATGTCAATTCTTTAATGCTTAGCAGTCACTGCCAGTGATGAAAACTTTCCAGCAGTGAGCGCTGTTGAAAGTTGAGTAGATACAGCCTTACAGGCAAGTGTTAGTAGCATGCATTCTTATTTTATTCAACGTTTACAACCTTGTCTTGTTCGATTAGTTTCTGGCAAAATATTTTCGGTCAGACCACCTTAAACTCATGGGTAGGCACAGGGTTTTTGTAGCGTTTTCGAATTTTACTCTTAAGTTACTAATGCTTTACTTTAACTTTCAACGACCCAGTGAATGAATTAAATTAATGCTATCTTTATTTGCTATTAAACTATGATTTCTGTATTTATAATGCTGTGTTTGTTCCATAGAAAGTGCGAAGGTTAAGTTTATGTCTTGGTAACTTCTCTTCGGTTTGATCAAGTTTTTTGTAGTGCAGCATTCGACTCTCGTTTTTCAGCTTATTATATTAAAATAAAGAGACTTATCGGTTTGAGTTCCTCGATGTGGTGGCACTTGCACACGTAATAAGACTAATAGCACTACTTCCTACTATCACTCTTTCCTGCCTTCGCTTTAAATAAAGAAAAAAAATCTTTGGAACGTTTCATTGCCCTAATTTCCATTGTTATGGGGGATGGTAATCATCATGCAGTTGAAGAGCAATGAGGGAGAAGGGCTACGTTTTCATCAATTGATAAGAAATAGGAGGCATATTTACCTCGAAAGTTTTTTGAAGGCGTAAGATATGACTGCACCGTCGACTTAACTAAAAGTCTCCAATAAATTGGCGTTTCTGTTGATGGCGATTGCCAGTTCAATGTCACTTATCCCTATGTTTGCACGAAGGTAAAATGGGCAGAAATGAGACAATACGTCGTTAATGTTTTATTGTCGAAAGAAACATCGTATGAACTCAAATTTCAAAAGGATGCTGAAGATAATTAATGGTTAATATGAACACATCCCTTCCATTAAGCGGAGAAAAATACTATAGTTGCACTTTTCACCGTTACATCAAATAAGGAACTAATTATGTTGATTATCTATAATTTTAATATAAGCAGTACGGAGCCCAGCTCTGTGCACAAATGAGACAATGAGTGCTGCTTGTTATTCAGATCTACACTAAAGTTACTGCGATCAGCGGTTAACACATATGTAGTAGTTTAAACTAATGCTGAATATTAATTCGATTACAACAGATAGATAATCTTGTAACAACCGTATAATCATTTATTCTTAGCTTACACTGAGCATTAAAGGCACATGACGCTGATAGGATATCATTTACAACAATAACCTTCTAACTACTTCCGGGGTATTCATATTATCTTGATGTTAGTTTGACCTTTTATCAAAATAGAACTGATAAGCGTTGGTCGCAATCCGGCAGCGCTTCTTTAATATCGATCATAACGCTACAGTCAATCGTCAGCGGCTCAATGGTTCCGCATATAGTTTTCTTATTAACTTACATTGTTGAGCTCGAGCGAATGGCTTTTTAGCGCATTTTCTCATTTATGGATAAAAGGCGCTATAGTGCTCGTCATGTCCGTCCGTCCGTCTGTCTGTCCGTCAATGACTTCACGTTTTCGTCGACGAGAAAATGCGCTCTCTGTCACTCACTGCAGGGAGTACTGAGTTATATTTTTTAGTCATTCGCTTGAGGATATTTCCTACAAGAACATTGAAGCACAGAAATTAGGGTGATGCATGCTAGTGGCCAGTACAAACCAGGCCTTCACTCCATATTTCGTTCCATGGGTAAGCAAGTGGTAGTTAACCGTTAAGGCATTTACAATAAATAAATACAAATACTTTAGTTAGTGAAAATTATAATGTAAGTTACAAATCTTTATAAACATTTTAACACTGAGTTGTGAGTGGAATAAATTGTAATGCACATGAATATGTATTACACAATGCACATCTATTAATATTATTGATAAAACATTCATTCACAACACGCGCGTTCACGGCAAGCTCAGTGAACGTATTTCATTGGCTTTTATTACGTCTAAATTTAACGTCTGCTTATATACAGTAGACTTAAATTTAATATCGAAGCGAGTATAAAAATTAATAATTTCAATGTTCATAATCACGAATAATTTTGAAATAGCCGTAACTTGGGAAACACAAATATTGCAATTGAAACGCAACTGCGCTTTCGTTGAACGATATTTAACCTATTTAAAATACAGGGTGACACAAAAAAAACAGAGCTCATAAAAAGTTGAATAATTTCCACAATACTCAAGTAATCCTGTTATTTGTTTCAGATTCATTAAGAAGACGGATTGATCTAAGAGTCTACCACGTGTGAGCTTCGAGATGCCTTGGACTACAGAGCAAAAGACATTTGCAGTTTTGTAGAACAAAGAGTTTTTGTGGTATAGAATTGAGATTTTGCAGATGTTGGCTACATAGGTTGTACATAATTCCATAGAATTTTTGTTTCAAACTGAATAAAATTTCAGGAGTTATAAGACTTTTAGTGAGCTCTGTTTTTTTTGTGTCACCCTGTATAATAAAATGAATAGAATTGTACGTGGGCTAGTTGTACGTGTGGTAGGGGAAAGTGGTACGGTGGGACTGAGGGTACAGTGAGACAATTCGATCATTTTTGTGTATTACAGGATAATATTAACCAAATTATATAGCACTAATTACACACAAGTTATTGAATAGATTGGCCTGGGAGGGAGAGTTGTTGCACATTAATATTAAAAATAAACGACGTGTTCCAATATCTCCCATTTTTTGCCTCTCTAAAATATTTGAATACATCCATTCGTTCGTTGATCTGCAGTTCGTTGATCAAGCAATAGCTTAACTCTAGATCACATTTACTTGCTTTAAGCGCGTAGGTCGTTAGCTGTATTTTACTGACTAGTTAAAACATTTAGAAATTAAGTTCTCTGGAATTTTACCTCACCAAAAATTCTCCAAGAACGCCTACTGTCAATGTATAGTGATAAGTGATTTGTTCACATCACTTATGTCGCCGGCCTTCACAAGAAATTGCATATTTAGTTAACAAAACTAACCCACAATTTTTTAGCAAGGTCAAAAATTCTTTAAATTCATTATGTGGCAACCTTACAAATCGTAATTATGACCAGTATTAATTGTACGGTTTTTGACAAGCGGCGAGTTAAGTGCAGTAGCTGCTGCGTCAATGACTTATTTGTCATTGACGGTTGACTTGGCGAGTTAAGTGCAGTAGCTGCTGAGTGGCGACTTATCTGTCTTTGACGGTAGGCTTGGCGAGTTAAGTGCAGTAGCTGCTGAGTGGCGACTTTTCTGTCTTTGACGGTAGGCTTGACGAGTCAAGTGCAGTAGCTGCTGATTGGCGACTTATCTGTCATTGACGGTTAGTCTTGTCTGTCATCAGAGGGCAAGCCTGAAGCGTATATTTTCAGCGAGAGCGACGCACATCTCAACAGTCGCTGAATCTGCGTAACCTTCCATCAGAGACGCCACTTGCTCCGCAGTGACGTAATACCTGCAAGATGTTCACTGCATAAATACGGGAAAAATTTGAAAAATTTTCAGCCGTGTTTACCAGGCGATCTAATTTATTCCGTTATGTGTGTCATTTCTGATCACTTCAATAACGTAAATCTTATGTTTGGTTAAAAGATATAAATTTCGACACCAAAAAGTTGAGCACAAATCATTTTCGTTTCCATAAAAATCATAACTTTTGTTTGACTATGAACAGTGAATTTATTAGTTTGCCTTAGATTCTGTTATGAATTTCAATCCACATAGCAATTTCGTTATGAGAATTTCCACATAGCAACATAGCAATTTCGTTATGAGAATTAATAAAATTGTCCGTGTGGTTCAGTGTCAGGTTTCGAATTCGAAGCTCTCCAAGTCCGAATGACCGCTTTACATCCTCTGCAGTTACTATCGATGTTCACCCACGATAATAACAATGCAGCAAAGGAGTACCTCACGAGTTCGACCTGTTACAGGAATTTCGAGGGATTTCTTCGTATCAACATCAATTACCCTATAACGGCGCACTCCCAATTTTCCCATTAAATACAGCCTCACTTGATCTCCTCCTTGTAATGTCGGATGCAGAATCGTTGCGTGCGCGTGGAGTTATCTAGCAAGGCACTCAGCACCGAGAGATGCACTTGCAGGGTCTCAACTTCGTCAGTGACGTCTGGAGTGTGATGGAGGTATGTTGTGCGGCGCGCGCCTCTCATGCTCGCCACCATCAAAGGCACTGCGTACCGCAGCCACGGCTTCACATGACAGCTCTGCAATTTCGAAAACAAACTTCTGGCTTGATATTGTTGAAATATCATACAGGTTATTATAACATATATGCAGGATAAGAGTTAAGATATTCAATTTTTCTTTTCAAGAAGGTTTTGACCCGTGCATGTAAGTTTATTGTTGAGCAACGCAATGGTTGAAGTCTGGGACCATTTACAAATTCAAGAAGAAGTCTCATCTTATAAATGAATTTCTCACGAAATTGAATTCATTCTCACGATGAATTCTCACGCTTGGACAATATTGGTCGTCATCAGTCGTAACTGTTTCTTATCAGCCTCCTGAGCCCTGGTCAGTAGAAGAAAGCTTCTGGTAGCTTTAGACTGAACACTTTAAATCGACGAATTTTACCTGTGAATATATAATAAATAGGCCTTATAATATACAGGGAAAATATTGGTCTTTACCTTGAAGATGTTGCAAAGGTGCGGCGAGCTGTTGACGTCTTCAGAGAGCGCCAGCAGCAGCTTGTGCACCGACACGATGCTCAGCTCTGTGCACCTCACCACCAACTGGGCCACCTGAGTGATCAAAGCGCGTTTATTGTCAATTTTGACATTTTTAATTAAGATGGTTTCCTATTAGTGATTAGAAGCAAAGTAAAATAAATAAGCTAACATAACGTAAATAAGCTATCATTCCTCACCACCAACTGGGCCACCTGAGTGATCATAAGCGCGAGTATTGTCAATTTTAAAATTTTTAGTTAAGATTGTTTCCTGTTAATGATTAGGAGCAAAGTGAAATAAATAATCCATCATTAACAGCAAAATAACGCAAACAAATAGGCATCATGATTGAGTAACACGAAACACGAGAAACATGTAATGCAGTAACTAAAATCCCGTCAAGATACTCCCACAAAGGTAGAGAAACACAATGAAATGGCAAAATATTTATCAGGAAGATAATTTCATTCACAAGTAATGACACATGCAAGGTACGATGAAACATTAACGTAAAGCATGATTTATTATGACATTTCAACATGACTTCTTATGACATTTCAACATGATTTATTATGAAATTTCAACATGATTTATTATGATATTTCAACATGGTTTATTATCTTTTTTCAACATGATTTGGTATGACAATTTTACATTATTGCTTATGAAATATTAATCTGATTTATCATGACATTTTAACATGATTTATAATGACATCTCAACATGATTTATTATAACATCAAAACATGATTTATTATGACATTTTAACATGATATATCATGCCATTCCAACATGATTTATTATGACATTTCAAGATGATTTATTATGCCATTTCTACATGATTTATTACGAAGTTTCAACACGATTTAACATGACTTTTCAACATGATTTACTATGACATTTCAACATGATTTATTATGACATTTCAACATGATTTATAATGATATTTCAACATCATTTATTATTACATTTCAACATGATTGATTATGACATCATAACATGATTTATTATAACATCTTTACATGATTGATTATGACATAACATGATTTATTATGACATTTCAACATGATTTATTATGACATTTCAACATGATTGATTATGTCATAACATGATTTATTATGACATTTCAACATGATTTATCATGACATCTCAACACGGTTGCTGAGCACAGGGCGTACGGGAGCGCACGGCAGGTGCCTGATGGTGTCGTCGCTGTACGCGGCGACGTCAGTGAGCCAGCGGTCGCAGGTCAGCCGCAGGGAGTTGGGCAGCGCGGCTGGCGTCAGGACGGTCGCCAGCACCTGACAAGTCAGCTTGTAGTCGCTCAGAGATAACATCTGATAAGGGGAAAATATAACTCAGTACTCACTGCAGTGAGCGACAGCGAGCGCATTTTCTCGTCGACGAAAACGTGAAGTCAGGGACGGACGGACGGACGGACGGACATGACTAGCACAATAGAGCATTTTTTTCCGTAAATAAGAAAATGCGCTAAAAATGTGGTTTTTAATGCCCCGAGTAGTTAAGATGAAGAAAAAAAAGACATTTTTTGTTGGAAATTGAAAATATAAGTGTTTTTATGTTGTTTTTTTTAGTGACGTTGAAATTCAATGAGCTTTGGCTGGTTGATGGTTAAGATCATCAGGATTGATATAGCTACCTAGTTGGGATACTCGAAATTGGTTGTGAAAATTTTAGGTTGAATCGGCAAGGTTTTCGGATGATTAAGCACAGTCTTCAGACAAACACGGCCAAAAAATAAAATGCTGAAGCCCTTTCAAAGTTACCTAATTTATAATTAGACGTAATTTTTTTAAAGTAGCATCATGACACAAATGAACATCAGGCATTCCCTTAGACGATTGTTGTTTTGAATTTAATTAGTTCTCAATCAATGTACATATTCAATACCCATTTACAACAATTGATACACAAATGGGCACTGTTGTAGGCAGTACTAGGTGTATTTGCGTATTAAATGGAAGTATCAAAACACCAACCTTGACCATGGGCTTATGAGCATCATAGAAGCTCTCCAAAAGAGCGTTGTAGAGCAGCACGCAAAGCTCGAGCTCTTCCTGCCGTTGTTCTTGGCTTGAATTGCCAAAGTCGCCGTTTTTCGCAAATCTTCTCTTCTGTTTTTCAGATTCATCTGAGATCTTTTGGGGGTTTAATGCAAGGTATTGAGAGAGAAGTGACAGCAGTCGGTTCAGAAATGAAGTATCCTGGAATATAAAACATTAAAGTCAGGCTTCAAAGCTTGCATAACTTTGATCGCACAACATTAGCTCGCAAGGAATTTGAAAGCAAAGAAAACGCCAAACAAATTCACCATATCGATATTGAAAACGTTTTGGAGTCCAGCTCCATCATCAGTTCGACAAACTAAAAATGAATACAATCAGCTCGCAAGGAAATCGCATAATTGAGACAAATACGCAAAGTATCTAAAGAACGAAAATAAACACTCGAAAATGTATCCTAATTACCTAACAACAGATGGACGAGGAAAAACTTTATAAATGTAGCAGCTTTCCGACTAAAAGAAACAGGACTCAAGGAAACCTGACTCACCTGCCAAAATAAAACCTTCAACTTGGAGACTTTCGCCAGACCTGAACTGAGTTCTTTGGTTAGCAGGTAACATTCGTCTAGAGTTTCGGCGGCGAGCAGTTCAGTCTTGAGCTGCCAGAAGCCTTCTTCTACTGACGAAGGCGCAGAAGGCTGATAAGAAACCTTTGCGTCTGATGACTTAGGAGACGAGGCTGGTAACAGACGAGCTGATATCATCGGGTCATCAGATTGCTTTCGGCCCCGTAGACGCTAGAGGAAAAAATCTCAAGTTAGGAAGACGAATGAAGTAACGAAATGTTGCAATGGTGATTGCAAAATTTTGTTACTTTCGTGGGCGCAGCGATTGGGTAGACTTGGTTATTAGTTTCGTTATGAAATCAATATAAAATAATAATGATTAACACATCAGAGTTTCGGTATTTTATTATAGTAAATAATATCCAGAAAAAGCTTATGCGACACTTCATATCAAGGAAATGAGTAAGTCAGTACATATGGTGCATCTGTTTTAGAAAGTAGATGGAGTAAACAACGGAAATAATTACAATGTTATAATGTGATCAAGTGCAATAGATTAAATCTAAGGTATCTTAGACAAACTATTAAACTCTCATACCTTATTCCTCCAAAGCGTATAGAGGAGCTGGTGCAGAAGGCTGTTGGCGGTGATGGTGTAGAGATGAACTTTTTCTTCTCCCTCAGCCGTGCTATTGATGAGGGAGCCACGTCTGCATTTAAGAATAAAATGTGGATTGTCATAATGTCCCAAGCATTCGAAAGTGGATCAATAATAATAGACTACTTTAAAATTGTGATATTTTAGCCTACTCCGATCGGCCACCGAAAAAAATTGATTACCGAAAATTCGGTATTAATAATTTGTATTTTTAATTCCATCTACATGATTTAATCATATGATTTATTAATGAAATATCTGTTTAGTGTTGTTGCAATCGCCATGGTTTGCTCGACGTGCCTGCTGGAGGCGTGCACCGGTGCCCCCAGGACGCTGTAGCTGCGGGGGAACAGCGGGACCGGAGTGCCTCGGGTGTCCTGAGCGCTCGCTGAGCGCCTCAAGTGCCGGCCGTCGGGGCCTTCCACTGAAGCGACGCTCAAATTAGATAATCGTAATATTATATACGTGTAATAATAATTATATATGCTTAAAGTAGTGGAGTGGATAATATCACAAAGATTGGAGCAGCGAGCTGTGAGTTCGAAAACTGTAAACTGTAACTTAAAATTCTGGTTGAAATTAACATGCTTGATGGGTGGTCAAGAATCCGTGATAGGCTAAAACGGCTTTATCAAAGCTGATTTCACTTTGTGTCTCCATCATGATTTATAATACGTTGATACAAATGTTACAATAACAAGTATTGGAAAAGTATTTTCGCATACAAAGTTTAGTATCAATCAAATACAATTCAAAGCATGCATTTCAAAAAAATAGATCAGTACTCACTGTAGTGAGTGACAGACTCACTGCACCTCTATCACGTGAAGTCACAGACGGACGGACATGACGAGCACAATAGCGCCTTTTTTCCATAAATGAGAAAATGCGCTAAAACGCCTCTTAAATACGTGAGTAACTAAGAACAAAATTCTAGATTCTTATGTAAGTTTCATTACCTTCAGTGGCATCTCGCCGGCTCGTGACGCCGCTCACGTGCAAAGTAGGTAAGCGGTTGCCCCAGCCTGACTCCAAGCTCTGGCAAGACGACGCTCGCTGCAGAATAGGAGGCGAAATCTTCCGCTCGCTTGTGTCGGAATCGAAATTAAACTGATCGGATTGTGCAAGAAACGGCGACTTAGTGGTAACATCGAGACCATTGCTAACTGCGTCAGAAGACTGTGTGTGCGGTCTCGGACTTTGCGGTTCACTGAATAACTTTTGTCCCGGGGAGAATTCTTGAAAGGTGGAATTCATAGACATAAGCGATGGTCTTCGGTCGGTCAGGTCACCGCAACTTGTGGCAACTGAGAACGGCAGAGTTGATGAGGAGTTGGCAGGTTGGTAGCTATGCAAACCCGATGAAGTGGTTAGAAGAGCTGGATTATACGTCGCGGGTAGGTCACTCGAATTGCCAATTTGGAACTGTGACGATGAGTAACTTTTGCCTCTCCATAGGCCTTTGAAAAAACTCGAAATTTTACGCCTGTCATGACCAAAGCAATTCAATTAGAATATCAAATTGAGTTAAATAATGTACGCTCACAACTTCATGTATGACAATAACAATGATATCGAAAATCTCCTGACAATGGTTAGCAGCTAATTGATGATATTCTGTATTCAAAACTTTTTACCATATTTTCACTTACTTGGATCTTTTGAGCGAAGAGGTTTTCTGCGAGACAGAATCCGAGCCTTCAGAAAACGAGCCACGTTTTCTCCATTCATCGCGAGGGCTCTATGATAAAAAAACATTAGACTAAAGTAATGCATCTATAAATGTAATATAGACTGAAATGCGAATAAAAGATGATTTGGGCAATCAGTGAGGAAGTCAACCAGAGAAAAGAAAATGTACTCGTTTGATTTTTAAACAACACTGTTACGGCTGCATCATTCACCGCGCCTATACAGGTAAATAGTTTAATTGCATTTGACCCCTTCAATTGCTACAATTAAAAATTACAATTTACCGTCTCAAAAATATATTTTCCATTAATTGTCAATAATATTATACAATTCCTACGATTAATCAAAATTTACAATTTACCGTCTAAGAAAAATAAAATGTCAACTGTAAATTCTAATGTGTCGTTATAATAGATTGTTTTAATGAATGTATAGCAGGTTTTCGACTAGCTGTTAGCGAGAAAGACTCGATGATATTTTGATCATTTTGTTGGTCGCTCACCCTACTCGCCGGGTCGCTGGCTCGGACCACAGAGTCTAAGCTGCCGTAGTCGTCTGTGACACGCGGAGCACAGTCCCATCCGCCTTTCCGAGCTTCAGATAAAACACTAGAAGACTGAGCCACTAATGATCTGTACGAAATATAAACACATGAAATCCTTGAGGTTGAGAAAATATTACGAAAATTATATATGCAGAAATACAAATACTGCTAAAAAAAAGTATCGAGCGAGAACAGGTTAGTGTTGTAGGCCAGTTATTTTATTTATTTAAGAGAATTCACTTAAATAATTACTTATTTAAGTGAATTTATGCAACTAGTCGGGATGAAAAGTCGGAAGTAGTTTTGCTTTAAGTTTTGAGGTGAAATGAAGCAAGAAACTCTACGGAAATCGCATCTAACATTTAGATACAAACGCAGCAGTATCGCCAATGCGGGTTCAAACATCTGTCACCAATTTTAGTTTCGATTGAATCAATTTTTTAGACTTTATTGGATTGGCAATATATTGATTCATCGTTTCATCAATGAATCGATTTAAAATCGTTGAAAATCTACGAATTAACAATAATTTGAAGTTATTTTCAAAGCATATGATAAAGTGACATATAGAAAGACCAGCATGAATTATTGTAGTTGTAAATAGCTAGACGTAGGCGAGGGTTTAGTACGGAGGACTTGTGAATTATAAATCTAACGAATATTGATTTCTAAATATTTTATGAAAGCCAGTCAACACCTCGGGCCCTTGAGTTTGCGAATTATTCATAAATAAATTGCGGCAGTAAACAAGTTCCTTGACACTACATATCGAGCAATTGATTTGATGTTCCTCACAATTCACTGACGTTATAACGAAAAAATTTCAGATAAAACCGTGCATAATAACTCGACGTTATATATAGTCGACGATTCTTTAGTTCCGTGCATGTATTGTATAAAAACCACTACTGTTGAAAAAAGAGAAACGTGTAAATTATATGAAATTGCATAGGTTATAACATTTCTCGAGATAAATATGAAATTATCCTAGTCGAGCGTGTCCTACACTGGGGCATGCACAAATCTGCTGCAATATGAACAATTGCACCGCATTTCGTTAGCAAAAAAAACATCTCGGTCTGAGTACAAATTTCATACTCAGACTTAAGTCCAAGACGAAGCTTGCAGATTACACGTCCGCGAGCACGCATGGTAATTTAGAGAATTATTTTTATATAACCGGGACATGTTGCGGGCATCTCATCAAGAAATGCTAGAGACGCATTGCAGGGGAAACAACGAAATTATGTTGGCCGTGCTTGGACCTAAAGTTATTTATCGTACATCATGGAATGACGATGTACAAGTAAAGAAATTTATAGTAATTGAAAGTGACCACATAGCCAGAGTAGCTCTCACGACTGGAAATGTAAGCCTGATAACAAGTAAGTAAAATCGGCTGATGATGTTGTGGCTTCGTCAGTTGTCTTGGAGTCTTGTAACTAACCAAACTCCAACGATCCTAAAATCCTACCAGTTGCATCATATTTAATAACAGCTCAAGTGCTTGAATTTCTGATCTCTGCATAACTCCGACTTTAAGTATTGACCATAAAATTAGTGTAAAACGCTTTCCGTTTTGACAAGTCTGAGTTGACGTAAGTCCGTATTCAGGTTTTAGGATTACCACAGTTCCGACAACAAATTTCCTTTTTATTGAACGAAAAAATTATTTCTGTGAGAACAAATATAAATATATTAACTCTATAAAACCATGATGTTATAAACGTCCAATGCGTGTGTAGCGAGCACATCTGTCGGTCACGAACGAACCGTTCCGACAACAAATTTCCTTTTTATTGAATGAAAAAATTATATCTGTAGGAACAAATATGAATATAAATTGTATCTGTAAGAACAAATATAAATATATTAACTTTATAAAACCATGAGTTTATGCACGTCCAATGCGTGTACAGAAAGCACATCTGTCGGTCACGAACGAACCGTTCCGACAACACGTACGGGTCACATGCTGGCGCGGGATCAATACGACCCTGACCCTCCACGCCTGTGATGGCAAGCGGGAGATACTCCGCTTACACTTCACTCTTATCGTCTAATTACTTGTGCATGAAATACGGAAACTTAAGTGGGATAGTTTGTGATGTTTAGCAATACTTTTTAAAGTTGCTTTAGATGACATACTGTATAAATAGTGCATAAGCTAGGTAATAATACCGTAATATGAAAAGAATAAAATTATAATTTGCGTGTAAAAAGAAGTTACGATTACGATTAAATCTTTGGTTTTCTGAACAGTAGTATTAAGATAGATCGCTTGCAATTGAAAGACAAGGTTCCATGCATTTGCAAACTCCAGTTGTCATACTCGTGATAAGTTCCCTCCATTCACTGTTAATTTAAATTTTACATGAACTGTTTGCATGTAATTGGAATTTGCATTGGAACCGTAGCTTCTATTGAATATTTTGTTCCAGATTCTTCTAGAGCAAGCAGTTGTAGTTGCGTGTCGAGATATTGAGTGGGCATTGACGCGTCGGTGTCTGCTGATAAAGTGAGAGATAAACGCTAAAAACTCAACCATGAACGCAGAGGTCGTATTTGCACATCAATTCACTAGCTGATTCGGCGGCGTTCCATGAAACCGATGCTCAGTACTCATTTTACCAATATTTAGCCGAATACATTTAAGCTTAGTGATTCAGTTGAATCGGAATGCGAGAACACAGAGGCAACGCAATAGTGTTCAATAGTCCGAATGTTCTACAGTATATACTTGTAATCACAGCAATACCTTAATACGTTTTCGCTGGACGGTTTGTTAATGGTAATGATATAGAATTTCAAAACAATAAAACAATACATTGATGGCTTTTTGATAACACTAAAACTAACGAATCACAATAAAATTTCCCGCTAGGAACATTCCAAAACATAGTTTTAATTCTTAAAAGTTTGAACCGTATTTCATTCTCACAGTTCAATTAAAACACTAGGGCCCCAGAAGCCAACAATTTCGTAAATAGGAACTCGATAGTCGACGCAACACACTCGACTCTCATAAACAAACACCGCTGTGCCCCGCTTATCGCCACTATAATTGGCATTAGTCTGCAGTTTTATTCACTGAGGCATAGACAGTTTATAGACTCTTATATTCCCTTTATATTAGATTTTGTGCGATGTAAAACAATTTGTTAGGAAATCAGACCGCTTCAAAATTCAACGCTTTTCCTAGAACGGATTAAATTCGATATTTATGAAAAATCCTATTAACAGTCTAATAAATTGAGTTGCGATAAATAAGCCGATGGAAATTGCATATTTTACGAAATAGTAAATTTTTCAAAGTTGGTATACAAGTTCTGTGAGAAGTAGAAGTGGAATAATTAAAGTCGTTTTATCAGATGTTTATGAAGTTGCTAAAATGATGACGTATTTGAATACCTGGGACAATGAGGCACAAAAGAGAGCACAGAAACACTTTGTTATATGTTATAGATTTCATAGAAGTAATAATAACTGAAGAAAAATTTATTACGTGGCAAGAGAACGAGTCGAGACGAATCGCAATGAATGAAAGCGAGAGTTAACCCTTCGAGCGAAAGTGAAACCTGGCCTAAAAAGTCTCATAAATATTTAGTCGGCATGGACGTTCACATAAGCTTTAGGCCGAAAAACATGCCACGTGCAGGGAGCCTAAATTTTTCATAAACGATCGTTAAAGCCAACAGCCGACGTATGTGAAATCATGAGATAATCCGCTTTAACAATCCAACATTGCTGGTAAGAGAGAAAACCATTGCAATAACAGTATCCAATACTGGCATGATGGCAGTATTGGACAGTGTCCAATACTGCCAATAACAGTGTCCCAATACTGCCAATTGGGGAGACTGTTAATACTAACCAATCCCAATACTCCCAATACTGACATGCCAAGCCATTGCAATAACAGTGCCCAATACTGGCGGTTATATATTGCCAAACACTGATGGTTGGAGTGCCAAACAGTGACAGTTACGGTGCCAAACAAAAGTGGTTGCTAGGTCTGTTTTGCGTTCATCGATTGCCGCGACACAGTAATCGTGGCACGAGGGACCGCCCTTCTTCTATGATGAAGTGAAGAAAGGTCACTTCACTAGAGTTTATTGGCTCACCTAATCCAGTTGTAGGTGCACATTTGGGACTCAAGTTACTCGTGACTCAAACGCACCAATGGAATCAATTTTCATGAACATTAAATTACAATATCACTTCAACAAAAACTTATAGTTTCACTTGACATTCGAACGAAAAATTGAGCGAAAGTTCTCAACATTCAAATGCCAGCCTCCAAACCTTTATTAAAGACTTTAAAATAATCTTATAATGGAAACAAATGCATTCGAGATAAGCATTTATTTTAAATTGAAAATCGAACAGGATTATCGAGGTTCTTTGTTAAGGTAATTGACGAGATAATCGGAGTTCATATTGCAATGAACAATTGACGTCATAAGATTTGTGCATGCAACTATAGAGGTATGAAGCACGAAGTAAGATATGAATTGGAAAAAATATTTTTATGGCTTTGGACTTGAAAGACAATGACGGTTATCTGCAGACTTCAATGGATTCAAGCACTTGAGAACAAGGAATTCGAAGATCTGAGAAAAATAAGGGATTCGAACAGTTGAGAATACTAAGATATTCGAACATTTGAAAGAACAGGATAAACGCCTTTGAACTTGAGGAAATGGCTGTGTAACAGTTATTTTCGTTCAAGTTAAAATAAACAAACAATGAACTTACAATATCTTCATAAATGTGGTGAAAATGGCTTCAAAAACACCAAATGACAAAAAAGAGAAAATTTCTATTCAAAAACTTATGTTTGTTTTTAAAGGTCGACGAAACATTTAACATCCGATAAACACTTGAATGAAGTATAAGCCTCTGACCAAAAGGACGAACTAACGGCGTTCAGCACTGATATCTTGCAAGGATATAGCGCGTGTAGCAAGCTGTGCTCAGGTTCACTCACTCTTATTATTGTAATCATTATTATTATTTTACGAAGAGATTATCGTGATATCTTTAGTGATAGAACTTCGAGAGAACGTTGCTTACTGAGACAATAAAAAAATATTACTCAATACTCACTGCAGTGAGTGACAAAGAGCGCATTTTCTCGTCGACGAAAACGTGAAGTCACGGACGGACAGACAGACAGACAGACGGACGGACGGACATGGCGAGCACAATAGCGCCTTTTTCCATAAATGAGAAAATGCGCTAAAAACGTTAAGAGTGAAGAAAAATAAGACAAAAAATATGATACAAAGGCCTTAGTGCAATAGTCAAAAGTTCTACGAAAACATTCGGCCTTTAGACGACAAAGAAACGCTAACAGCGTCCTCAAACAGTCAACAAGACAGTTGCTTTTTGGTGCTGAATTAGCTAAGGTAAGGCTTAAGATCTACAATAATTATCCCTCTAAAAAAATGAACTCAGGCTTGAGCTCGACAGAAATTATTGCTGATAATGCAAATAAAGCAACTGTTTATGGATGATTTTACCAATTTACATGTCTAGGACATGTAAATTGGTCATTAGCAGACAAAATGCGGATTATGTGTAGATCAAGAGCAGGGCTAATGCTGATTAGGAACAGAGCAAGAGCAGGACTAGAGCAGATCAAGAAAAGGACTAGAACAGTTCCAAAGCAAATATGAATTAAGCAGGTCTAGAGCAGGTCTAAACAAATATAAAGCAGGGTTAAAGCAGCTCTAGAGCAGGGCTAGAGTAAAGATGAAGCAGGCCTAGAGCGAAGATGAAGCAGGGCTTGAACGAAGATGAAGTGAGGCTAGAGTTGGTCAAAATCAAATCAAGAGCAGGGCTAGAGCAGTTCTAGAATAAAGATAAAGCCGGACATAAGCAGTTCTAGAGCAAGGCTAGAGAGAAGATGAAGAATGATATGAAGCAAGGCTAGAGAATGTCAAAAACAAATCAAGAGCAAGGCCAGAGCAGTTCTAGAATAAAGATAAAGCCGGACTAAAGCAGTTCTAGAGCAGGGATAGAGAAAAGATGAAGCATGAGATGAAGCAAGGCTAGAGAATGTCAAAAGCAAATCAACAGCAGGGCTAGAGCAGGGCTACAGTAGGTCAAAAGAAAATCAACAGCAGGGATATAGTGAGGGTCTAGAGTGCTATATATGGCCATGCCACGGTACACGTTCAGTTTTCTTTCCGCGAGATACTCAGTAAATTGGGCAGCAATCGACCGGCCCGCTTCAAAGTGTGTACCAAGTGTAAACGCCTGGCCTCAGTTATGGACGAGTGAGTGATGAGTTGCCTCATTAACTAGTTAATTAGTCGTCGATGCAATCTCGACAATATCAGAGGGCTTTAGAACGGAAAAAGCATTAACCAAATAGATCATTATTTATACTATCAGAACTGATACAGAAATTAACGGCGGTAGAGGGTAAGTTTCCTCGATTTGTACGATTTAACTTTTTTATAAAAAAATATATCATACGTGAACAATGTAATGATGAACAATGTAATGATGAACTAGATGAACTATTTCTGGTCTGATCGCCTCTTTGAAATTTACGCAAATATGTTTAAATTATTTTAGCTGAATAGTAAAAAAACGTATTTATTTATTCTAATCTTAAATTTATATTGGAAAATTATTATCAGTATATTAGTCTTCACAGTGGAATTGCAAATCAAATAAAATAAAACGAAGGTTTGTTTTTGTAGAACATAGACGTATATATAGATGCATATATAGACATATTGATATATAGATGCATATAGTCTCATACTGAAGCTAGATTCGCCAACTCGGACTGAGAAAGTCTACGGGATTTGGAATGCGGATTTATGATGCTGTCCCATGTTCCAACCCGTACCTCCAGGGCGTTACATCTGACATTTTTTCGGCCGTATCCTTAACAGTCAATTAAATATTGAAACACAGTCAATCCCTCCAAGTCAAGCATGGTAATTAACAACGCATTGAAGCTATTGAAGTTGAAATTTATATCAATGAAAATTAACCGAAATACTTGACCTGAAATTAGCATCATCAAATTAGTATTTTACTCTTTAACTGTGCGTGTTCGACTGCAGTAAAAAATTGTCGTCCTCAATATAGTGCATGGAGTTTATTGGGGCGCACTATTGGAAGCGTTTCGTCTCTGTTCTTTTCGTGAGTAGCAAATGACTGGTGGTAATCTTTCGATACTTCAGATATTAACGAAAGTTGGTGCCTTGCTGTATGATAGTAATTAGCCCTGCGTGCTTCATAAATGTTACATTCTAGAGAGTCAGGTACATATGTTACAGTCAGGTACAAATGTTACAGTCAGTTGCACATGTTGCAGTCAGGTACACATGTTGCAGTCAGGTACACATGTTGCAGTCAGGTACACATGTTGCAGTCAGGTACACATGTTGCAGTCAGGTACACATGTTACAGTCAGGTACAAATGTTGCAGTCAGGTACACATGTTGCAGTCAGGTACACATGTTGCAGTCAGAGACACATGTTGCAGTCAGAGACACATGTTACAGTCAGGTACAAATGTTGCAATCAGATACACAATGCTGCAGTCAAAGTAAATGTCAATAAGATAATGCTCATTTCAATGCTTCATTTCTGTACAATCTTAATTAACTTTTTGCATTTTTTGTTTACTATTCTGTTTTTTGGTTCTTATCATTTGCTCGCATCTCTTCCAAGATACGCTTATATAGAGTTACCTTTACATCTTAGTGCAGACATGGAGGATAGATCTCTCCCTACCTCAAAAATATTATTCATCAGCTTGAATTAACCTGAATAATAAGCCCGAAATAACAAATTTAGAGCTACATTTCTACCAAATTTAGAGCTACATTTCTACCATTTCTTGTGCCTTGGGACGTGGGTTGAATAAAAAGTGATTCGAGCTTATATTAATAGGGTACAGCGAGCTCAAGTTGAGATTAATAGAAGAAGTCTCGAGCTACGATTAATAGAAAACTCGAGTTAAAATCGAAGTAGAGCTGAGATTAATAGGAGCCTCGAGTAAAAATAGAGGTAGAGCTGAGATTAATAAGAGCCTCGAGTAAAAATAGAGGTAGAGCAGAGATTAATAGGAGCCTCGAGTAAAAATAGAGGTAGAGCTACGATTAATAGGAGCCTCTAGTGAAAATCGAGGTAGAGTTACGATTAATAGATGCCTCAAGTGGAAAATCGAGGTAGAGCTACGATTAATATGAAACCTTGACCGAACACCAAATTCGAGTTTATTGAACGAATTAGTTCTGATTATAAATAATTGAATTTAGTTGAAGATAAAAGATAACTCACTTGGCGGCGGTGGGCGCGGCGATGGTCACGACCAAGTGCGACGACTGCTGCTGCACCACGCCGCTCAGGAACTCTACTTTGTCTGCTACCTGGGAGCGATACACATTTTCTTACATTAATCTTACAAAATATATCATAGAATTGGACTTTATATCGCGGATTAATCCTTGAATAACTGCATCACCATTTGAAAATGATCGGGATTAGGACCTTGACTTCTATTATACAGCGATAGCGGCTAAGCCAATTCATCAATAAATATAATTTCATAACCATGGCTTATTGTCTACATGCAATACCTAATCTATATACAATATTTTATTCCACTAATAAGGAACCTTTTCTTAAAAAATTTATCTACAATATCGATGCAACTATAATATGCTGAATGCAACACAAATCATAAGAGATCTCAGGTAGTTACGTGAAGTTAACAGAACTGGGCAGCGCTACTTTGAAATGTAGCGGCCGCTACCGCTACCGCTACATGCTCTAAATGTAGCGGGCGCTACCGCTACCGCAACAATTGCTTAAATGTAGCGCCGCTACCGCTACTGAAAATGGAGCGGCCGCTACATGTAGCGCGCTACTGCCCACCACTGGAAGTTAATATAACATTTCATACAACACGACACGCACGAGTTGTAAGGACGTGATGTTCTTGATGGTGAGCAGCACCCTGAGTGACCGCGATGCGAGGTCGGCCACGTACACCGAGTCTGACGTGACCGCGACGTGACAAAAAGTTACCCTGTTTTTGAGCCTCAAAATCACCGCCTCGCACCATCTGCAATTGTGGATATAATAACGATTTTATATTATCGAGAATAGATTATTCACGAATAATCGAGTAGCTATACATTCAAATGCCGCCTCGAAAAATTATATGTGACATGATGAATTGCAACGAGAAATAAATATTTACATCATTAACAATAGTTAGTACCGCGAATTTAAATAATCTGCTGGTAAATAGCAGTTATAAAATAAAAGGCATCCCCACTCCATCACTACACTTCATTACTACTACTCAGAAGACCTTGACGTTGTACGACCTACCGATGCCGGCTGGGGGCGCAGCCTTGCACCAAAAATTTAACTCATAAAGAAGTCCTAGCGCCAACGCCTCCCCTCATAATGCAATAACTATACTCAGCCTAAAGAAACTAAACAACAACTTCATCAGTCTTCATGGGTAGATCAAAATAGTTTCGTATCTTCCGCAATCAAACCTTATTAATCGATTTTTCTGGAAAATAGAATGTTTTTTATTTAAGCGTGGAGAGTTAAATGATGGATCTTCAGAGTGGCGACTCATGTTTGGCATAAACGTTAACGTAAAATGCATGTGATTGTCCTTTCAAGTTTAACGCCCAGCTGCACTTTTCATATTTTTTCAATATACAATTTGGAACACACTACACTAATCTTTAACCCATGTAGTCACCGTGGTAGCAAAAAATATTGAACCTGATTTTCTACGTAATTTAAAAATAAATGTGGTCCGTAGCGCTAGCGGGGGGTGCAGCAGAGCGTAGACCAGCAAATTAAAGCTCAAATCAGCCCTGGAGCCAACATCAACCATCTAAAAGCTATAGATATTGTCATCCTGGCACCTAAGCAGCTGTAGTCAATTGACCCATCTCACCACACGAACTTTAAACCAACATTGCTTCACATGCATCCCCATAGCGGGTTATTCAGTGTTACATTTTTATGCCCACCTCACATCTGAGTAGACGTCAGCTGACAGATGGCGCTTGAGAAAGCTGCGCAGTTTGCTGCTCATTTTCTATCACCATGGAGCCAATTTCCAGAAACTGGTACAGTCGTCGTAAGTTGCGAGATCATCGTAAATTTGATTCGGCTCGCGTTTAAAATTCTTGGGTAGAAATTTCATCGATATTTTACATTGGTGGGTAGCTGATTGTGTCGGTAAAGTCTTTTATGGGTTTATTAATTTAATTTTTATTCGGTTATAGCTAGCGCCTTACTATTCGATGGCAGGTTCAGGTACACATATCACAATGTTGGTATTTGGGTTATGTTATGAACAATCATTGCATTCTCAAATAAAGTTTTGCATTTAAAAAATAATCAATATTCGATAAACATTTACAAACTTTTCGGGAAAAAATGAATGTTGATTTAATAAAAACAGTTAGCTTTTAAACGAAAGAGAATTGGGTCAAAATTATTGAAAGTAAGTTATAGATAAATATAGAATACTGAATACTATGACTACATACACTAATATTTATTACTGGTGATAGGCAATCATTTCCACAACGCGAATAAATCTTTAGCAACAATGCTAATGCCTTTTTAAACCCAACGCTCCCACAGCTTGCCCGAAAATTCGACCTTTTTTGAACACTTTTCCATTAGAATTTACAACTTCTCTGAAAAGGGCACAAAAAATTTATTCTTACATAAGCTTGGAAAATTTTCAGTTTTCATAAGAAAATTGTTATTAAATCCATCACTGATTACCTACTATCTTAGTATCTATCGCCATGAGTGATTGTATCGTTTCTGGCAGGACCCAAATAGTTTCATTAAATTAGCAAAAATTCTACGGCCTAAGAGTTAAACATCAAAGCAAGGTTTTCTACATTTAATATTCGATAGTAATGCAGTTTTAATTTGAATGCCGCAGGTGCTCTGATATCAAACTTACATTTAACTAAGACAAATAAATAATAGAAGTTACTAGTTCTCATTAAAACATATCTCCCCAATTCTTCAATTGCTGTTACTTATGCTAAACTAGTGCTCCACAGATTTGTCAGGTTTGAAATATCTTTCGGGCTTGTGACTTCCACCAAGTGAAGAATCTTTCTGCAACCGCCATGCACCAACCTGCATCACAGCTCACCCACAACTAACATTTGCCTCACTGGTTCATTAAGCGAACCTTCTATACCGGGTTGTTTAAATTCATTGATTCTTAGCTGGCCAGTGCTTTGAAGATTTTCATTGTTATTCGGTGATTTGCCTCACATCACGAGCGACTGCTGACGACCAGAGCAAGCGTCTGGAGAGAAAATAATGAAACTGAGAGAGACGATGAAGAATTAAACTCAAAATTACTGCTGAGTCCAAGTGTTACAAGCGGTCAACACGTAACTTCTTCACCTTCAAACCGTGAACAACAGCAACACCAATTGTATTGAAACCAAAGGAACGTTAATGTTCTCATTATTTGGAATTATTATTTGTCTCTTCGACTGCTGCAAATGGAGGCAACACATCAGAGAGCGTTATAATTTAGGTTTAAATTCCATAATTGATAAAGTTTCAGTATATTAATTTCAATTTTGAATTCTTTATACTCATTTGCAAACATTTTTTCAATGTTTTCTGAACGGTCAAAGTTTTTTATTATGAATCATTATTTCAAGGGGAAAATTAGTTTACTTTTAGGGTAAATCTTATGTTTACTTCAAAATTATTCCATTTTCATGAGATTTGTGTCCCTTACATTTCGTGTACCTAAACTTTAAAGCGTTCATCTGTATATGAACTTGGACATCAATTGAGGTTAACACTTAACATTGAAAAATATTTAGGCCGTTTTTGATTATCGTTCAATTCTTTTTGTGAACGAAGTCACCCAGTACCTAGAAGGTAAGAAACCGAATTTGTGTCATTGCGCTCTCGTCAGACTCAGAGGCTTAGACCTCATTTGGGTACAGGGTAGTTAGTACTTTATTTCTAACTTTGTAAGTTATTTTGATCTTACTTGGCAGGTTGTCATAGGAGCTTTTGAAGATTTACTTGTTGACCCTTGCTGCTGTTCTTTTTATGTTGGCTAATCAGGCCATTAATATTTGATATTTTATGCAACAGCCACTTTATTAACCATGGTCAGGAAGATGTGCCAGGTGTGCGGGAATTTATATTGTCATTTTACCAACCTGCGCGGCACTGCATGGTGCAATTCTATAGGTTATTCAAAAGAACCTGGTCTTATGTCATTTTGAACCAATCGACACTTCTTTACGGACCGAGGACCGATCATGTAACACAACCTTACCCGGCAAAAGCTTTCTTGCTTCTGAAGAAAGGGGCGGTTTGTCAGCTGAGCTGACACTGGCCGTGGGCGGGCCTTATTTGAATTTGAACACATGCATCCATTTGAAATCCTAGACCCATAGGGCCTAGCCAGACTGTAGAGCATGGCACAACATAGGTCGAGGACGCCGATTTCATGCACCAAAGACGCCGAGCAGGATGCCACTGGACACCACTGGACGCCGGTTGCCAATTATGCTTCTCCATAAATCACGATTTACGATCGATATGGCCGATGCGCCGTACTGATCTACACGCTACGATCGTAACTATGTGTTGTAGCGCGTAGTTCCGATGGTGGTGAGAGCTACATTTGAGCACCCAAGCATACGAGCTCATAGCCACCTAAACTACGCGATGTAGCACGCAGTTCCGGCGCCTGTGAGAGCTACATTTTTGCACCCAAGCATACGAGCTCATAGCCACCTGAACTACGCGATGTAGCGCGCAGTTCCGGCGCACTCTCATGCAAGCTCAATCATTTTCTTTAACGTTCACGCACGTCTACGCTGCCCTTGTCGCAGTCCTCAACAGCAAGTTCCCGCAAATAGGCTTGCTGCTGCTCAATAGGCTGATCATTCAGTTCCGTCGGGGCATCAGACGCAATGACAAAAGCATCTGCCTCTCTTCCAGCCGTTTCATTGCCCATCTAATGAACCAGCAGGTGGCACATGAAGTTGTTGCTCTTGAAATATTGACTTTTCTGCTTGAAAAAGTTCAGGACGCAACTGATGACTCAGAACTCGGAGATAAATCCCGGAACAGCTGCGCTGAGCTAGCCGCGGCGTTTCTTAGAGAGTGCGGGCAGAAGCTTCAGGAACTTAGTCCACGATGCATGGTTCGGATATTTGAAAGTTTGAAAAACATTATCAACGAAGGCAAACTTGAAGAGAGAGTCAAGTATATGTTTGAAGCTATCTGGACTGAAGGAAGGAATGGTTTTAAGGACAATCCTGCCATTCTGGAAGAGCTTGATTTGGTGGAAGAGGATGATCAAGTCACACACGTAGCCGAGTTGGATGGCAAGTTGGATAGCGAAGACATTCTCAATGTATTCAAGCACGATCCCGAATTTGAGGTTAACGAAGAGAAGTACAAGGAAATTCGAGCTAGCCTTTTGGGCGAGTCCAGCGACGGGGAAGACGGTGAGGATGGCAGTGAGTCATCTGGGTCGGATAGCGACGATGAAGAAGATGAAGACAAAGAAAATGCTGGTCAAGATATTTTGGACCAAACTGAGAGCAATATGCTGGCCTTCAGACGCACTATCTACCTCACTCTAAGGTCATCTCTGACAGTCGACGAAGCTACGCACAAAATTCTCAAAGGGAATATCAAACCTGGATGGGAGATGGAGCTTGGTAACATGATTCTGGATTGCTGTGCTCAAGAGCGCACGTTTATGAAGTTTTTTGCTCTCATAGCCCAGCGTTTCTGTGGCATCAACCGCGTGTATCGGGACTGTTTTCAGGAGATATTCAAGACCGCCTACGAGACTTGCCACAGACTTGACACTGACAAGATGCGCAATGTTGTGCGGTTGTTCGCTCATCTCTTTGTGACGGACGCCATCTCTTGGGAGGTTTTCAGCATTGTTCTGCTCAACGAAGACAACACCACCAGCTCATCCAGAGTCTTCCTCAAAATCCTCTTTCAAGTAAGTCTCTCGGTTCTTAGCCTTCCATTCAAATACGAATGTGAATTGTCTGTATCAGATGCGTGTAGAAAATTCATTTTGGATTTATTATTTGCTCGTCACCTTTTCCAAGCTAATTTTTGTTGGGTTTGGCTGCCTTTCTGACCCAATACTTCGAGCAATTATTTTCACGGTAGCCGTCGCTTAACTAAGAAATTAATCATGAGTACTATGTCGTCATATGCTTGCTATATGTTCTAATCACTTAGCTCTTCCTTTTCCACTTTTTCTTGATAATAAATGTAGTATTTCGTGCAGGAAATGGCTGAATTTCTCGGTCTGAGCAAATTGAACGACCGACTTGGTGACCCGACGATGAGCTGCGCGTTCGAGGGCCTTCTGCCGCGCGACAATCCCCGTAACACGCGCTTCGCTATCAACTTCTTCACCTCCATTGGCCTCGGTGGCCTCACCGACGGCCTTCGGGAGTTCCTACGCACGCAAGTAAGACTGAACACTACCACAAATTATGCGTTGAGCTTGATCTTGCTTTCTTAGATACAGTAAATCTTCAGTCATTTCCGGTCATTAACTTGAATGGTTAAATTCTAGATCAGTGTGCCGGTGGGTCTGACTCCCATGAGTCGCAATAGTTAGTGGAAAATAGAGTGGTGCTTGGAAAATATAACGTTTAATTTCTTACTGAAAACTTGCGAGGATTAAATTGATTAATTATTGGTGATTAATTGCTTTCAGCCGAAACCAACCGCCATCGTCGCACCCGTCATCCAAAAGGGGGATGGTGAAGACAGCTCAAGCAGCAGCAGTAGTAGCAGTAGCAGCAGCAGCAGTAGCAGCAGCAGTGAAAGCAGTGACAACAATGAGAGCAGCAGCAGTAGCAGCAGTGAAAGTAGTGACAGCAGCAGTAGCAGCAGTGACAGCAGTTCTTCTGACGATGATTCGTCAAGTGGTGCATCAGGTAAATTCTGTTCTGTTTGATTACTTTAAACATGAAAAAATACGCATTGTGATAAATAATTGTTAATCGCTCAACCTCTGCTGGAAGACACTGAAATCTACCGTTTGTATTTCTATTCATCTGTCGGTGGAGATAGTTTACTATTGCATCATAAATGGTAGCAGCACAGCCCATTTAGATAATTAATTACTAACATTGGTGTGCTTTGATCAGCCAAAAGTAATAATAGAAGCTAACGCGTGTATCAGCATAGCGCACCAAGCGGTCTATTATAGACAAAAAATTCTCACAAACCCTCGTGTTGTGACTTAATTCATTTTCAAATCTTTCTAAATTTTTAGTATAAATAGCTCAAACATCAACGTGAAATTTATTTAATTCTCTCAGCGGCTAATTAAGGATGCTTTCTCTCAAACATTTTATTATAAATGTTTTTGTATATAAAGGTTCTTTGAGTAAATCAAAGGTATTAAAGTAGGTAAATTTATTTATTATAAATTTATTTATGTAAACTATAAATAAAGTAATTTATAACTTATTTATAAATTTTTTTATTTATAAATTTATTTATTTATTGGTAAATACTGGAAATATCTGATCTTGAATTCTCATTTAAAATAACGTAATTATTTCCTGATTTCTTTTAATTTGCAGTCCAGGACGGGCGTCGCGGACGCGCTAAGAAAGCAGGAGCTCGTGACAGGGAGAGAAGAACCAGCGGCTCGTCAGGTGACTAAGCGCTTCGAGTTCTTGCTTTTACGTCTCAGCAATCAGTCAATCACCAATGCAGGCTGAATTACTTTACTACTTGGGTGCTGACGGTAACTCGAGTTACCTGGCATTAAGATGAGGACAGGACTGATGACAGTTGACAGTTAATGTTACAAAGACCGTTATATCATAACTCGCTTAAGTACATGTTGCGGCCTATTTCTCGTCTGTGATTGGTAGTTTTATATAAAATGCATATGTAATTGGCTGGCAGATTTACGAATTTACGAATTCGTGAATATTTTTGATAGTAAAGCCGCAGGAGACGAAGTATCTACTCGGTTATTAAACTTAGATTAATATTTTCGGTGCCTTTTTTGTAAGGCTTCCTTGTTCGCGCTTTACTCTGTGCTTCTTGATTCACGTTTTTTTCTATGTAGTTAGTTTTTTATTCCGTGTTAATTTTTTAACTTATTTATTGGAGCTAGGAAGATAGTAATAATTGAAAGTCTTGTCTTAGTTTCGTGTGAAATAAATTGATTAAAATAAATTTAAATTTACCACCATATTTTCTTGTAGCCGCGGTCCCAGCGCTGACAGATCGTCAGGGCGGTAATGCCAGGCGACGACGGGACACGTCGACGCGCCGTTCTCAACGAGACGTGAGCGTGGACCGACGAGGCAGCGCACGAGACCAGCCTCGAAGACAAGACTCTGCATCTAAGCGAGTCTCTGACATCGAGACTCACCGAGACCGCAGGCATCGCAGCAGAGACGACAGCAGGGCGAGACGCAGGCATTGAAGCGTCTGTACTTACATGCCGTTTTTTTTCATCCCTCCCAGATGAAAACTATCTATTATTAAATTCTTGATTTATGCAATCAACTTCTTATTTTGTTAGGATTGCATCGTTTCGGCGATTGCAATTTTCCAGCAAAACTTTTTCAGAGTCATTGTATATGTAATTTCATCTGAAATAGGTTAATTAATCAGACAAGTTGTGAGGTACGGTAGTTCTCATTTTTCATTGACGTTACTTTCAGGAATGTGCGCAGAACGAAATTATATTAGAAACATTTCTATGTGCATTGTGTTCCTCAACGTTAATCTTGATCCGAATCCTATTTTTTATCCGTATATAGATTATCTTTTCGTTGATACTAGATAGAGTTCATGTTTGAAATGGCTTGTGAGCTTTTCTCCAAGTTCAGTTTCTATAAATTAATATTTGTTGAGGTTTGAAAGCATTGGTAGTCGAAACTTACCATTCTCGGTCGTAATGTTATGCAAATAATGATTAGTTACTCGTCAAATGTCATCCCAAATTTGCACTACGCAATATCTGACTGTTACTTTCTATTCTGCTTTACCACGGTAGGACGAATTCATGATATTTTCAATGATTTTTCTTATGTTCTCATGAATAGTTTGAAGTAGAATACAATTTCCCCGAGCTAGTGTATTGTAGCAATATATAATTTACCTTCTGATTGCGCTGAAAAGCATGGCAAAAAGGTGAGCACAGCTACGATTTAACATTTTTTCTTCGGGCATCGGCAGCTCGTGGAAGTCTGTTCTTTGGTTGCGAGGAGATCACAGCTACCCTGCTTGTCAGGGTGTACTTTGAAGCTGCCATTTTTGCTTGTGTCTCACCATCATTCTATTGGAAATTGTATATCAGTATTGTTTAATGCTGCGTTTGGCATTGAAATTTAACGTGACATCTCCGAGAAATGAATTGTGGAACTATTTGTTTCTATTACGTAGTAATGGTAGTATCCATCATGAGCCAGGTCTTGTGGAACATACTTTTACCCATTGACATTGTCAACTTGGATCCATGGAATTCTCTTCGGTGAAAGTAGTAAGTGTGTAGATGTTAGTTTGAAATTGTGTGTGGCTTAAAGTATGACAATTAAATATTTAAAATGGTGAGTGCATTCTTTGCCAGCGTCGCATTCCATATGGAAATGGGGTATCCCCTATAAATCATGCAGTTGAACTGCTAATTTCGTACATCGTTAGTGAAAATAAATAAAACCTAGAAAATTTCAAGATTCCGAAAGCGATTTTTGTACATGTTATATAAATTGTACTGTAATGAAGTGAAAGAGGGTGCACTTGCTTGTATTTGTTTCCTTGCAGTGAACGATAGTTTTGCTATCGATGAAATGCGAATTCCATCTATATAACAGTTTATATCTCTCTAGAAATTGTTTCTGCAGGGAACGTATTTCTCGTAAGAAATTTTATTGCCAAAAATATGTTTTGAAAGACCATCAATAATGCTGTTCAGTGGCCAAAATCGACGATGTGGTCAGCCAGACGAGTTTGTGAAGAGCAAGATTGGAGCAGTGCGTTGCGTGTTCTACCCTCCACGCACCTGCTCATCTTGACGCTGTCTATCAACAACTAAGCACATTGTCAACTTCACACTACATACACAACAGTAGCAGTACATACATGCCATGGCTGAACTAATACATTAGTTAAACCATGCATACATACTGCCTGCCAACTAAATCCTCTATTCACACTATACACATTTCTTTCGCCATCCCTAAACCAAGTAACTTAAGTTGCGTATCCAAGTCCCATAGCTAACTATAAATTTAGCAAAATATCGTATCTGCTTCATGCACAATCTTGAACGCTGATACCACTAATATTATTGTATTGTAGATTAGATTTAAAAAATATTTCTGTGTTTGTAAGCCGTGACCTCACGTACTCGGCATTTGTGTACATAACAGAAGGCTGAATTTTTCACCGTTGACCGTTTCACATAACATAACATAACATAACATAACATAGTGATGTCGGCTCTGAAGTGTAGGCCTGATGTGGCCTGTCGCCGATTCTTTTCCATTTCGTGCCTTGTTCATAGATCTAAACTCGTGTCATTTGACCGGATCTTTTCATGACTGGCGATAGTTTGAAGAAGCTACTAGACTTCCACCGGGTTCGATAAGGAGCTAGGCTGTGTTATTTCTTGTGTGTGACGTCACCGCTACCCATATGTAAACAAAGCAGTGAAGATGGGAGTTTTGCATTGAAATCGATGGTTATTTGTGAATAATATTTTTTATTGTGATATTATAACATATTTCTGATTGTGATATTGACACTTGACAGTAGTGTCAACATTTGAACGTCGAAGTTCTAACATCATGAATTACGAGGTAGAAGTGTAAGGACTAAGCAGAGCTAGAATCATGGCTGAGGCTTAACCAATGTCATAGTCATTTTTTACGTCATTGATATCATTCTGGAACCAACATAAGTAACTAAGGGATTTCCCAGTTCAAATATTTATTGATTTATTTATATCAATTTCGAAACTCCACATATTTCTAAAGGGAGTTGTGATGAGACCATGGGGTCGAACCATTGAGTTTAGATTGCAACTTGCAAGAGGGGCAAGGGCCAAGGGCATGGGGCCTTGCAAAGGGTTAAGACCACCGCACGGCGGTAGACCGATAAGTACTTACAATAATTCCCTGCCACCATGCGCGGCAGGCATGGAATATATCTACTTGGCGAGCCGCGTCTGAATTTTTTGAGCCTTGGTTTTATGGATTTACCAGCCGTGATTCAATTTCTTCAAGCCATGATTCCATTTCGCGAATTTATTTACAAAATCCATGCAAGTGTTACCCTAAATCTCTAATTTTACACTAAAACAGTCAAATGGCAAAGATAAAATTTGTCTTTACTGAAAGTTGAGCTTGTGTTAATGCAGTCTGACCGCTTTGACATGACCGGAACTATGCGCTATCTTCAACAAAATGTTAAGTTGATTTGTTTACATTACGATGTTCATGTTTTTTCTGCAGGATATTTTGGCAGTAACGGTAAAGCAATGCAGATTGCGGAAGTTGACAATTTTATGAAGTGACTTGTTTGCGTTGTGCAAACTGCGATTTTTCAATCAAACAAAAATTTATGACATCCGAGCCGCAAGATTTCATACCTACTGAAATTATATGATATTAGAGCCACGATATTTCTGACAAAAATATGTCTTTTCCAGCCCTGCTGCGCGGTGCGCCGTACTATGCCAGTAAAAAAATGCGCAGTGCGCCGTACTTTTAGAAAGCTAAAATAATTTAAATATGGACGCGCAGCATGGCAAATTACATAATCACACTGACCGTACACACAAATGTGTATCTGCATTGTGTTGTGGTTGGATATGAGTTAACTAGACTGCTAACGTGTCAACTCGGGAGTGGGGACTCAGGACTCAGGTAAGTCAGGTTCTAAGAGTCAGCACAGCATGGTGCAATTACATATCAATTTTAAATTACCTTAGTAATTTGAGTTTTGTGAACGCCGACCTTAAATTAGAGAAGCGGCTCGCAGCCTCCGGCAGACAACCTCCCACGCTGACAGTCTAGATAACACTGCATGCGGCAGTGCAGCTGCCAGCTGCACAATGAAGATTGCGCTCTAGCAATACAAAATAGTCTTGGAGTGGAAAAAAAGTCTTCAGAATGTGAAATGACTCTATTCTTCAAGATCATTTATAAATTAATAAAAGCAACATTCTTCCTTAAACAGACACTGGTATGCACAGAAAAACTTTCGCTAATAATAATTATGACCTCAGTTACACGTATTTCTTCGTAAAATGTACCGCTTTTTGCTTTTAATTTGTAAATGTTTTGTTAACAGGTACAATGGCAAGCTGTATTGCACTTCACGATTGTTTATACAAGTTTTAAACTGAAATACTCGGTAAAATTAGAAAAAACTTGTATAAAAGCCGATGTCTATTATTAAAATTCATAAGAAATTATTTAAACATTACCTATGGCACGTTTCAAATTATAAAAATAGAAAAGCCACTCTAATGACACTTCACCACTGGTAGAAGATTATTGACACCACTTAATGTAAATAAAAGGATCATGTTAATGAAAAACCTAGAAACCTAGTGGGAAGCAAAAAACCTAGATCTAGGTTTTTTCTGCTTCGGAGCGCCACAGTGCCTGCGGAGTGCCTGCTGGAGTGCTGGCTCTAAATGCCCAAGGATTTGCTGAAAAACCACCATGCAGCACAGTAATCAATATTTCTTCATAAATCACAATTCAATCGGACATGAATTACAGAACTAAAGAAGGCAACATGGCTTTAGATGTGCCATCGGTGCCTTCTAATGAATGACTGGACTGGTTGCGGCAAGTAGGGTATGAACCTGTATGTCAACAGAACGATCCTGCATGCCAATGTTGGGACTACATTCCTGACATCCTCCCGGCCGGCAAAATCGACACGATCAATACCTAATAACAATATGCATAAATGGACTATACAAATTAGGTCAATATGGCATGATTACAGAGCGTAATTATACTATGTGATCGGTTTTTAGTCTCGTCTTAAAGCTGACATTCTGACCTATCCAACAATCCAACAGTACCAAAACCATTGCTGTACATTGATTTATGTGTTCATGACAGATCGCGAAAGGGTTAGGGATGATGGAGTTCTTTCACATTTAAGATAGGCGGAAATTTGCTGCTGAGTACATAAAGTAGACGGTTTGAAGATGCTGCTCTTTAGTTACCTGACTGCTGTCAGGCGGGATGGTGCTCATGCAGTTGTTCCCACCATCCTTGACTGAATTTCAGCTCCAGTAATGTCTAGGCTAGTATCCTTGCCACCTTGAATGCCTATTTTGAGGCACTCAGGACTTTGTCACACTCTACTGAACATTCACACTTATTGTCACTGCAAACCTATCTCCTCCTAGAGTTTTGAAGCTACAACAATGAGAAATATACCATTCCATTCACAGAAAAAAATCTACAACTGGAGTAGCACGTTTTTCTTATTTCATTATCATTTGGATTTTATTCTGCAAAAAGGGGGTAGGCGGGGGGTAAAATAAAAAAATTTACAATAAATGTCCCCATACCCACAAAAATGAAAAATTAAAAAAACTGGCTACTACAGTTTCAGATATGGTCCTTATGCATCGAAAGATATGTGTCTCAATGTTGCAGCTTAAAAATCCTAGGAGGAGATAGATTTCTACTGTACCCCCTTTTTTGGTCGTTTTCTAAGAATTTCACATTTTCTGTCAATTTTTTTCGAAAAATTTACACGAACACAAAGTCTTGGATTTTTGTTTTACACATTTGTACCAAGTTTCAAAGTGATCCGTCTGTAAATAACCAAGATACAAAAATCATCAGACGCTCCCCTTAAAGTTGTGGGCAAAAATGTGTTATTTTTCTTATTTTTTATGTAATAAAATAGGCTAAGGCCATGAAAGGATTGGAAATTCATACCAAGCATGGGCTCCATGTCTCATTTGTATCTAGAGTCTTGGTAGGATTTCCCAAAAATAGTTGGTAAAAACTATCATTTTAATTATATGAGCAAAATGATAAAAATCAAGCATGGAAAGTGCTGTGTTTTTCCTAAGGAAGTTGGCAGAAGGCATCAAATCAGGGGAAATTGACCAAAAGCATGGGTGCTATTATCTCAGTAATTGGTGGCTTCTGCTTAATTTTCAGATAATTTAATTATTTAATTGAAGTAATTGGTTGCTTAATTTTCAGAGTGGGTCTTATTATTTCCAGGTGGCTTATGGAAAATTCCCATTTATTACTATAATCTTATGGCTCGCGTAAATTCCCGTGCACCAGGGGGCCATACTTTCAAAACTGGCTAAGTGAACGTAAGTACTTATGCTCTATTTTCTTGTCTATGATTGGTGGATTTTGCTCGAAAGGCCGTCAATGATTGGCTGATGAACTTATGATCTCTTAACTTTTTTGAAAGTATAGGCCCAGGCACATTCTCCTGACTATGCCTATAAACTGAGGCAGGCCAGGGTAAGTTCATCAGCCAATCATTGTAAGTCGTAAGTTCATTGGCCAATCATTGACGCCAATGATTGGCCAAATCAAAAGTTCATTGGCCAATCATTCAAGCAAAATCTACCAATTATAGACAAGAAAATAGAGCGTAAGTACTTGAGTTCATTTAGTGAATTTTGAAAGTATGGTGCTAGGAATATATCTACTTTGCAAGCTATGACTAAAGCTTTCTCTCCATTTTTGAGGCTGCAAGATGCCTGCTAGTTGGATTATCTTTGATATAAAAGTTAAAAAACTTGAAAAATCAGGTTGCAAGATTTAAAAATTATTGATTATATGTTGCTATGGAGCTTCAAGATTTCAAAAAATATAAAAGAATTTTCCAATCTTGTATAGGAAACTGCGATGTAATTTAAGGAATTATGATTCCCTCTTGCTCAAGTATGCAATATTTATGCTGCTACATCACTTGCTTTTGTCCAATGTTTTTCCAGTAGAGTTATTTAATGATTTAGTTTCTAATTCATAATAGGGCCCAATGAGTTCTTAATTGTCCAATCAATACAAAGAAGGGTGATGACAAAATGTCTTTAATCATTCCTAATTTTGGGTTAGACACAGTGACTAATGCAGATATAGTGGAGTTAGTACAAATGATAGTATCGACACTATTGTATTAAACACAATTACCGTAGCCATCTTTACATAGATGCAAATAGAGGCAAGCTGTCAAATCAGCGTGGGTTAGTTGGTTACTTTCTGTACTGTGACTAACACAGGGAGCGCTTGAGAAGCTTATATTGACACACAACGATGACGTCACAGAAGGCGATGCAACAATTGCAAGGGCATACCGTAAAATGGGGTTTCTTTGACCGGCGGGGTAACTTTGACCACTTTTTGTTTTTTTAACAAAAACCCCCAAAACTCAAAAACGATTTGACATAGGAAAATTTTGTCAATGGCCATCAAAGGCCAAATACTGAGACTATGTAACACAATAGAAAGATTTAAAAAGTTTGCATATCTAATAGGTTAAAAAATTAATAATGTGACTCATGAAAAAGAGCTATTATTTAAAGCCTGTTGGAGTACCCCTTCCAATTTTTTTATTTTTTTGGTAAAATAACTTCAGGTTTTGATGCATTGTAGTAGAACTCTTCTAGTTACATATGCAAAAGACAAATTAATTGATTTTACCACCCAGTCAAAGAAACCCCAAGAGCTGGGTAACAAAGACCATCACTTTTTTTGAAATTACATCAAAACTATGAGAGGCAGGAGCCAGCAATTTATGGTGAGTAAAGCTAGAGTATAGACCTGTATTTTGCATGTTTCAATTTAAGTTTAACTTATCTAGTAAAATAATATACATTTAAAAATTACTTTTTTAAGACAACACTTCTAAAGAATCCAGTGTTTCCAATGTTACAGATGTACAATAAATTTCTAATTTTATTTTTAAAATATTAAAAAAATTTATTTTTCAATTTTTTAATAAAATATTTTTCACAATTATTTATTCTGTCAATTGATTCATGCATTGCCTCCAACTTCACACAAGTGTGCAAAATTTCATATCAATTGGACAGATAAAATTGTGTCAAATATCAATTATAAGATTTGTAGCTGACAAAATTATTTTTTTTTAATATTGAAAAAAAAAATTATTCTTACAATTTTTTATTTGGCCATTCAATTCATGCATTGTCTCCAACTTTACGCAAGTGTGCAAAATTTCAGATCGATAGGATTAGTAGAAGTGTATTAGTATTAAATTTTGATTACAAGATTTGTAGCAGACAGACAGACAAACAAGAAGTGAAGTTGAAGAGAAGTGTTGTAAAAATGGCATCATTTTGAAAAAAAAGTGGTCAAAGTTATCCCATTTTACAGTATATAGGAAGTGACGGCAGACAACCTGACATTTTGTCCAAAAAGGCTTGCTGTGCTTCAAATGAAAATCAATTTAGAGATTTATACTCTAGGATATTCTGGTGGAGAAAGGAACATTTTTTCTTGTTCCTAAAATCTCATTGCTCCAAACACCAAAATTTTTGTCAAATTTGGAATCTTGAAGCTCAATCATGCAGTTTTATTAACAATTAGGAGATGAGAGAATGAGCATCTAAAGAGTGAGCAGAGAAAGTGAGTATCTATTTATCTTTGATAACACATCAGCATCAAAATGTATGTCTTCAAAAGATCTTGCTGACAAATGTCCCTTCAAATACCTCATCACAGCATGGTAGAGCTTCCTTGCCATCTCAGAAGCCAAGAAGGAAGCTTACCACTAGTTGAATTATCTCTTATCCAAATTGCAAATGTATCTGGAAAATATAATTTAGAAGACCCATGATTTGTAATATGCTTGTCCATCTGTTCTATATATTTTTGTATTCAACATTTTCTCTGCACTTCCAGCCCATTGAATAAATCATTAAAATTTCATAGTATAGCTGGCTTGTTAGGGTCAATAGGGCACATTGACAAAACAAGACAAATTCTGTCTTTGAATTGATCACAATAAGTAGAGTACATGAGGGTCAAAATGAAACTTTTTTGCTTATTTATGTGTGGTCTTTTCTATTCTCTGTCTCATAGTTGATCTCATCATGAAGTTTTTAACAGCCATAATTCAAAATGGCTGCATTTGATTGCACTCTAGTGATGTTGCTTCCAGCTCATTGCTGTTTTGCTTCTGCTGAGCCTGACCGTTATTTTGATGTTACTTGAATTGACTTTAAGGCTTCGTAATAGCAGCACATCTGGCTGCTCTTGTGTGTCCTGCTATTGAATCATAGCTATTTGGCCTTATAGAAGTGTAGTAAAGGAGTAGTTGTTACATGTAGATGCTCTTACCGGAGTCATAGTTATAATATAAATCTGTCAGTTTTTTGTGGTAATTATAGTTCAGAACCTTACAAATCTATTTGCTCTTGCCTGTGACCATCACGACATCTGCAGAGCTGCAGTCTAAGAAGGGGGATGGGTAGAACTTGTCTGGTATGAACTTTGCTTCTTTGCATAAGTGGCCATCACACATAGTTTGCCCTGTGCCTTCTGTGTGTAGGACACAGTAACCGAACTATTACTGCTGCAGTAACATCGCAGTTACTGTTAATATTAAAATCGCAGTAACTGAGCCAATGCCGCTGCAGTAACTGAGCTATTGCCACTACAGTTTTTAAAGCATCACTTTCTTGCTCTACTTTTTTTTGTTTTGTACAAAGGAAGGTAAATACGCTACGTAATGCATTCATGTAATCTATTTAAAGTATTGTGTTCATGGAAAAATGCTGGATGACAGTTTTTTTGTGCGGCCAAGTATGCTTGGCTGGTTATGCTGTAGAAATGCCAGAAAGTTTGTTATTAAGTTGATTATTTTCTACCGGCAGGCATGGCTCGGAGTGACTCGTCAAGTAGTAGCAGTGATAGTGATAGTTCCCCAGATCGCAACAAAGGGGATAAGTTGAACAAATCGGCGAGCAAGAGTGCAGCAGCGACCAAAGCTAGGAGTAGTTCTCGCAGCAGTGAAGGCAGCTCGTCAGATAGCGATACTCGCAAGAAAACTTCATTGGGACGTCGCGATTCTGGTCGCGGCGGTGACGACGTTCGACGCAAAAGTAGGGACAGGACAAGTGCTGAGCGAAGTGGCATCAATCGAAGTCGTCGCGATAGCGCGGACCGAACTACCAGCTCCGACAAACGTCGAAAAAGTAGTGGTGATAGACATAGAAACGACAGCGGCAGCAGACGTGACCGAGCATCGAGAAGAAGCAACAGCCGGGAAGGGCGTAATGCCAGCGGGAGACGAGGTCGCAGCCGAGATGATAGAAGAAGTGGGAGCAGGACCGACACTCGAAGCCGAAACCGAAGCGGTCGTCGGAGCAGAAGCAGAGATCCTCATCGTGGAGGTCAAACAGCTCGCGAAAGATTTGAAGCTGTGGTTGGGTATGCTGACCCACGCTTAGACAGGTGGGGTAGTGCTTCTCGCTTTAGCTCTTGGAACAGATTTTCTCCTCGTCGCAGAAGTCCCGTGAGGCGTCGTGAAAGACGAAGCCGTTCAAGGAGCCGAAGGAGAAGCAGAAGTCCACGAAGTCGACGTCGAAGACGCACCCGAAGCCGTTCACGTGACCGTAAGCGTAGACGTAGCAGCAGTTCCAGTGACAGTAGTGGTAAGAGCAAGAGCCGCTCTCCTGCGGTCAAGACGAAGTCTCCACAGAAAAAAGATGCTGACAAGTCTGTCAAAGATTTAGGTCAGGAAGGGGAAAAAAATAAAGGAGAAGAAACGAAATCGAGTCGTGATGAAAAACAATCTAGCAGTCGGGATGATACGGAAGGAAAAGTTAAGTCTGCTGACAAGAACCGGAACGAACAAGGAGCTAAATCTGAAATTGCCAGTACAGAGAAGAATCAAGAAAAGGAACTCGAAACTACGAGTGATTCTACATCGACCTCTCGTAAGAATGATACAGCGAATGAATTGTCGTCAATTGAAATTCCAGTTGCCGTCTCTTCTACAGAAACTATTTCGAAAGAACACGACAAAAGGACCGAGCCCCTTGAAGAACTGAACAAGGAAGATACCGCCTCAGTCGCTGCTATTAGGGTAGGTGATCTGGAAGTGGAATCGGAAAGCATCGCCAAGAGTCTCACTTCTTCAGCGAACTCGGAAAATGAGTTAAAAGAACCAAATTCAATGAATGAACCTAGTATGGTAATGGCTGAAAATCAGACGAATGTTTCTTCAGGTCAAGGCGAGCCTCGAATTTCTAGTGAGTTACCCGGTGATGAAAACCCAACTCATGAAGACAAACAACGTTCATGTGGTCTAGCATTAAACTCGCCCAGGGAAGAGACCAGCCGCATGAAGTTGTCCGATGTTGATTCTCGTCGTAAAAGGCAGAGCTCTTCTTCAATTGATGAGAACTCATCTCCAGTAGAGGAGGCGTCTAGTCTTACTTCGGATTCTCGTTTGAAAAAATCTGAAATGAAGGGAAATGGCACTGACTATCCTGTTCCAAAGCGACGGCGCAGTCGGTCACCCTCTTGTGAAAAACAAAAATTCTCAGATGACCAAAAGTTCCAGGAAGACGCTAATGTTGAGATTCGTGCCAAACGTGAAATTCATAAATCTCGAGGTACAACCAAGTCTTCAGCGAATTCAGTTTCTGACAAGAACGAAAGAAAACACGAAGACCCAGTGACTCCTGTACAATCACAAAGGCAAACTTCTTTTGGTAAAATTGATGATCACCGTGGAGTAAGCAAACAAACGGACATGGAACGAGTTTTGTCTGACAGAGAAAATGCCCATGAAGATACTCGTCCTGCGATACGGGATACAGTCAAGTCTCGTGACAGACATTCCCCGCGCCAGCGTTTCACGCCCGAACACGTTTCGGAAAAGGAGCCCGCTGAGATAGATGACGCTGAAAATTTTTCGACAGAGCGCCGGTTGCAAGATAGTAAGAAAAGAAATGATTCTTCCAGCAGTGAATCGGATGAGGATGAAAAGAAAAAGAAGGCCAAGAAACGTCCGACCAAGAAAAGGGTAAAAAGAGGTAGCTCCAGTGATGAATCGGACGGGTCGGATTCTGAATCGAGCGATGAAAACATTAAGAAGAAAGCTTCGAAAGCTAAACCCCAGAGTAGGAAAATCAAGAAGAAACGTAAGGAAAAGAAAGACTTGGCAAAAGATTCTGCGGAAAGCTTTGATTCTGACGAGTCATCCCCAGGGAAGAACAAAAGCAAGAAAAAATTGAAGAAATGTAAGAAAAAGATGAGCAAGCAGTCGAGTGACGATTCAGAGGGGGGCTCCGATACCGAAAATTCGTCTTCTGAGAAAAAAACTAGCAAGAAAGCTAGTAAGAAGAGCACTGGAGGGAGAAACAGTAAGCAATCTAGCGACGAGTCTGGAGTTGGAAGCAAAAAGAAAAACCCGAAGAAGAGCAAGTCAAAAAAGTCTTCAGATTTGAAGAAAAGGCACCGCAAAAGCGGACAGGTGGAGTGCGAAGAAAGGGTTATGTCAGACAGCGGAGAAGAGACAGAACTTCTGCGCAGAAAGAAGCAAATTGAAGAGCAGCTTAGGCGTGAGATGGAACTAAAAGAAAGAGACGACAAGAGAAAAGTTGAAGAAAAGCTCTCAGAAGTTCGCGAATTTGAGAGGAGAAATCCGGACGTGAAGGAACGCGAGACCAGATATCGGCCAGAGCGTATCGACCGCAGTGATGAAGTGATCGGCGAGAGATATTGGGGCGGGAAAAACTTAGAAGCAGAGAAACAGTCCAAAAGTAGCGACACCTATTGGAATAAATATGCTAATGAGTTGGGGATCGAAATTGAGGAACCGAAACGGCGAGGCGATCGTCGCGTCGTCAGAGACCGCAGCGCTGACCGAGTCGTCAGAGACCGAAGCGCTGACCGCGTCATCAGAGATCGCAGCGCTGACCGCGACACGAGAGATGACAAGGAACCAGCACCCAAGCGATCCAGACCCGATGAGTCTGCCAAGAATGACAAGACAGCTGCTCCAGCCATCAAAAAGCCAGTAGTTGACCCCTTGCAGACCCGAACTGGCGGTGCTTATATTCCTCCAGCCAAGTTACGCATGATGCAGGCAGAAATTACTGACAAGTCGTCGGCCGCATTCCAAAGGCTGGCGTGGGAAGCTCTCAAAAAGTCCATCAATGGTCTCGTCAATAAAGTGAACGTTTCTAACATTGGAGTCATCGTTCGTGAATTGCTCAAGGAAAACGTGGTTCGTGGACGCGGTATTTTGTGTCGGTCTCTCATGCAAGCTCAATCATTTTCTTTAACGTTCACGCATGTCTACGCTGCCCTTGTCGCAGTCCTCAACAGCAAGTTCCCGCAAATAGGCTTGTTGCTGCTCAACAGGCTTATCATTCAGTTCCGTCGGGGCGTCAAACGCAATGACAAAAGCATCTGCCTCTCTTCCAGCCGTTTCATTGCCCATCTAATGAACCAGCAGGTGGCGCATGAAGTCGTTGCTCTTGAAATATTGACTTTTCTGCTGGAAAAAGTTCAGGACGCAACTGATGACTCAGAACTCGGAGATAAATCTCGGAACAGCTGCGCGGAGCTAGCCGCGGCGTTTCTTAGAGAGTGCGGACAGAAGCTTCAGGAACTCAGTCCGCGATGCATGGTTCGGATCTTTGAAAGTTTGAAAAACATTATCAACGAAGGCAAACTTGAAGAGAGAGTCAAGTATATGTTTGAAGCTATCTGGACTGAAGGAAGGAATGGCTTTAAGGACAATCCTGCCGTTCTAGAAGAGCTTGATTTGGTGGAAGAAGATGATCAGATTACACACGTAGCCGAGTTGGATGGCAAGTTAGATAGCGAAGACATTCTCAATGTATTCAAGCACGATCCCGAATTTGAGGTCAATGAAGAGAAGTACAAGGAAATTCGAGCTAGTCTTTTGGGCGAGTCCAGCGACGGGGAAGACGGTGAGGATGGCAGTGGGTCTTCTGGGTCGGATAGTGACGATGAAGAAGAAGATGAAGACAAAGAAAAAGCTGGTCAAGATATTTTGGACCAAACTGAGAGCAATATGCTGGCCTTCAGACGCACTATCTACCTCACTCTAAGGTCATCTCTGACAGTCGACGAAGCTACGCACAAAATTCTCAAAGGGAATATCAAACCTGGATGGGAGATGGAGCTTGGTAACATGATTCTGGATTGCTGTGCTCAAGAGCGCACGTTTATGAAGTTTTTTGCTCTCATAGCCCAGCGTTTCTGTGGCATCAACCGCGTGTATCGGGACTGTTTTCAGGAGATATTCAAGACCGCCTACGAGACTTGCCACAGACTTGACACTGACAAGATGCGCAATGTTGTGCGGTTGTTCGCTCATCTCTTTGTGACGGACGCCATCTCATGGGAGGTTTTCAGCATAGTTCTGCTCAACGAAGACAACACCACCAGCTCATCCAGAGTCTTCCTCAAAATCCTCTTTCAAGTAAGTCTCTCGGTTCTTAGCCTTCCATTCAAATACGAATGTGAATTATGCGTCCCCGATCACTGCCAGAACTCAACTCAACTCAACTCACGTGCTCAATCAGCCATAAAAATTAAAAAGAAAGTCAGCACGTGTGTGGATTTGATATTTTGAAGTAACCGGTAAATTTGTGATATAAAATCTCTTAGTTTCTTGTGAGTAATTATAACCTCAGGTAATTCCTTATTAACTTGACTGGCTACTAAGTGGCTAGGCTATCCATCTGCTATCAGAGTAAATGAGTAGGACCTAATCAGACCAGCACAGCTGGGTGAGCTGGAAAGTCTTATTTTTAGGTGTGTTCATAAAAAGTTTTTTTCCTCTGATCTTATTGAAAATTATCATTTAAATTATAAATATGAGTCATAATGAGTGTAATATGAGTAAAAATGAAAAAGATATGAATTTTTTTCCTTTATTCAATCTGTCTCCAAAATGGACCATTTTCTGCCACTTTTTTGGAAAAAATGTCATCTAGGTTTTCTTTGAGCTAATTTAAAAGTTTTTAGTAAAATAGTAGGGTAAACGCGGTATATTCCGACACTTTAAGGACGCATCGAAAAATGAAAAACTATAAAAAAAAAAACGTATGCGTTACGTAAGTTCTGTTGCCTTCACATGACTTCTAGTGGTTTTGCAGTATTTCGACACGCAAATGTATGACGTCACCATTTCAACCATCAATGAACGCATGGAACTAAAACAAAGCTTAATATAAAGGAAAAACTAGAGAAGTGACGGAATTACCTACGATGTCGGAATATACCGCGTTTACCCTACTACTACCTACCTACTACCATTAGAAAATAGAAAGCTCATGTTGTAGGCTAGGCCTATCCATTCTAGCCTTTTCTAGGCTAACTGAAATAAAACATTTTGGTAGAGACTTTGACTGCAGCAAGAAAGGAAAACATCTCAGTCCGACTCAGTGATCTCACTTTAGGGCCGCAACTAGAGCTTTCCTACTATTTCCGGACACCACTGTGCAGAGAGTGAACGAAGATTTAAAGACCTACGGCGACGCATTATCGGCAAAACTTTTGCCTTCAGAAGATCTTGCCAACACATTTAGATTGAAATTCTTGCATTTAATATATTTCTCAGTCTTTAGCCAACTATTTAGAAAAAAAGTTAGGTTTCCGGTACGTTGGATGGATTACGATGCAGCGAAGCTTGCCCGGAAATCAGTTGCGATGAGTTCCCGCAATAAATGTAAACAACATTTTTTTGATTGCGTAGTTTTGGTCGCATTAGAGCGGTCAAACTGCTTTATTACTTGTTCAGTTGACACTTGCTGTACAACCGGACTGTTTTTAGGGTAAAATTAGTTATTTGGGGTAACACGTGCATGCAACCTTGTAATAAGTTCGTGGCTTGTAAATAGTTCGTCATTACTCAGCGTAAATGGCTTTTCATTAAAAATTACCCGGCGGCCGGCGACGCATCTTTAAAATGGCCGGCGATGCTTTGGGCTTAAAAATCCATATATTGCCGACGCTGCATCCACCCTCTGCATAGTGGTCTGGACATAGTGGCAAACCAGAGCCTCTTTAGAATCAGTTCATTTTTAATTTTCTCATTTACTCAAGAATCAAGATTTAAACCAATTTCTTATGTATGATAATGCTGGTATCCAGGATACTTAATTGGTCTACTTATAGGATTAGGACTCAAAAATGAACTTGAGGGAGAATCTAAAAAACTGTCCGTTTTGCCACTATGTAAATTCCGGAACCTCAAGATTCCTGCTAGATGAATTACCTCCTATGTAATTGTTTACAAAAGTAAATGATTGGGCCATGAGTTTCCAAAAATATTAAAATTTTGTCACGCCAGAGCCGCGACTAGCCCACGAGATTTCAGAAACAAGTAGGAAAATTCCAATCCTGGATTGCAGGAGGAGGAGGCAAAGGAGGGTGGGAAAAGTGGGTGACTGATTGGTTTGAATGGTAGGGTAAATGCAGCATAGGGTAAAGTTGGTAAACACACCATATTCTGACACATTAAGGACGTACCAAGAAATGAATGGCTATAAAAAGATCACCGTATGTGTAACTCAAGTTCTGATTGCTTTAAGTTACTATCAAAAAGCCACACTACGCACTAGCAATGATGAAACATCACAAACTGTTGCCATATTTATTTAAAAGCCTTTAGAATTCAAATCTAAAAAATCCCTGAATTCTGATGCTGTGTGTGACTAAATTTGTCATACTGTGAGACTAATTCCAACACCAACAGCGCTTCAAAGTTAAAACTCTTACTAATTCCAATGCCCTGTGTTGGACTTATAGCGGCAAAGCAGAGAGTTTTTAGACTCTCCCTCAAGTTCATTTTTGAGTCGTATAAGTAGACAAGTAACATATCCTGGATACCAGCATTATTATACATAAGAAATTGGTATAAATCTGAAGTAAATGAGGAAATTAAAAATGGACTGATTCTGAAAAATCTGTGCTTTGTCACTATGGTTGGACTTCCTATGCCCTGTGTGGCTGTGTGAGCTGTATTGGAATACGACACAGCTCGGAATGAGCTTGATTAAAAAATTTTAATTTTTGTATTAATCTTTTAATGAAGAGCTATTAAGCTTTTAATTAAGAAAATTTTAATTTTTGAACAAAGCTTGGAATGAGCTGTGTGTGTCCAATTCCAAGCTGTGTCGGAATTAGTTGTTATGTGTCTAAGATCGTCTTTTAACTTAATCATCTATTAATTTATTTACCACTTAAAATCAGCAAATACAAGTAAACTTGAAGGATTCCTAATATATTCACAGACTTATTTAAAAATCTCAAACCATAATATTCTTTCTACACAAACAGTTTATCACTATTTGGTAGAGCAAGGTCAACTATCAACTTTGACACGTGTTTCGATGTTCTCACTAGTTGACTTGGACTTTTGCTCTGAGGATCTTAACATTTTCCCGCCAGACCTAGTGTTTTGCGGGAATCTGGCGCGCAATAGTATGACGTCACTATTTCAACCATCTACTCATGCGTGGAACTAAGTCAAAGCTTAATATAAAGAAAAAGTTGAGATGTGTCTGAATTACCCACGATGTTGGTATATGGTGCTTTCACCCTATTTCAACATTGTGGGTAATTCCTATACTTCTCAACTTTTCCCTTTATATTAAGTCCTTTATATTAAGTCTTGGTTCCACGCATGCTGTGGCATGCATAGATGGTTGAAATAGTGACGTCATACTATTGTGCGCCAGATTTCTGCAAAACGCTAGGTCTGGCGAGAAAATGTTAAGTTCCTCAGAGCAAAAGCCCACGTCACCCAGTGAGAACATCGAAAAACGTGTCAAAGTTGATAGTTGACCTTGCTCTACCAAATAGTGATAAACTGTGTAGAAAGAATATTATTGTTTGAGACTTTTAAATAAGTCTGTGAGTATATTAGGAATCCTTTAAGGATACTTGTATTTGCTGATTTTAAGTGGTAAATAAATTAATAGATGATTAAGTTAAAAGATGGTTTTAGACACATAAGAACTAATTCCAATATAGATCGGAATTAGATACACACAGCTCGTTCCGAGCTTTGTCGTATTCCGATACAGCTCACGCAGGGTGTCAGAATTTAAACACGGGGCGTCTGAATTATGAATTACGGTTTTGAAGCGCTCTGTCTGTAAATCTACGGACATGACACAGCACATTTCAGTGACGTCAGAATTAGTCTCACAATATGCCAAATTTAGTCGAACACAGCGTCAGGATTCAGCAATTTTGTAGGTTTGAATTCTAAAGGCTTTTAAATAAATATGACAACAGTTTGTGACATTTCATCATTGCTGGCACATAGTGTGGTGTTTTGAGTTACGTAAAGCAATCGAAACTAAAGTTGCTCATTCGGTGATCTTTTTACAGCCATTCATTTCTTGCTACATCCTTAAAGTGTCAGAATATGGTGTGTTTACCCTACAAGTTAACCAAAAGAAAGAAGTGAACAGAATAAAGTCCATTTTGATAAATAAATGATAAAGTATTGAAAAATTAAATAAATGACAAATGCATATATGATGAATAAATGATATGATAGGTAATGATGGAAAATTATGAGAAAATTGGTAAAACAATAGGATAATGATCTGAAAATGCTGGAAAAATAATATGAAAATAATGTTAGGTGATGGGAAAATTATGGGTAAATGATGGGTATAATGTTAAGAAAATGTTGAAATAATAATGGGAAAATGACAGGAAAGTGATTAGGAAATGATGAAAAAATGATGGGGAAGTTATGGGAAAATGATGGGGAAACAATGATAAAAGTGAACTGAAAATAAACTGCAGTACTACCATGCATTTCCAGAATGGTAGAAATCACTCTTGGAATAGCTGCCAAGCTCTGAAATTTTGAGAGCTTGCTCTAAAAACTGTAATCTTAATTTTAAATTATCTCTTATTAATTTTAAAATGTCAAGGTTTATTGTCAGCACTAATGTTTTCTCTTACACATCCCAGCTAACCTGAGCTAAGCAAGTAATTGATAGATACTTCTCAAAAAGCAAGATGGTGTTTTCTTAGTCAAAGTTTTTTTAGTTCGTTTCCAAACACAGGCCAATCAAATTAAGCTAACATTTGGACAGGACATTCAAAATTAAATACCTTTTCCAAACACAGGCCAATCAAATTAAGCTAACATTTGGGCAGGACTTTCAAAATTAAATACCTTAGTCACGCTGATGCAGAAAGTGGCTGTTCACCATTTTGCCAGCATTGTTTACATTTGAGCATCGTTTGTGCACATACCTACTATTTTTTCTGAAATATCTTGGCTCTAATATCAAACAATTTTAGTAGGTATGAAATCTTGCGATTTGAATGTCATAAATTTTTGTTGATTGTAAAAATTGTTCATAAAATTTTTAACTGCCGCATTACTTTACTCTTCCCGCCAAAATATCCTGCAGAACGTAATCACCATAATGATAACAAGTCAACCTAAAGATGCACATCGAAGATTGCGCATAGTTGCTGTCATGTCAGAGTGGTCAGACTGCATTAACATGTGTTCAGCTTACAGTAAAGATAAATGTTATTGTTGTTGTTTGACTTTTTTAGCGTAAAATTAGAGATTTGGGGGAACACATGCATGGTCTTAGTAAATAAATTTGCGCCTTGTAAATGGCTTTTCATGGCCGAGATATTGAATTCACAGCCTGAAAAAATGGGATCACGGCTCAAAGAAATGGCATCAAGGCTGGCAAATCCATAAAACCATGGCTCCAAAAATTCAATCATGGCTCGCCAAGTAGATGTATTCCATGCCTGATTTTCTAGGCATATCGAAACACAAGTTGATAAATCCAATAAACTACTTGGGCTGATCAGAGGCTCCTACAAGTACCTAGATATAGAGTACCTAGATATAGAAGCAACAAAGCTGTTGTTTATCTCTATCATGCACCCAAACCTAGAGTTTAGAAACACCATGGGGTCACCAAAACTTGAAAAGGGCAAAAATTTAATAGAGAATGTTCAAAGATGTGCAACAAGAATAATTCCAGGCTACAGGCTTGAGGGGCAAATCTCATGCAGAAAAATTAAAGATTATGAAGCATCTGAGTCTCTGTTATTGATATCTGAATGGCGACCTCATTGAAGTATACAAGAAAACTCATAGTTTATACAAGTTCCCAAGATTACTAGAATTTGAAGCAAGAACCAACACCAGGGGTCACAGCTATAAACTAAAAAAGCTAATTCATAAACTAAAAAATTATAATTATAAACTAAAAAAGCAATTAATTCATGCGACAACACTTTTTCTTGCTTCAAGTCATCAACGTTGTGAACAGCCTCTCTGATGATATTGTTGAGGCTACAAGTGTGAATACTTTCAAGAACAGACTAAACAAGGCTAGGCAGGAGCATATTTTCAGTCTTCAAATGCCTATTAACCTACAGAAAAATTGAAAATCCAGACGTGATGTCTGTTGAAAAGATCTGGTCAAAAGCCCAGTTTTTAGATGTGTGAGCTGTGAACTAGCCACAAAAAATACAAGAATTGGCAACAGGCATATCAACACCAAAGACACTATACTATACTAAGTATAAAAATAGAAGTGACATACAGCGTATGATGGATTCTTCTAGGGTTTCAAACTTGCCTCAAAATCAATCTTATTCTTCCAAGGTAGGCATAGGAATTATTTTAATTTGTCATAAAGATCATTACTCATTTTGGGAAATTTGTGGAATGATGTTAATCAAAATTTTGACTTTGATTTCATCGCTCAGTAATCTTGCTGGCGGACTTAATTTAACATTTTTTATTATTCCTATAAGATTATAGTTTGTTTCAGTATGTTCTTAGATCTTAACTACCACTATCTAGTAGCAGAGTCTGGAATTTAGGCAGCAATTTTCTAAAATCTATGCCAGATCTCTATCTCTAATTTCTTGAGGGCAAGTACCTTAATCAAGATAGATTAGTCAAAATTTGTTTATTGGTTTTATAATGATCCTTAATCCTTCCTGATAGGTATTTTTAGCGCATTCTCTCATTTATGGAAAAAATGCACTATTGTGCTTGCCATGTCCGTCTGTCTGTCTGTCTGTCCGTCCGTCTGTCCATCCGTGACCTCAAGTTTTCGTCGATGAGAAAATGCGCTCTCTGTCACTCACTGCAGTGAGTACCGAGTTATATTTTTTTATTTATAGTGAGTGGGACTAATTTCTATTCATTCATAGTAAACTGGCCTTAGATCCTAAGTTGATTTCACTAAAATGACATTGTGCATTCATTGTACTTTTGAATATTTCTCATTGGCCTATTTCTCCTCATCAGGGATTTTAGTTTAGCAGTTATGGTGCCAGTAATGTCAACTGGTGACATGTTAGATGAATCCAACTCTGCAATTTTGGATCCTATAGTGAGTATAGTATGATGATTGGGTAATGGATATTTTTGATGATCAATAAAATGTTTAATTGGGTAGGTGAATTTATCATGGAATTGTGCCAGCAATTTAAATTTTTCTGTGGGTCACATGTTTTCATATTGTTTTAATATTGGAAATTTTTAAAATTGATAATGAATATAAACAGATGCCCATATTCTTGTGTCAATATTAAAATTTATATCATTCATTCATCTCATTTCTATGATTCATTCATTTATATTGATTAGAAATTTTCTATGCATCAATATTATAGTAAAAAAGCTTATAAAGTTCTATTGATTTCTGAGAAAACACTGGTTTAAAATTTTATTATAATTGAGCTTCAAATTTGTCTTGAAAAGTTTGGCACTTTCAGAATTTTTAACTTGTATGCAATTAATAAAATGTGGTTAATATGTTTGGTAACATTGTCTCAAATTTTGCGTTTTTTACAGTCCAGCGTAACGGAAGGATGCCGTTTGCCAGTCCTTATGATGTCCAGCCAAGAGTGGCGTTAGTATTCACTAGTTTTTAGATGACCTATTTTTTTTCTTTATTTCTCTGAAGAAAATATTGGATTTACTGTTGAATCAACTTATTGGACTCTTGTTGTATAATTGCCTGTAGAAACTTTATCATAATATTTTCATGGAAAATGGAAAACTGTTATTTTGAATAATTATATATGTTGTTTATATGAAAAATAACAGTAAGATTGTTGATTGATGTGTTGAATCATTTCAAATGTTGATCCTTTATCTCTTTTCTAAGGATAAATCAAGCATTTAAATCATAAGATATTGATTTATTAATCATATATCAGTCCAGGGTGAAGGCTTACAGATATTTTAACTTCTCTTCTACAGCTCTGGCTGAGGTGATAAGCATTGCTGAGAAGGATCATCAGAAAATGTTCTACATTCACTATATTGACTGTAAGCTGATTTGTACCTTCTCATTTATAGATGTAATTTCAAAATTTTTAATGAGATACTGTATGTACAGAAATACTTTAGTTACTGTGATAGTGTAAAAATGCATGTTTATTATTCATTTCATAAAACACTCGTCATTAATTCTGTTCATGTAGCATTTGTTAAAATGCATTGACAATTTTTCAGTTGGTTGTCATTTTGATCAGTAATAACTCTTCTATTTAGGTTCTTCCACATGTTATAAAAAATGTTTATGCCCTTTTATCAAACTAATTTGTGCAAGTATTTCATGTTTCGACAGCATTTCCAAATGAATGTCTATGTGAGGAATTTAAAAGCAAAGAAATTTGCGAATTTTCAAGGCAAACTTGCGATTTAAGCAATCTAGTAATTTTAATACTAATGTCTATGTGATTCTCACATGCAGATAACAAGCGACTTGATGAGTGGGTGGATGAGTCAAGGCTGGACCTCCGCAAAATCCAGTACCCAAGGAGGGACCTTGGTGCTCCCTCCAACACTGGAGGCTTCAACACTCCCAAGAAGCTGCAGGTGTCTTCAGGAGGCACGGTCTCCCGCCCTGCCTCACCTGGCATCCCTGCTCCTCATGTGGGTACCACACTTCACCCTCACCAAAACAATAACAACGATAAAAGCAACAACAATTACAACAACCAAGATATTTTTCAGGGCGGGTATGATGAAACTCGGGTGGCTGCTGATGATGTCGATTCCCAAGTGGGTAAAAATGAATGTGACTTGTGTCCTGGAGTGTGTGTGTCTTGTATATAAGTTTTATGGGCTCCATTCTAATTTTTTTCTAAAGCAAACCTACTACTACTACTAATCAACATGATTTTCACATGAAAATCCCTAATTTTTAATTATTGTATTGTTCATGCTCATGTCCTCCCTTCTGATTGTGGACGTTTACATGTCTTTAGTTTTTTTATTACATTTATTATTCCCCTTTGTGTGCCTTTATTTTGCTTGTTTTTGTATGCTTATTAATTCTAATCATTATGATTTACTTAAATCTTCTCTGAGTTTGCTTAAAAGTATGTGAAAACTTGTTAACAAGGAATGCATTAATTTGCTTCTGTTTAAAGCCCACGCACAAATTTTTTATAGTTTCTATTTTGCTTTTAAGTTGGTATATTTTTCTTATTTACCTACTCTAAATTTGGTACCAAGTTGTTGAGTATGCCACTTTCTACAGGATCCTATCACCGGCCCTTCAGTGCTAGCGGCCCTGCAGCTCAAGCAGCAGAAATACAAGAAGAGAAAAATTGAATCACTCGAGGTACCTATATACTTTATTGATGCTGTATTATGATCGTACTTATGATTTAGCATGAAAATTGGAATATCTTTGAATGAACAAGAAGTTAAAAGCAAAGGAAATGCCCCAAAGGTTCAGCATACCTTCAAATAAAATGTTGTGAAGTTTCAATTTCTATATGAAATGGCTAATTTTATAGCATTTTTTTGCGTTCAAAGTCGTCAAATGAATGCTGTTGATTTACTTATTCTAAAATATAATATCTCCAACTAACACTATTAAGTTTTGTGTAGGTCCGCGTGCCCATATTCCCTGTGATATCGAAACTGAGTATCAACTGCTTCTTGATATCATCTAACTGTCAGAGATTGGACTGTATTTAGTAACCTGAAGTGACATCGACTCTTAATTCCAAAGCAAGGAAAAAATTATTGTATTGACTGAATTGTCATATATTAAACTTATGGTGTCAATTACTGTTTGCTGTTTTTTTTATCATCGCATAGTTTAAACAAATGGTAAAGTTTAATCATGGAACATTAAACAAAGAAATAGTGTGTAATGTAATCTTCATTCATTATTACCTGGCCTTTTTAGCGCATTTTCTCTTTATGAAAAAAATGCACTATTGTGCTGGCCATGTCCGTCTGTCTGTCTGTCCGTCCGTGACTTCACGTTTTCGTTGATTTTAAGAAGCGGGCATGCCTATATCAAAGATACGACATCTCTAGCTCTATTGCACTGTACTAATCGCAATTAAAACTGATTTATGCACGAGAAAATGCGCTTTCTGGCACTCACTGCCGTGAGTACTGAGTTATATTTTTTTGACCAGACGCCAGTCACAGTTCAGGAGGAAGCTCCCACTCGACGCAGCAGTTTGTCGGACCTGGAGGTGAGCATCAGCGGCATCGATGCTCCTCCGCTGCCCTCCACTGCCTCGTCTGGCACTCCTGCTGGTTGGTTGTTATGGCTTCATTATTGAGATTTGATTTAGTTGTTGCTTCTCATAGACCATTCTTCTAGTTATTATATCATTGACTATATTTTGAGGCTAATCAAGTTTATTAATTATTATTAAAAAATATTAAATAAAAGTTATATGCTATTATCATACAATATACCACATAGTAATATTAGTAATATTTATAATATTTTGTAAAATATATTGCATGAAAAGTAATATTACAATATATTGTATTACAATTTTATAATGATAATAATGTATAATAATTTTTCGATAATTATTTCAATTGTATTGAGAATCTTCCACACTAAGCACAACCAACACCGATCCTAAATTGTTATATTTAATATGTATCTATTACTTCACTGCATCTATTTCATCATAATCACAATTGTTCTCCATATAATTGCTCTATTTATGCACAGTAGGTAACCACTGCACTGGAGCCACAAACCACGCCCCTCGCCAGACGGGCTCACTAGCCGCCCACACTGAAGACCACGCCATCACTCGCATCAAGAACATCCGCATGATCGAACTTGGCCAATACCGCATCAAGCCTTGGTACTTCTCGCCTTATCCTGAGGTGCAGGTCTACTCTAACAATACACATCATTAACTGTATTGATATGGTATTTTACTTGGGTTTTGTGAAATACACATCATTAACTGTTTTGATATATTTTACTTACTGTGATATTTTATCAATGGTTTAGCTTAATTTCAGGGGTCTTGGGAAGCTTGTTAGTGAAAGGACAATCTTTGTCGAAAAATTTTAATATGAAGCTGGGTTTTAGTCTCGACATATACAGTGGAGGCAAAAAGTATCCGACACAAAGGAAAAACTTCATTATTTTGAACCTTAACTTTTAAATATTGCAATGATCAAGTCAAAATTTAATGATATTGTTGGTTTGATATGATATATGTATTTCCCACGTAATTTTACATTAGAATAGTTTTGTTTATGTTATTTTGTTGGATGAGCTTTAATTAAATAAAGTTTTTCCTTTGTGTGGGCTACTTTTTGCACCCACTGTATTTCTAATTCATGTGTCTAATTCATGTTTGTATACACACGGGGAGTGTGTATACAAAATTTACTCTTAATGTTGCATTTTATACTGTACAGGAAATCACGGAATTGGACTGCGTTTACCTCTGTGAATACTGCCTCAAGTTTCGCAAGAGTTTCAAGTGTCTGCAGAGGCATCTGGTCAGTGAATCTGTCGTACCTGAAATACGTTTACTTTTAATACTTCTGCCGCAAATGCGTCTAGATACTCGCCTTGCCTGTGCCATTCTATAATTTTTATTAAGCCAATTCTGTTATTTGGCGGGAATGATTGTATATATGAGAAATTTCATGCCATCCTCGCTTTAGAGGTAAGACTATTTTTTAAAATCAGACAAGGTTCTATTGTAATGCCTTATCTAGTGAGCTTTCTATTCTACCTCAACTTCAAGTTTATGATTCATTGATGTCAATTTTTTTTGCAGCAAAAATGCCCATACCGACACCCTCCTGGGAATGAAATCTACCGGAAAGGAACTATCTCTTTTTTTGAGCTGGATGGCCGCAAGAACAAACTATATTCCCAGAACTTGTGCCTTCTTGCAAAGCTTTTTCTAGATCACAAGACACTGTATTACGATACTGATCCTTTTCTATTCTACGTCATGACCGAGTGTGATAACAGAGGCTACCACATCGTTGGATACTTCTCTAAAGTCAGTTAAATTTAATAGATACTAATTGATACTAGTTACTATATAATTGTACTAGTTAAAAACTGATTAAAACGTGAATTTTTGTGGCCCATGAAATACTTGATCATATTTAATTTGTTTACATATTATGCCTCAAGTTTCTTAGACATATTCTCACATATCTCGGAACAAAGGATAAACTTGTTACCTGCATGGAAATTGCTCCTATAAATGAATTTGCTGATTATGTTTTGATGCAATGCATGGCCCGTGTTTCTAAATATGCGTGTTATTAAAATTCCCATAGGAGAAAGAATCCTCTGAAGATTATAACGTGGCTTGTATTTTAACTCTGCCTCCATACCAGAGGAAAGGCTACGGTAAACTTCTCATCGAATTCAGTAAGGAGCCTTCGATATTTATTTAATGTTTTACATTTTGCTCAAATTCATAGCTGGTGAAATTTTTACCTAACTTTCTTTATATCCCTGGATCTAAATATTTGCATTCAGTTTTTTGCCATTTTTGTAAGCTAAAATGCTAAGTTTGGAGATTCCAGCAAGTTAAAAAATGTCTGAAGATGTTCATCAAACGGAACTTTACTGAAATTGTGTTTTCGGCTATCTCAATTTATTGGGAATGCATTTTTTTAAATGTATCATTTCCTGTCCTGAATTAACCTAGACGTGATATTAAATGCTTTTAAGGGCGGTGACTTACAATTATTTTGTGTCATTGAGTTCAGATAATTTACAATGCTTAACTTTGTCACCCAGGCTACGTTTTATCCAAACATGAAGGCAAGACGGGAAGCCCGGAGAAGCCACTGTCAGACCTCGGCCTGTTGTCGTACAGGTCTTATTGGAAGCACACCATTCTCGACATCCTCATCAACGCCAAGACCTTGGACGGCCAGGAGAAGCCTTTGATCACCATCAAGTGAGCCTTCATTATGCTAAATTAAACCTTACGAAAAGGTTTTGATGATCATCAAGTAAGCCTTCATTAAGCTAAATTAAACCTTAGGAAAAACCCTTGGTCACCATCAAGTGAGCCTTCATTGAGCTAAATTAAACCTTACGAAAAGCCCTTGATCACCATCTAGTGAGCCTTCATTGAGCTAAATTAAACCTTACGAAAAGCCCTTGATCACCATCAAGTGAGCCTTCATTGAGCTAAATTAAACCTTACGAAAAAGCCCTTGATCACCATCAAGTGAGCCTTCATTATACTAAATTAAACCTTAGAGAAAGCCCTTGATCACCATCAAGTGAGCCTTTATTATGCTAAATTAAACCTTAGGGAAAGCCCTTTATCACCATCAAGTGAGCCTTCATTGAGCTAAGTTAAACCTTGGGAAAAGGTTTTAATGATCGTCACTTGGCCGTATTTTAGGCCATCTGGCAGCACTGAATTATGTACCACTTCGTCCTGGAGAAATACATTTCGTAGTACTCATATGTATCACTTCAACGTGTTAATGTCATTGTTACTGTTACCCTTTACTTTATATGTCCTCAATATTTATATTCTTTGTCAACTTTTGTAGAGTAAATTGGAAATCCTTACCACTTGTCGGTAATGGTAAGCCTAGTCGGTAGTTTACCAACAATGGCAAATTACCAATGCTGTCGGTAATAATTTTTATTTCTAAGAAACTAACGAAGTTGTTAATTCGTAGCGAGATCTGCGACCAAACGAAGATTAAGAAGGAGGACGTAATATCCACGCTGACGACCATGGAGCTCATGAACTACTACAGAGGCCAATACATCCTGACGCTGCCCCGGGACCTCGTCGATGCTCACAACAAGGCAGTAGCGGAGCGCAAGGTGCCCAAGATTGACGACACATGTCTGCACTGGAAGGCAAAGGACTGGGCCAAGAGAGGGAAATGGTGATAGTGGGCCCCAAATGATGGCGGTTTAGAAGTAAGATAATATTCTTGGATTTGGGCATCCAAAAATATGAGCAGTAGCGGAACGTTAAGTGCCCAAGATTGACGACACATGCCTGCACTGGAAGGCAAAGGACTGGGCCAAGAGAGGGAAATGGTGATAGTGGGTTCCAAACGATGGGGGTTTAGAAGTAAAATGATACTCTTGGGTTTGCGCATCCAATAATATGATGGTAAGGTTCAGAATTATAGTGCGTAGATTATGATATCAAAAGATAGTAAAATAGTAATCGGTACAGTGAGTATACCTCACATGACGAAGCTTTTTAAATAAAAGTCATGTGTACGGGATTTTTGACTGTGAAATTGATTTGTAAAAGGTAAAGGGAGGGCTTTTTAGAGAAATGCTATTAAGGTTGTTCTATAGTATACTGATGTGTGAGTGGCAGAAGATGATGATGAGACCCGAAGTGAAACTTTGTTGGATGCTCGGTAATAATGGCGAGATGCTTAGAGAAGAAAAAACCTACTTTAGGTAAGGTTTAGGAGAACAAGTTTGTTACTGAGCCAGAAAGAAGCATGAAATGCCATTCTCACCGCAGCTCATCTGTGTTTCGGAGGCAATGTATTTTCAGGAAGAGCTGATTGAGAAAGAAAGAACGAGTGTAATTTTAAAGCTGTTTGGGAATGCTAAAGAGACTTTACGAACTTAACAAACGTTTCATGAATTTTCAAGCGTAAAATTATCTATACTTTGCATACGAGCGTTGCTTTCGTTAGTAAATTGTAGGCCTACCTTTTGAGAATTTGAAAAAAAAATTAGAATATCTTGTGTACTAAATTTATAGACGTACGTTAAGATATTTCGTCGATCGAGTCGGTCAACAACACTAGTACTATTTTTGTAAACGAATGAATGTTTTTAAAAAGATTGGAGGGTTATAAAATGCAGAATTTTTTAGGAATGTAGAGAAAATACTAACTTGTTCTCCTATTAATGCATTGGCCTCAATTTGCCATTTCTCATGAATTTTCCTGTACAAAGATCTTGCCCATTAAGATGGTAGGATTAGATGAGGTAGTAACGTACTATACGTGTGGTCTGGGATTTGTATGGAATTACGTTATCAAATTTTCCGACCTGAAAAGCGTGTAAATATTTAATATTAGTGCCGTGTACATAATGCCAGTTCATAACGCCTGTAATTATTCCATTCATTATCATTTATCGCTTTAATTACGAAGTCCCCTGTCGTAGATTTGGTAAAATCTAATTTATTTACATTGTTTTGTTTCATTCAAGTTTGCTTGGGAATTACTTGTCCATTCAACTGCTTATATCGCCTTCCTCTGGCAGCTATTGACGCCAGTCAAGTTAATATTAATAATGATTTCCATCATCGCAGAACAACATACAGTGGAAAATGATGGTTGCGATCTCGGTTCTGATTAATAATTGTAATGACGTTTGCTGAATATTTGGGGTGAAAATTTCGCATGATTATTTGTTTATTGGAATCTTAAATCCCTAAATTCGTCAGGAAGCGACGGAAAGATCACAACCGCGAGGCGAAAACCATGTTGAGATAGCGCGGTGTTGATGTTGAGACAGCGCGGCATAAAGAAAGTGGCAAAAGAGCTCGACTAACTTCTGATGTTTATGATGTCGAGATGATGCTTATTGAAAGACTTCACGTAAATTTTTTTTAGATCTACGAGATAAGTCAAGAATTTTACATGAATATGAGACAGGCCAAACTTGGCCTATTATTCGACGCCGAGTACTTAATTATGTTTAACTTAACTGCCATAGTACTTAACTATGACAGCGCCGCGTGTCGCTGCGTGACATCACTGACATGCACCCCCCAGGGCGGTGGCTTGTACACTAAGGGGTAAGCGTTCCCTGGGATGCCCGAGCGGATGTACTGTATGTCTAAGAAATTATTTGTTATTCGGAATTTATAGAATTTTATACCTTTTATTGTGAATAAGTTTGAAGTGAAAATGCATTGACAATAGTAAACAGAATGGTTTTGAATCAGATTTTATTAATTAATGCTATCTAATTAGCAGCAAAAAAGTGGCCGTGATAACCTTTACACCGTAGAATTATCTTTAACCAAGAAACTTCGTAAAATTTCACCATTTCTCCCAACTTTATTACAGTACTGTTGTGATAGACTTACTTTTCCTTGAAAAATCCTCTAAGTATTCACTAAGAATGTCTACACCAAGTTGCAAGAAGTGTCAAGAGAATGGCAGCAAGCGCAGCGTGACAGTTCTGGGCATGGAAGGCAGTGCCAACAAGATCGGCATCGGCGTGATGCGCGACGGCAAAGTCTTGGCTAACCCGAGACGTACGTACATCACACCGCCAGGCCAAGGATTCATCCCTCATGATACTGCTAAGCATCACCAGGTAACGTTATTGTGTTGACATGTCAACGTATGTAATTTATTTTACTTATGGATGACATTTGTTTACGTATGGATGCCATTCGTTTACGTATGGATCTCATTCGTTTACTCATGGATGTCATTTGTTTACTTATGGATGTCATTTGTTTATTTATGGATGTCATTTGTTTATTTATGGATGTAATTTGTTTCCTCATGAATGTCATTTGTTTACTTATGGATGTCATTTGTTTATTTATACTATGGATGTCATTCGTTCACTCATGGATATCATTTGTTTACTTATGAATGTTGCATGTTTACGAATGGATGTCATTCGTTTACTGACGGATGTCATTCGTTTACTTATGGATGTCATTCGTTTACTGACGGATGTCATTCGTTTACTTATGGATGCCATTCGTTTACTTTTGGATGTTATTTGTTTACTTATGGATGTCATTCGTTTACTTATGAATGTCATTTGTTTACTTATGGATGTAATTTTTTGTTGATTATTTCGATCAAATACTGTTAATTTTGTAAATAATGTTCAGAATATCGTGAACGTGAAACTATTTTTCTTTGAAGGGGTCAATTATGTATTATTTATACCGGGAAGTAATGAAAAATGCCGCGCTAACTGTCATGATGATAGTCGCGATTAAAAGTGTTCTGGTCATCAATAATTAATTATTTTTTTGTGTATCTCAGCTAGGGACTCATTGCTTTTTAAGAATAAATTCTTTTTTGCTTCAACCCAGTTTTTGATTTTACATTTTTTTGGAGATAGAAGAATACATTTTGTTCACGTCTTGCAATTTCTTAATCTTATTCTTTTCAGCGGGTCATACTGGACGTGTTGGACGAAGCGTTATCAGAGGCAGGAATATCAGGCGAAGACGTGGATGCGATCGCCTTTACGTCAGGCCCTGGGATGGCGGCGCCCCTGATCACGGTGGCTGTGGTGGCTCGCACGATCTCACAGTTGTGGGGCAAGCCTTTGGTTGGTGTGAACCACTGCGTCGGCCACATCGAAATGGCGAGGCACATTACCGGCGCCAATAACCCAACGGTGCTGTACGTTAGCGGTGGTAACACTCAGATCATCAGTTATCTGCAGAAACGTTACAGGATAGTCGGCGAGACCATAGACATGGCTATCGGTAATTGCCTAGATAGGTTTGCGAGGATATTAATGTTATCCAATGATCCTAGTCCTGGGTATAACATTGAACAAATGGCAAAGAAAGGCAAAAAATATTTTAAGATTCCTTATACCGTGAAAGGGATGGATGTCTCGTTCTCAGGTATTCTATCTTTTTTGGAAGAGCGCGCAGACAAGCTTCTCAAATCAGGCGAGTTCACGAAAGAAGATTTATGTTTTTCGTTACAAGAGACCGTTTTTGCCATGCTTGTGGAGACAACTGAGAGGGCGATGTCACATTGTGGTTCCAATGAGGTGCTCATTTGTGGTGGTGTTGGCTGTAACGAACGACTACAGCAGATGATGGGCATAATGTGTGAGGAAAGAGGTGGTAAACTTTATGCTACTGACGAAAGTTTCTGCATAGACAACGGCGCCATGATAGCTCAAGCAGGATACCTCATGTTCAAGGCTGGCGTGACGACCGCCCTCGCAGACAGCACTGTCAGCCAGCGCTACCGCACTGACGATGTACCTGTCTTGTGGAGGGACTGAATGCGCTCGCAGGATTTCTTTGCTCGCGCAAGAAATGAATATTGTTGGTAATTATAAAGCGGAGATTATATTTTGTTTACCTGATAAGGGTGAAGATTTGGATTGTTTTTCGCAATTTTGAAATAATTAAAAATCTGAGTTTGATTTGAAAGTTCCAGCAGACTTTTATTATTTCCCTGCATTGTCGAAAATCAAGACGATTTGAAAAAGCGAGGCGACTCCCCGGGCCAGACCCATTCACGTTTTTGTGTGAAGTAAATTTTGTATGAAACCTGCATTCTGCTAGACGTCATGTAGCAGAAAACAAATCTGATTAACTTCCATCATTGAGGAATTGTTGATGCAGCGAAACGTTTCCACTGAAGGCGATGAAAATGTTTCCACTGAGCATTTTCTACTGAATGTGTTTGCTGAGTCTAATGAATTAACCACCTATAAACAATTATTTGAGCTTATTTCCAACAGTTGCTCGTCATGTTGATCATAAAGCTGGGAATAATGGGTGGGTTTATAATCAATTTTTCACTTCATTAATATCAGATTTGTAAAGCATTGTAATGTTAATGAACAAGCCACAAGCCAGGGTGTGATTCAAGACGGGGAAGAAAGAATGTAATGTACCTAAAAATGTATAAAAAGCCGGCTTTGGTCTGCTAGAGCTAGACGAATCATGCGAAATAGGAATTCGATTATGCAACTATTTATATCCCCTACAAGTGCACCTAATTGGACTAAATCGACATAACTCATCATTACTTTACCTCTACTTAAATACTTTGTTATGCATCGTTTTAAATAGTCTTGGGTATCATTTTAAATAGTCTGCTAGACATCGTTAAGTGTTTTCTAAGTATAGATGGCTATCGTTATTCCGCTCATCGCTACCAAAGAGAACATTTCTTAATTCTACCTATAGAACCATTAGAAGTCATGCGCTACACGCGTGCACACGTTGCTGCACCGTTCCGTAGCTGATTGCGAGTGTGGAAAATATAAGGAGCTTCACCTCTGAACTTCAGCAGCGGCCGGCATACAACGACAGCGCTGCATGAAGTGGCGAACGCTCCCACGTCGTGTTCTAGGCACGTATATCCCAACAAGTTGTGCTTCTTTAAAGGGCCAACTTTTGCTGTAATCGTTAGTTCGGTGTGCGTGTGGTCGTGTAAAGAGTAAAAGTATTCATATCTTGCTTAAGTAATTCTAAAAGAAAAGAGCAAATGTCACCCTCAAAGTCACGCTTTGAAGAGAGTATACTCGTATGAACGTCGTAGACTCGTAGATTCTTCACACACAAAATTTTAACGACGCGAGGAATTTATCCCGACAAAAAGAATAAAATTGTTAGGGATTTGTTACTTAATATCAAATGGCCAATATTGATCGTCTTCTCTACGATACTATTCGTGGCTTGAAATTGTTCTAAAAGTTCTTGCTCTGAAATACAGCGTCCTTCAATCAGGGTTTGTAGCTGAAAAATTAATTAAATAAAAATTAGACGGTTTCGTACGAGTTGTCCTTGACGGTAAAATGACCATTCAAATTACGGCATGAAAGAAAATTAGGAAAAAGTATCCAAGCATTTCATTGTGTAAATAGATAACAATTTTTTGGAGGTAATCCATCGCATTCCACGGGAAATCTACTTAATGAGAGTAGCGTTTTTATGGCCTTGATATTTTTTTGATCAGCTTAAACTCACCACTTGATTATTTTTCTCTCTCTTACATCGCCGTTTTATCTTGCCTGCCTTTTTTACGTTGTAAAATTTTTTTTCTCACTGTTTTAGCGCTGTTACCTTGAACTATTCGAACCAACTACTGCTGGAATACTTCTTAACTTTCCAAATAATAAAGACAAGTGTTATTTTCATTTATTAACTAAAATCTTTCAATAGCTTTGTTTTTTGACAGGCTTAATTTATGATGAAAATTTATATCAGTAATGCATAACTGGGCGATTTATGAGGAATAAAGGAGGTAAGGTGATCATGAAGAGGAAGTTTGCATTCTGTTATTTTTTTTCGTTTCCGCAACGCAAGTCTAGCCACACCAGTTCTTTGAACGGGCGAAATTCCTGGTACGGTTGTTGCCAGACGCCGCCATGTGGCCCGGCGTCTCACCCTAACAAGTTCCAGTGATCTTATTGACTAGACAATACCTAGAGCGTGGCTACTTCCTAGCATCGTAGCAATAAATCACATTAACTAGACAATACCTAGACCCCAGCTACTTCTTAGCATCGTAGAAATAGCTTACATTGACTAGACAATACCTAGAGCCTGGCTACTTAGCATCGTAGCAATAACTTACATTGACTAGACAATACCTAGACCCCGGCTACTTCCTAGCATCGTAGCAATAACTTACATTGACTAGACAATACCTAGACCCCGGCTACTTCCTAGCATCGTAGCAATAACTTACATTGACTAGACAATACCTAGAGCCTGCTACTTCCCAGCATCGTAGCAATAACTCACATTGACTAGACAATACCTAGACCCCGGCTACTTCCTAGCATCGTAGCAATAGCTTACATTGACTAGACAATACCTCGAGCCCGGCTACTTCCTAGCATCGTAGCAATAACTTACATTGACTAGACAATACCTAGAGCCTGCTACTTCCTAGCATCGTAGCAATAGCTTACATTGACTAGACAATACCTAGAGCCCGGCTACTTCCTAGCATCGTAGCAATAGCTTACATTGACTAGACAATACCTCGAGCCTGCTACTTCCTAGCATCGTAGCAATAGCTGATCTTGACTAGACAATACCTAGACCCCTGCTACTTCCTAGCATCGTAGCAATAGCTGATCTTGACTAGACAATACCTAGACCCCGGCTACTTCCCAGCATCGTAGCAATAACTCACATTGACTAGACAATACCTAGAGCCTGCTACTTCCTAGCATCGTAGCAATAACTCACATTGACTAGACAATACCTAGAGCCTGCTACTTCCTAGCATCGTGGCAATAGCTCACATTGACTAGACAATACCTAGACCTCTGCTACTTCCTATCATCGTGACATTAGCTTATATTGACTAGACAATACCTACAGCCTGGCTCTTTTCTAGCATCGCAGCAATCGCTTATAACAGTTAAGGCGCATTCATTCAGTTTACACGAATTGTATTTCGATGCAAGTTTTAAACAGTATAATACACCATCTCCTTGAGCCATATGCACTACCTTCATGCATTGAATAGATTAATAAAGTATACAATTTTCAGTATTATTCACGATATCTCTAGAGAAACCTAGATGCGGCATTCTTGAAGTAAAATTTCTGAATAGTTGAAAATTAATATTTTACATTGTAAATCGACTGAACAAAATTCATCGAAACTCTGCGGAAGTTACACCGAATATTTAAGTACCTAACTCTATAAATACCAAAACTTTTTATCGAAAAAGATCGCGACTGTGAATTCTATAGGTTTTTTTGTTCCAGATTTTTAGATTAAATCAAACTGAAATGACTTGAATAGAGACTTTTTTTAAGTATTCTCAAACCCAAAATGAAATTTTTTTTATATCCCTTCATGTTCGAACTGAGTGAATTGGTGGTACAGATTTTTTTGACGGATTTAATGATGCGGTTATGATGGGGAAGGATATTATGATGCGGTTCAGGTTTGGATAAGTTAGAATTATGAATACTTTGAGGCATTTTGTAAGATGTCAGGAACTGAATTGGATCATAATAATTTTATTATTTAATTGCTTAACACATGCGGTTAATTTCGCCATTTCTATAAATTCTGGTTATTTTGGTGAAATTTCATTAATTTTGTTTCGCCGATAAATGTGTTGAGGAACCGTGTATTTTGGTGTTTTATTATATACATATATGATTATTATTATTATTATTAACGTATATCATTATTATTAACGTTTGGCGATCAAAGGAATGCCATCGAAATTTGCGTGAATTGAGCAAAAATGGAAATGATGATGATTTATTATCCTAACTTTGCTGCAAAATAATCGTTGAGGATAATCCAAGCATTGCTGACATTCTCTCGCATCTTTTAAAATAATTTAAAATCACAACCAATCAATTTTTTATCTAAATTAAAAATCGAGACGAATGCCTGTTAATAAAAATGTTTAAAGTTTTTTATCTAAATTAAAAATTGAGATGAATGTCTGGTAATAAATTTTTTTGTATATTTCCAGAAGATATGCGAAGGAAACATCAATAATTGCAAGGTTGGAGCGCACAAGAATGAGAATTGAACGATGAATGACATGTTTATGCCGCAACATCAAAGTCATCCTATGAAACAAGGCTGATGAGAACCCCTCCTGCACCGCTGGTCTGGCTCTAATTAATGGGTAATTAGAGCTCTTAGATTCCTTCACTCAATTTCAAGGGAAGGAAACATGAAGGCATTGATTTGAACGATGGTTGCCCGCGATCAATGGAAAACTTGCCGCCTGTGCTGCAAGTTTTGCCTCGCCTTACGCATAATCCTACATGATTTTTACGCATAATCCTACTTGATTATGCGTAATGCCTTCTCTTTATACATTATTTAAAAAATATAGCTCAGTACTTACTGCAGTGAGTGACAGTGACGTGTTACCTATGCTGCCATCAGCTGACGTGTTACCAATGCTGCCATCAGCTGACATGTTACCAATGCTGCCATCAGCTGACGTGTTACCAATGCTGCCATCAGCTGATGTGTTTGTTGTGATGGTGAAAGTGTTTGGACAGCTTAATTAAATAATTAATCTTGATGCATTATTCTCTAAATAGCGAGGCAAAAGACTCATAGTAAAACCGTATTTAAATTTTTCTGAATAAACAAATGGAACGGTAATAAAATTTGTTACCTCGTAAATATCCCTTTAAAAAATGGTCAAAGCTGTAATAAATGATGCGGGATTTATCATCACATCTCAAAAAAACTTCAATAAAAGTCAAGATTCAGGATTCGAGTTTATGAGTATTGTCAATAGTGTTAAGTAATCAAGATAATATTTTGATAACGAAGATAATTCTGCCATAGATTTTAAAAATTGTAATCCTGAATTAAGAATTTCGGCAGAAAATTTTCGACGCTTCAACATTCGTCTGCATTGTATAAAACACCCGACACTTAAATTCAACAACATCACAATCACAGATGAAGTTAAATT